ATTCAGCGGCTTGAAGGCCTTATACTTTCTTGAGGGATCCTTGAGCCTTTAAGAGATTAGTATGTATAGATACCAAATTTGAGACAAGAGTCATTCCAACATACATCGGCATGGTGTCGGCGGGGTACCGCGGGGGGCAAGTGGATAAGAGACGATAAAAGGTAGAGGGTTCGTTATAGTTAGACCAAGCAGACTCAAGATTGATTTGATTAAATGCAGAAATTGGCTTTCAAAATATGGACACGAGGATTCTTTTATAGCAAGAGAGAAAAAGAAGGCCAATTAAGAATGGGGAATATGCTGTGACTCAAATGGGCCCGTCAATGACGCCGAGTTTTTTCGGCGCCGACAGCGGAGTCACGTGATATGTACATTGGTCGAAGGGCGTGATGGATCTATAATAATTGGCTCGATGTTGAGCTGGAAATACTGCTAGTAGATTTCCAGTATCTATTTATATCATTTATCTCCCCTTTCCTTTCTCTTTATAGCTATTTGTGACGAGTATCTGCTCTTCCTGTCTCCATAGGGGAACCCCGAACATCGGAGATATTTCTGCCTTAAGGCATCTACTCCGAGGGTAGCCGCAGGCATTGTTTGGTCGCAATCGATTTGATGTGCATCGGTCAGAATGAGAACTTGAATTCGGCGAAAGATCGGTTTAATATACAATAATAGAAGCAAAAATAGTCAGGCACGCTCAAAATGCCAACACGCATGTTATACAACACACAAATTACACAAAGTTCTTCTCGAGTTCGACCAATAGCGGATGGACCTCATCCAAGCTAAGTTTAACAGCTCGGGGATTCTGTAGCGCATCATCACCTAGTCTGGCTTTGATCAGCACCTGCAATTTCTGAGCATCTTTATCTGTTTTGCTCTGCATCTGCCCAGTGACATCAACAGTGATACCACCTTCTGCCAGGTCTCGGGATCCGAGAATGAAGATGAGGTTATACTTCATCTGTTTGGCTCGCTGGATCTTCTTGCCCAGGGTCTGTGCGCTGGTATCGACGTCGACCAAGAACGTAGAGTCAACAGAGGACAGCGGACGAGGCGACGCAGCGGTACCATCATTCACCAATGCACGGAAACCAGCGAACTTGGCTGCCGCTTCCTGAGCCTGGCGCACCACAGCATCGTCTTGGTTGACTGTCAGGACAATGGCCTGGCGCGGAGAAAGCCAGAATGGCCAGTGGCCACCATGCTGTTCAATAAGCAACGCCAAAAACCGCTCCAATGAGCCGAAGATGGCGCGGTGGATCAAAACTGGAGTTGCAACTCCGGGTGTGGCTGGATTGTAGTCTGGCTCACCCTCTGCAACTTGATACTCCAGCTCAAATCGCTGTGGCAGGTTCATGTCCAATTGAATAGTAGACAGCTGGTGGTATTTTCCAGCTTGATCCTGGAGCTGAATGTCGATCTTGGGGCCGTAAAACGCACCATCTCCCTCATTCAGCGCCCATTCGCGTCCAGTGCTATCCAGAGCCTCGCGTAATTGCATCTCGGCATTGCCCCACATCTCCAAAGTCCCAATATAATCCTTTTCAGGTCGAGTCGACAACACCAGTCGGTACGGTCCGAGTCCGAAGGTCTTCATAGCCATGTCCACAAATCCCAATGCGGATGTGATCTCCGATTTAATCTGCTGCGGACGACTAAATATATGACCATCATCCTGATGGAAGCGGCGCACACGCGTGAGGCCTGTAAGTGAACCGGACACTTCGTTTCGGTGCAGTGGGCTGAAGTCTGCATAGCGCACCGGCATGTCGCGGTAGGAGTGATTTTGCGACTTGAAGAGTAGGCAATGGCCGGGGCAGTTCATTGGCTTCAGACCGTAAGATTCGTCTTCACCCACCTCGCCCTCAGCCGCGCCACTAGCTCCGCGCCCGGTCACCTCATACATATCATCCTTGTAGTTCTGCCAGTGGCCCGATATCTCCCAGAGCGACTTTTTGTAGATGGTTGGGGTCAAGACTTCACGGAAGCCGTATTGTAGGTACTGGGTGCGGAGGAAGGAGATGAGTTTGTTGACAACATGTGTGCCATTTGGGAGGAACAGAGGAGATCCGGGACTGTAGACTGAAGATGTGAAGAGCTCTTGGGCTGTTCCGAGAGCTCGGTGGTCGGTAGGAGGTATCGTCGGAGCTTCCGGTTTGTCAGAACACGAGCAATGGCGAATCGCTGTGTATGACAGCGGTCGCGACCGTGTAGATTGCCATGGCAGAGATTTAACGCCAGGCGTTAGGGACGGTCTCAGGCGAAGCAGCGAGCGCATGGTTGCTAAAGATTCTCAAGTCCTCGGCCGCGGCGGTTTCTCCGATCTTTCTTCCCCCACCGCTTTACGCGTGCAACGGTCTGCTTGAGCCAGTCGCATTCAAAACATTTGTTGAAACACTCCGAGTGAGACGTTAACTACAGAACATATTAACTATTACACAAAGTACATGTCTTGAAATGTTTACGCCATGTCTACCGAACAGCGTACCCCAGATTGCCCGGCTCTTGGCGAATCCTGGGTGATAGCATCAACTGCTTCTCTGAAGGAAAAAGAAGACCCCACCAAAACTCCAAATGCCCGGCATGAAAGCAGCAAAGCAACCACAAAGACGGCCGACCCGGCATCGCAGTCGCTGACATCCTCATCGTCATCATCATGGACCATATCAGGCCCGGAGCTCATCATGCCCTCTATCTGCGAAACGCCTAATTTAGAAGGGTCATGGGTAGAATATGTACGGAGTCCGAAGCAACAAGGCTCAGAAAGCATGAGAAAACGACGGAAAGTTTCCATGCCGAACAGTGCAAAGCAGCGAGAGATGGACCAAACCGGCGCTAAAGCTAGAGATGCAGACGCTGGTTCGTCTACAGAGACGACCACCAAACAAGCAGGCCTTGTTGTGAAATCCAAGTCCATCTTTCGTGGCCATACTACCCTTATCCGCAAAACAATCAATGCGGTCTTGATCGCCATCATCCTGCACCTTCTGGTTCTCCCCGAGGTAGTCTACCAAGCCAAAGATCTCTGCCAAATCCCAAGCATCAAGACTCTATACCCCAACAGTTGCATTACCTTCCCCGCGACATACCCACCACGGGGCGCCCACCACCCATCTGCAACACCTCCAGAAGAAACCCTCACAACCTCTCAGCGCCAACTGGAGTCCATATTCGATACCGCCCTCGAAACCCTCACACCTCTATCCGCAATCCTCAAACAAAGCGAAAGCATGCTGGCCGACCTAGAATCACAACTGAAATCAACCTTCCCAGACGCTCGCAACGCACTGGACCTCGAATTCACCGGCAGCAACCAAGCCGTCCAAACAGCAGTATGGGAATTCGACTCTCTACGCGCAGACCTGCGTTCCGCAATCGACAGCCTCCTCGCCTCACGACCAACAACCGAAATAAGCGGCACAGCAGCACTAGACACACGACTCGCAATCCAAATGCGACGACGCGAAGAGTACCTAGACCGACTGCGCTCACAAATCCGCAGCAAAGCCGACTCCCTTAACACGCGATTCACAACACTAGACGACCACCTCGAAGCGGTAGACGGGATCGTAGCACGCGAAGAACGACGAAGCCCAACGTTCCACAAGTACCGCTCTTCGTCCGACGACAGCAGCAGCGACCGACTATATTCCGTTCTCGACTCGCTCCCGCTAGGACCGTTCGGGGCATATTTGTTCCGGGGGCGATCGTCGGGAGATGCAGAGGCGAATACGGTTGCATTGACGGAGTCGTCATCTTCTGCCGTGGCCTCCACTGCATCCACCGAACCCACTCACACACCCCGGCCCGCGGCAACCCTTGCTCTGCTCCGGGTCGCGGCCACGCACCATCGTCCCGTTGCTGACTCGGTGTTGCGGCTATCACGCCAATTGAGGGATTTGCGACGTACAACTGGGGCTGGGTCCACTTGGTGAATTGAGGTCTCCACAGGCGGCTGGGGGTGATGAGGGGAAGCTCGGATTTTGGTCAGGGTCCCAAAGTTTGGATTTTGAATTTTGAAGGGTTTTTTTAGGCTGTTACTGTAGTTACCTACTTGCAGGCTGGGTTGGGGAGTTGATGTTTGGATTATCTTTGGGCGTTTTATCCGAGAAGATGAGATGAGTTAGATGCAATAATGAGCCACGGCAGTATTTTACCAACCTTGGAAGTTCTTATACTGTACTACGATATACAGAGTGGAACATAAATATACACAAATTAAACCCACAATTCATATCCAAAGCAAAGCCAGTACGCAGACGCAGTAATGTAAATTATATGTACAACAATACCTGTATGGATGGATGGATCCGACCCATTTTTTAACCATCCACGGTTCAGCTATACAATAGTCGCCCAATCAACCAATCCGACTACAGACATCTCATTAGGTACAATTCATCATCAACCAATCCAAGCACGGGCCCATTACAATCAAGTTCAATCAACTGCCCGATCCACGGTTCACAGCAAATCCATTTTCCGTTGTGAAGGGTTAACATAGATATTCTCGGTATTCTTGGTATTCTTGTCCGGGAAGCCGATGGTCCACGGGTGGGTTATACCTAGTGGATGTGCATGTAACCCGAATCAAAAGAAAACAAAAACCAACATGCATATGATGCGGATGTAGGATAGGGTTTTGGTATACGAACACAATGGAGATGGAAAGCGAAGAGACATACAGGAACAGGAAAACAAGCGGTGAAGAGATCTAGATTGAGGACTACAATGGAAATGGAAGTGATTTGAAGCATTCCGTAGAGTCAATTGACTCGATATTATTGCATATTTGCTCGATGGCAAATGTATGTATGACACTGATAGGTACATATGATGTCCGCCCAAATAAAATTGCCCACCGGATCATGCCAATAAACACATCCGGACAACCTAAAGAATAGATTGCAGGCATTTGGGCACCAAGGACAACGCAAAGGGGGAAAATGGTACAGCCAGAAAAAAAAGAAACAGAAAATCACATCCATCAACCATTACCATACCCGGTCCAGCCAAGTATCCTCTTTCGAGGCGCGTTTCGTAAATGATGCGTCAAAAATCATTGCGCTGAAAGGGACATTTACAGCTGAAGCATGGCGGTCAACAGACCCAGAAGGGACACAGGTGCCAAGTAGCTGGCAGCGACAGAGGCAGCTGCGTTGAAGCTAGGGCTGGCGCTAGCGCTGGCACTGGTGGACGAGCCAGAACCCGAGGGGGAGCCCGAGGGGGAGCTGGAGCTGGAACCAGAGCCAGTCTCAGTGCTAGAGCCGGAGCCTGAGCCCGAGGCGGATCCAGATTCAGAGCTGGAGCCAGAGCTGGAGCCGGAGCTGGGGCCAGAGCTGGGGCTGCTAGAGCCGCTGGGGGAGGCACCGGAGCTGGAAGCACTGACGGCACCGGAGCTGGAGGCGGCAGTGGACTCGGCGGTGGACTCGGCAGACGAGGAGCTGGAAGTCTTGGTAGCCAGAGTAGTGGCAGCGGTGGAAGTGGTCTCAGTAGAAGTGGTCTCGGTGGTGGTGGAAGGAGACTCGGTAGCGGAAGAGGTAGCCTCGGAAGAGGAGCTGGTGGCAGCGTCGGAGGTAGGGGTGCTGCGCGAGCTCACGGCGTTGGAGCCGGTGAACTTGATGCTCTCAGCGGAGCCAGACTTGTCGGACCAAGTATAGGACTCGGCGGGGTTGGCATTCTTGACGCTGATGCTCTTGACGTACATAGAGTAGGGACCCTTGGAGTAGTCGGTCAGACCACCAGCCCAGTCGATAGTACCCTGTCCGTTGGTGGGAGCACCACCGGCCCAGATACCAATGTGGATGTTCATAGGGGTCTGGGGGAAGCGATCGCCACCCTGGGCATCCTTGTAGTTGAGAGTGCGGACATTGGCACCATCAATCAGCCAGTTGACGGTATCCTTGGACCATTGGATGGTGTAGGTGTGGAAAGAGTCATGGGGGGCGCTGACGCCGACCCAAGTCTCACGGTCATAGGTTGTGGTATCGCCCTTTCCGAAGTAGTTGGTCTCAATGGTGTTATCCTTTCCGCCCACCGCTTCCTGTATTTCAAGTTAGTAATTATTCACTGTGTATAGTTGGGAGTAATATATCACGTACCCAGTCAACCTCATCCAAGTCATCAGATTGCAAAAAGGCGGAGCTGACAATGCCTTGGCCAGGAGAAGTCTTCATCTCAATGGACAATTCGCCGTAGAAGAAGTAGAAGTCGCTGACAATAGTAGGAGCATCTCCTTCCTTGTTGATAGTGAACTCGGCACCATTGGAGCCGGTGGGGACACTGCCGCCACTGACCTTGAACTGGTCGAGAGCACTACTCTTGGTGAAGTCAAAGTGAAGGCTGGACTCAGTGGAACCCTTGTTGGCAGGGCATGTTGCCTTCATGGGGTTGCAGTCAGAGTAAGTCTGAGCAGAAACGAGAGGGGTGGCCACGGCGAGAGCCGCAGCAGCAAACTTCATGAAAGACGGCATTTTGGGTATAATACACGCGATCAAAGAGCAGTGGAATATGTAAACAAGAGCAGAAATGGAATCCAAGGGAACAAGCCTGTTATAAATATATATATCAAGTTAATGAGGAAAGTGGAAACGAAAGTGAATGAGGAACCTTGGGCAAGAACGACTGGGAGGTACCACTTTATTTATCGTACCTTCTCCACAATAGCATACAGAATATATTACACTGCCCACGCTACACTAAAAAAAGGGAGGCGGGAGTGATTGGAGATAAGATGTGATTGGATCTCGGGTGACAAGGCTGGATACGCTGAGACAAAAGGTCAGACTGTCCAGTCAAGTGGACCCCTCTGATGGTCCATGAGGGGGAAAAGTGGAGTTTAAAGATTATGTACCTTGGATGTACGGGTTGTGAGACAAGGATGAGGCTGGAAATATCCATGGGTTGTATATGGAGTACGGAGTACTCCGTACATTCAATATATTCATCCCTAGTATGTACCGTATACATCGATGGATGTAATTCTGAAAGAGTCTAGGTATATTGTACAATATATGGTGACTCTGTGCATACTCTGTACGGAGTAGTTGATCAGCGGACCCGGGCGATCATATGTTCCAGAGTGCGTATTTATGATCACATACAAAGTACTCCATACAAAGTACTGCGTACTGTTACATCCAGGGTCCATAAAAGAAAATTCAATAGCATTACATCACACTACTCTTGTATGTATTGTATCTGACACCTTTCGAAAATAGGTGAACCACCTGGCCCCAAGCGACCGCCAAGCTTATTGCCTTATTATGGGGGTTGGTTTTTTTTTTGCTTTTCTTTCCATCCCGAGGTCTGATTTTTATATTACAATTCCAACCATGACATTTATTACACCCTAACATCAATCATATGGCTTCATTATTGGATGGCATTATTATACTGGAAATACTTACTTAGTTAATTAAATTAATGTCTATCATCAGTATGTATCACATCCATGCAATCATGAAACACGGGCCACTGATCACAAGTCCTACTTAGGCCACTGTAGTCTACAGTATGAGGGTTTTATTTAAGACCCTTTCTCGCACAATATAGATAGTATGTTCTACCCAATACAACCCTTTAGTACAACTCGCATAAAATTGCCCAAACTCAAGTCTAATAAAAACCAATTTTGAATACGAACTTCACTGGTCCACGGGTTTCTCACTGGCAGATGACTCAGGAACTAGAGGCCTGTGCCTGAACTAGCGCCAATACCACCTCACTCGGGGCTGGGTGAGACTTTTTCCTTAGAATAGCCGGCTAGTACCTGACGAGGTAAGAGTATGTTGTACATAGTGCTCTATGGGTCTCAGTTTGATGGGGTTATTCTTATCCTTTCAAGAGTTGAAAGAGTGGAAATTTTCATTGTTATCTCAAGAATAGTGTCTTTCCCCCTTCCTGGCCTCCCCCCTTATGCAAGGCCATGCAAGGGGTTATTGTGCTTAGGTTTCTTTTCAAAGCTCAATGATTTATCATTTTCTATACATTTATACAACATACATACATAATACATCACGTATTTATAACTATAACTATGTGATTGTTAACTTGCCTACTTGGCTATGGGGCTCAGATGCAGGAACGTTAGTCGGTGCATCCAATCACCGTTTCAATTCATTTTACCCCGAGTAAAAATACTCGCTCACATCCATGGATCGGAAATTGAGTAAAATAAAATAAAAACAACGTGGCGTAGCGTTCAGACTTTACCTAAAGAATGTGGTGTTCCCCAGAAAAAACCTTGGAATAACCCCCAGTCATCCATGGATCCCGCAATCTAAAAAAAGCCTTCAAACTAACTCGACCATAATCCAACCCCCATAGCCCTAACACTCCCATATCGTAAACTCACAGAGTCACCTCAGCAGGCCCAGTCAACTCAATCCGGACATGCTTCGTAACACTCTGTCTCTGAGCATCATATCCAACATCCCGAGGCTTATTATTCTTCGCAAGCAGCGTAACAGCCTCAATAAGCACATTGGGACGGTATCCAAACCGTCCCTGGATCTGAAGCTTGCCATCCTGGTACTTGAACTGAATATCCGCCGTACTATCGGGCTGAATCGACTCGCCATCATCAATATACAGCTCACCCTCCGCGGACCCATCAACACCAGGGGCAATGAGAATCTCAAAGCCGCGCTTGCGCAGATCCGACGTAGTCTCGGCACTTTCCGTACGGAGGGGGATGATACTCCCACCGCGGATATGAATCGGGATATCCGTAATAGTGAGATCGGTAAGCGTCTTCACGGTTCCATCACCCTGCACAGCAACACCAGTGAACCAATCATAGAAGATATCATCGGGGAAATAGGCGTCGACAGAGGTAGCGCCCTCTTCCGAGACAGGCGAGACGAGAATGGAATCACCGTAGAAGAACTGCAGCTCGTTGTCAAAGGTCTTGCTATCCTCGGGGTAGACATAGAAAAGCGGCTGGAGGAACGGACTGCCCGTCAAAGTCTGACGATGGAAGGAAGTATACAGGTAATCGAGAAGACGGTATCTAATATCGATGATCTTCTTCGCGGCTTTTGTTACAGTAGGCCAGCGGTAGAATTCCTGTGACACGGTACCGAACTCGTTGTGATTCCGATAGAACGGATAGAAGCCGCCGAGCATTGCCCAGCGCGCGCAGAGCTCTTCCGTCGTATTTCCGCCGAAGCCGCAGACGTCGCTGCCGACCATTGGGATCTGGAAAATTGAGGCGAAGGCTAGCATCTGCGGGATTGAGACGCGGTATTTATCCCATTGGCTAAAATTATCGCCGAGCCTGTTGGGGGAGGGGAATTGGGTTAGTATTGGTGGATCTGATAGGCTGATTTGGGAGATCTGTGTTATCTTACCAGTGGCCGACCTGAGAGCCTGCTCCGGCGAAAGTGCTACGCGTGATAATCAAGGGTCGCACGTCGGGTCGACGCTCCAACATCGCTTGGCGGGAAGCCGAGCTCATCACTAGGAGTGGTATGAGAAATGTTCCGATAATGAACACGGGGGACTTACTAGTTCCGTAGAGATTGTGCGTGTCATACTCAGCGTAGCCCTCACCGGCATGGATGATATCTGTATCAATAGTCTTATTGCTAATTGAACCAGCCTCGTTTGCAATCTGATACGGCGGGTTAATAAGGTCTCGGCCAGACAAGCCGACCTTCTTTCCCTTTCCGCCGCGGCTCCGTTTCTCACCGACACTACGTGTCTCAATAACAGCATCACCTCTCTTCGCATGGCGCGACACAGAAGCCCCAGAGGAAGAAGACCCAGGCTGGAAACCAGCTGGGAAACCGGGGATATGGCGTGGAGGTGCTCGGACTGGTGGAGGCGCTGGGGGTAGGTTGTTCTCCTTGGCGTACTGTGCCGGGTCCTTGCAGGGGTAGGGGCAAAAGTTTGAAGCTTCATTCATATCGATCCATAGACCGTCGATGTCGACGCCATCTCTTGTGCTGAAAAATCGCTCGAATTCTGAGTTCCAGTAGGTCTGTGTGTCTTTGTTGAACCAGTCAGGGTAGACGGTTAGGCCGGGCCAGACGGCACCTGTAGATATTCTGTTAGTAATTTGAGTATCGTGCTTCTGTTGGTGGATTACCTTCGTAGAGTTCGTTCTGTTCATTGTTACGGTACAGGAAGACACCCTGGTCGTGGCCTCGTTTGAAAGCACCATTATCTGGTGACGCACCCGCCGTTAGAGCGGATCGAGGGGAACATTTAGTTCACACACTTACCAGAGTTACTAACGGCTGGATCGACCATGACAATGTAGTGCTGGTCATGCTTGTGAAGATATGAAACCAACTCGCGCATCTTGTTGACAGGGAACCGCTCATCGTCTAGAGTAAATACCCGGCGAGCACTCATATAATCAATATCGGTCCACATAGTCTCGAGTGGAATTCCAGCACGGCTGTAGTTGTAAACTACCTCGGCGACATTGAAGACATCCTGGTAGCCATATCGGCAGTTGTGATACTAGAGGAATGCTGATTAGAATACAATTACAAGAATCCGATGTGGGAATAACATACTCCAAAAGTCCAGTAGCTTTGCATAGCAGGAAGACCTACGACCTCAGAGTACTGCTCGCTGACTGCCTTGGGGGTCGGACCAGCCATGAAGTAGAAGTCTAGGACTCCGCCGAGGGTGTTATACTCAAGATATTGTTTGCCATCGGCAGTCTTATCAATCTTGATGTCCATGCCGTTCGAGTTCAGAAAGAAGACCCCATGGGTGCCCTTCTCTCCGCGGTGATCAACGTAGATAGGATGAGTGCCATAGAGGTTCGAGTTGGAAGGGATGCTATATGCATCACGATTCCAGATAGTGCGAGTATAGTTAGTGGTAGGCAGACGCAGCGAATCACTGTGTTCGCCCAGACCATACAGGTTGGGATCATTGGGAAGCCAAGTGCGCAAATTCAAGTACTGAGATTGGAAGATGATGTTGGTGTCAGAAGTGTCGAAAAGCACTTCATCCCCGCGCAGAACTCGGAATGAAAAAGGATTCTCTTTGTAGTCGAAGCGAAGAGTGGGCTCTCTTTGATGATCCGCTGCGCTCTCGGGTCTGGGAAGAACAGAGTCTGGTACTTGGTAGACTTCCTCATCGGCATCGTAGATCATGACATGGAGGCGTTTATCTAGTAGAATGGTGAGTATACATTCATACTTAAGAATGAAGAATGGGGATATAGTCTACCAGTTTGTGCCTCCACAAGGAGCTTCAAGTTTGGAAGATCCGTGCCATAGGTATTACAGGGATCCCCGGCAAGATCAAGGTCGGCCGTCAATTTTTGACCCAACTGCTTCACATTAGAAGCTTTGTAGCCAGGACAATTTTCAAACTGTGATGGCGATCCCAGGACAGCGGCACCCACGAGGGGAGCCAGGAGAAAGAATGTGCCTTTCATGTTTAAAATCGGGCGAGCATTGAAGCTCAGAACACAGCATGCACACAACAGGATACACTGGATATCGTAGATTAACAAGAAGGACAGTGCACCCTTTTAAGGGATGCACTGGCCCAGATCAAAATTGAGGGGAACTGCGGAGTGATACGACATGGATTAAGGGGATGCTTGAGTGAGATTCGTTTGTTGGCCACATGATGAGTGCATTGACAATCGCTCTGTCACATCGACCAAATCCCTCCCAGCTTGTTGTGCAGGGAAACAGGCAATTATCGGATGCTCCCTGTCGGCTGTGATCGGCCCTTATCTCGAGTCTGTAGCTACAGTAGCTCCAATAGCTCCAGATTCATCCTGCAGGGTCCTATTTTTAGTTCTGTTGCTTTTTTCTCAAGTCCGAGAATGACGTGAGATGTTTTTGACTTGTTAGGGTCCAGGCTGTCATCTGTTATCTTAATGATTGTCGCCAGTTTCTTTACCTACGTTCAACCAAAAATTTTAAATAAAATAGCCATTTCGTGGGCTTTCTATTCTGCCCAAGGGCATCCTCTAGGCATCATTCATGAATATAAAAAGAAAATCGTCAACGCCAAGAGCTCTTGATCCCAATCAGAAACCCGCTGATGTTCTCAAATACCGCTTATCTTTATCACTCTCTTCGCTCAAAACTTCTGCCCAGCGGTGGCGGCCTTGACATCCTCCTCCGAGCTCATAATCTGCACCTTGATGGCGCCAGTTTTGGGATTAGCGGCGGTCTCAAAGGCCTTGAGAGCGTCCTCGATAGAGTAGCGGTGAGTAACTAGCTTGCGCAAATCGATCACACCGTTCTGAACCAGGCGAATGGCCCGAGGCCAGGTGTTGCAGTAGCGGTACTGGTACTGCAAGTCGATCTCCTGGGTGCTAAGACGCATGAAGGGGATGGTCATCTCGTTCTTGCCGACACCGATGACAAACACCTTACCACCGAACTTGACACTCCAGATGGCGGAGTTGACACTGCTCTCGACACCGGTGCACTCCAGGGCCAGCTTGGGGCGCAGGGCATCAGGGCCAGAACCCTGACCGTCATTCAAGGCATTAATGATACCATCGGCACACTCTTCGGCCGACTTGCCAATCTCCACCTTGTAGGTGCGCACTTCAGGGACCAGGGACTTGGCAAAAGCCAAACGGCCCTCGTCAATGTCAGTGATGACAATAGGACAGGCACCAGCAGCGCGTGCGCTGAGCAAACTGATCAGACCGATAGGACCGGCACCGGTGATAAGCAATGGGTCACCGAGACGCAAACCACTACGCTCGACAGCCGCCAAGGTTACACTGAGAGGCTCCAGCATCGCACCGTCCTCATAGCTCATATCACCGATCTTATGGCACCAGACGGCAGGGTGGTTGACGTATCGCCGGAGCAGGCCATCGACAGGCGGTGTGGAGAGGAAAGCGACATTGACGCAACCGTTGTAGCGACCGGTCAGACAGGGCTCGCAGGCGTTGCAAATAACGTTGGGCTCAACGGCAACGCGGTCGCCGACCTTGAGGTGGGTGACATCAGGGGCGACAGCGAGAATTTGGCCGGCGGATTCGTGACCGAGGACATGGTCGCCCGTGACGATCATGGGACCGATACAGCCGGCGTGCCAGAAGTGCACATCGGATCCGCAAATACCGGTGCTGCGCACCTCAATTGTGACCTCGCCAGCCTTCAGGCCCTTGCCAGCATTGATGTCCTCTACTGTCGGGTTGGACTCAGCAATCCAAAGGTCATGTTTGGGGTTGGTGTAAACACCGATGTTGGTCTTGGTGACGGTTGCGGAAGACATCGTATAGTGTAGGAGGGGGGGGGGAGGGAAGGAAAGTGGATAATAAATGTATCAATGTGAGGGAATAGCCACTTTAATACTTAACCCCCAAAATTCTGCGTCCTGTGATCTCATATTGTTCAACCCCACGTTGATAGATGGAGTAACAAAAAAGTGGAGTGGAGGGGCCCTTTCGATTTAACCGGGGGGATCCAACTGCTTTTTGCCGTCTGAATTAGGAAACCCTTGCCCGCTCACAGTCTCGGGCCGAATTCTGTGATCGGCTATCGGTTAATATTGTGATCTTCCATTTCCTTCAGGGTCATTTCCTCATGTTATCTTTCGGTTCATACTGAACAATGAACAATCTAAGAAGGGTTTCTAGCTCAAGTCAATATGGTACTAAGTATATACCGTGTGAGAATGGTGTCAAGAGAGGGAATTCTCCGGTGGAGGTGAATTTCAAGTGGAGCAAATGCTTTTTTCCGAGACAAACAGTGCAAACCTATTCTAAATAGCCTCAGGCACCATTTATTTATTTACACACCTGCCTGAGGATGGATATCTCTCTATACTCCGTATATGATACCTAAATGTACATAGATTGGATCTGACTTACCATGCATGGCTTGCTCTGTTCCCTGTTACAAGCCAATCGGGGTCCAGCAACCAAACTCTCGGATATTTCAAGGCAGAGCAAGAAGCTGTGTAACAATTATTGTCATCTGACTACTTACATCCCAGAATGTGGGTAGGACTGTGCGAGACAAATCCTAGGCCCAGCTTCAGCCTGTACGATTGTCTACTAGACTCGCTGCTACGGTTGTTTAGTAGTGTCACAATTATAAGTGGTGATAAATGCCTGAAGGGCTGACATTAAATTGAACATTGTTTACTGTAGCATCATTCATGACACACCTGAAATGGATTGCTCTTTATATAGATCTGTACCTCCCTAGGCAGCTTCTATGTTGGTCGGGTCGTTCTCTCTGGCCTATATGCAAGACAGATTGCCAGCTGCTTTCTTATAGTAAATTCGACCGTACTCAGTCTTTGTTTCTCGATACATCGCTTATTTATTTTCTGGTGCATATTCTGGATCACACTGTGAATTTTTCAACTCAATTTTGTCGATCACAAAAAAACAAATAGTGCAGCTTTACGGAATATTACACTATATATATCTTAACGCATATCACCTTAGGTAGGCACATTTTTTGCGAATCAATTCTGCAGAGTATTTTTCAAGATAAAGAAGCCTTTATGTCTATTAGTCCCCTTAGAAGGAAAATATGTATATATCATCTTATTTTTACTACCCTTTACTACCCGGAGTATAGTTCCAGGTTGTGATTCAACTCATGGGGCCGGCTGCAGGTACAATGCTATAGCAAGGTGTTAATATTCCTATTCACCTTCAGATTCACACCCCCAAGCAAGATGAAATTTAACATGTAAACAGTAAGCCGATAAATTCCTTATATCCTTTAAATTCTCTAAACTCCCTTTAAAATCTGTAGAGAATATATTGTTTATTTGGAAATGTGACTCACGTGACCTGCAATTCCTGAAGTTCCCGAGCGTCAAATCTTCATCTGGTTCTGCCGCTGCGCGAAACTCCAGATCATTAGATCATACTGCCCTCCTATTAGCGATTGCTTCGGGTGTCTTTTGCTTACTCCTTCTCTTCCACTCATTTCCTCCGCAGTATACAAAATGCCCGCCGCCACCCGTGCCGTCCTGCGGCAATCGCAGTTCCTGACCCGGAGAACCGTTGTCAGACACGCCTCCTCCACCTCGGAGGCTGCCTCCAAGGCTGGTGAGACTGCTTCCTCAGCTGCCTCCAAGGCCTCTGAGGGTCTCTCCAAGGTCTCTGCCTCCGCTGGCCCTGCCATCTCTAACGCCGCTGGTGCCCTGCGCAAGGTCGGTGGACCCGCCGGCAAGGTCATCTCTTTCGTCGATTGTAAGGAACATTCTCGATTTTTCTCCTGTTTGGATGGCTACAATGGGGCGTTGGACATTGGGTACTCATCTAAAGAGAAAGCCGATGATTGACCGGTCGATCCGGCTGGAATTGTGCCATCCAATGCCAACTCCTTGTTGACTTCAATCTGCGGATTACATTTGCATAAGGTGCATAGCTAACCATCAATCAATCTAGCCCTGATCCCCCCTACTCTCTACTACTCCAAGGTCGGAATTGAGCTCGGCAGACTGGTGTTCCGTGGCCAGAACATGGCTCCTCCGTAAGTCGGACTCGGTACTTGGCCCTTTTACTCCCAATCTAACAATTCCTCCTAGCAACCTGGCCACCTTCCAGTCCTACTTCCAGCCCTTCATCAGCAACCCTGCTGCCCTCAAGACCCTCCCCTCCCCCTCGACTGTCCTCGCCTCTATCCGCAACGCCAGCCCCAAGCAACTGGCCCTCGCCGGTGTCACTGCCGCTGAGGTCATTGGCTTCTTCACTGTTGGCGAGATGATTGGTCGCATGAACATTGTTGGTTACCGTGGCGAGCCTGCGCACGCGCACTAAGTGGATGTGGATAGAAGAGAATCGTCCTTTCCTTTTTTTCCTATGTTAATCTTCCCGCGCTGTGTATGATAGACGATGGAATTTAAACTGTTGTCTTTGAGATAGACCTTGATACTGCAATTTCATTCCCTGTGCTGTTTGTGCTCTCTGAAAGTGTAAATCTATTGTTTGTCCGGTCAATTGTAATTTAAAGGACCATTGTTCTCGACTGGTTTATCCTTATTCTTCTTATTCTTCCTTCCCCCCCCCCTAAAACCTCTCTGCAATCATGCAGATTCCCTGGGTACGAATAGTAGTCCTGATATGGTATGTCTATTATGTCCAAACTGTGCCATCGATCGAAATTATTATTCTCTCGTTGTTTTGTCCTCCACCTCGGCGGTGATATCGGACGCACAACGCTGATTGGCCCGGGAGGAAAGTCGGCGGACCACTTTTTTTTCTTTTCGAAATATCAACGACCATTTTCGACTCAACCAACAAAAGATATGGATGCGTTCAGATTGTTGACTAGGTCAACAAAATTAAAGCCTGCCTCATCGGCTTCAGACTCTCGTCTGCCATCTACCGGGAAAGCAGCCAACCCGCAGCTCTTCCGGACCGCGGAGACCGACAAGCTCGAGTCTGCCAAGAATGGCAAAAAAAGAAAAAGAAGCGCTGCTGTTCAACAGGATGAGGAAGATGTCCCCGATCTCGACTTTTTTAGTTCAAATAAGCGCCCTGCAGCCAGTGTGACGGAAACCGCCGTTGTGATCGAGGACGATGAGAAAGTGTCCGCTCAAGATGCCGTACGCGATGACGACGATTCCATGGATGAAGTGGAGCGTCGTACTATCTTGAATTCACACAAGATCAAGGTTACAGATATGCGCGACTTGGAAGAGATCCAAGTCCAGCCTACATCTACCACAGATTCCAAGAAGAAAAAGAAGAAGTCAAAGAAAGAAGAGGCGCCGACTCTCAGTAAGAAGGAGCAGAAGCGTGCCAGACGCTTGTTCCCGGAGCCCCTGCTTAACTTCAAGGAACTTCGCTCTAAATACAAGATCTCCTCGCGACTCGCAGAGAACGTTGCAGAGCAAGGATTTACCGTACCTACAGAGGTTCAGCTTGGAACCCTACCATTGCTTCTTGGAGAGTCTTCCGAGCCAGATCTTTTGGTTGTTGCTCCCACTGGCAGCGGAAAGACACTGTCATTCTTGATTCCTGTGATCAACAAAATTGTTCGACACCACCACTCAAACCCTGACGAGCATGGTATTTTGTCTCTGGTTGTGGCACCCACCAGGGAACTCGCAAGCCAGATCGTCAACGAAGGCCGCAAGCTAGTAGCTGAAACTGGCGTGAAGATCACACTGATGAGAAAGGGTATGCGTGTTGGAGACGATGGTGATGCTGGCGCGAATGTTCTTGAAGAGAACAACGAAGAATCATCAGGGTCGGAAGATGAAGAGGCCGAAAGCAAGCCAGCAAAGGAGCGAGCCAGCGTCCCGGTCACTAAGAGTGATATTCTCGTCACTACGCCTCTGATGTTGGTCAATGCTCTATCCGCGAATCGGACGAGCACCATGGCAACATTACCTCTAGTGCGGAGTTTGGTTATGGACGAAGCCGATGTCCTCCTGGACCCGTTGTTCCGGGAACAGACACTCGATATCTGGAAATCATGCTCACACCCCGACTTGCGTGTCGGCCTTTGGTCAGCTACCATGGGATCGAATATCGAGGATCTCACCAAGTCAACAATCAGAGAGCGACTGGAAGATCTCGGACAAAAGCCAAGCGAGCCACATGCACTCCTTCGTCTGGTTGTAGGATTGAAAGACTCTGCAATCCCCAACATCGACCACAAACTCGTGTATGCAGCAACAGAACAGGGTAAACTGATGGGACTTCGCCAACTTCTTCGCCCCGCTGCAGCCTCAGCATCAGATATCCGCCTTCGCCCTCCCTTCCTTATTTTCACACAAACCATTCCTCGTGCGGTGGCCCTGCACTCCGAACTCAAATATGATATCCCCGCCGAAGCAGGTGGATCCTCCCGTATTGCAGTTCTCCACTCCGATCTCTCAGACGGCCAACGTTCCGACATTATGCGCGACTTCCGCAAAGGCGAGATCTGGATTTTGGTCACAACAGATCTGCTGGCCCGTGGCGTTGACTTCCGTGGTATCAACGGCGTAGTCAACTACGATATCCCCAACTCGGCCGCCGTCTACGTCCACCGCGTTGGGCGAACCGGTCGTGCTGGTCGCGAGGGCGGTATCGCCGTTACCTACTACACCAAGGAAGACATTCCCTACGTGAAGAGCATTGCCAATATCATCGACGTTAGCGAGAAGCTACGCGGCGGGGAAGAAGGCGACAAATCCATCCAGAAATGGCTGCTCGACGCTCTGCCGAATCTGAGCAAGAACAGCAAGAAGGATATGAAGAGGCATGGTGTCAAGGCGCGCCAGGCCCCGAGATTGACTAATAAGGAGGATGATGGAAAGGGCGCTCGCGGTATGAGAATCAGTACTAAGAGTGGCTTTGAACGTCGCATGGAGAATAACAAAAGGGGTGCTATCGAGGCCAGTCGCAACAGGAAAGCTGCTGCAGCGGCTAGCGGCAACGTCAGCGATGCTGGTAGCTGGGGTGGATTGGATGATTAAATGCTCGAATTTCTACTGTACAATACATTATTCCCAAAGTTGCTACCGCGGTATTCCCATAATCACGATCATATCATAAACGTATCAAGTCATCTCATGAAGTATATACACATAAAAGTACCTCACCCCGTCTTAATCATGATATCTACTTCTGGCTCTGACTCTGACCATTCCCTTGACTCTGCGGAGCTGCAGCCTGAGCAGGAGGTGGCGGCTTCTCCTCTACAACCTTCCTCGCCAACTTGACAGGCACAAAAGGACAATCTAACAATCCCTGCTCCTCAAGAACGCGTGCAAGCTCATCGCCATCACGATCATAATGAAGCGCCCATTCACCCTCTTCCTCTTCAACCGCAATAAACGAATTCTGCTTCCCTTTCAGCGAAATGAACTTCTCATTTTTACACCAATCCCACGGCTCGACCAGCTGCTCCACACTCTGCGACCGATTCCCGTACCGCAATTCATGCGTTTCGGTGTCTGCATAGATCCAGTTGAGAAGGGGCGGGTTATCTTGGACGTAAGTCGGAAGGCCGAGGCCACGCTCGCGCTTGAGGTATTTCAATTCTTCCGGCTCTGGATACTCGATATAGAAGGCCAGGGCTGTGAAGGCTGGCGGGGATCGTTTGGAGGGATCTGGGTCGGCGAGGTAGACCTGCGGGGGTAAATGTGTTAGCCAAGTCTGCAAATTAGGCTCTGGTTATGACGTCCAGAGGGACTGTGATGTCTGTGGCTTCATATGGTTTGCACTGGGTTCCTTACCTTTTCGTCTCTTACAACAACAGTCATCCCGTTTAATTCGCGGTCATCATCTGTGTCCCCATCGCATTCTGCTACGATGTTGAACTTCACCATGCGACGGGCCTCTTCTTTGCGCTGGTTTGCTTTGCGCTGCTCGCTGGACGCGAGGGATACACCCGTCACCGTTGGGATGGAAGTCAGGGCTAGAAGTCCGATCATTGTGCAGGTGTTTAGTGGTATGCGATATTAGGTATGCGATGTTTCCGTACTGCACGGTCCAAAGGTCGAGTGCAAAGGAATGAATCACAGTCGGTATATGGAGGGCAGGAATTGCAATATATCGCGGGTATGTTCTTTAATTGGTCGGCTATGAATAGAACTTTGATCTATCCGATTTCAGGAATTTGCAGGTGGTATTCTGGCGTTTTGGTGTGGACTTAGGTCTGTTGTCGCATTAGAATTATTTGCTTAAAATTTGAATAAAATTGAGATGTTGACTTACCACATGGAGGTAGAGACCATCTGTTCTCTGTAAATCGATATAGATACAAGTCATTCTTCTTGTTAGGATTCGTGAACTCCTAGAAATACAGGACAAAATAGAGATCCATGATCCATCGAAATGGTGACACCGACGTCATCGCCACGTGATGGATCTGCTCCTCTTTTCTGTCGACCAACATCATCAAGTTGATTTTTACCGAAAAAATGGTAGAAATTCCCTTTCAAGGTTTGATCTTGAAGGGTTGCTTGCATTGCTCAATAACCAACGTCTAGGAATCCCTATTCTAATCTATCGTGTATCGTTATTATTCGTCATTTCGTTTGGTGACCATTCCCAATATGACCGGGCGGTACTGCCATTATACCTTTTCACTCCATCCCCAAATCGACCACCAACAGTTGACGGCTAATGCGCCTCCATCTGCACTCTCCCAGTCATCATAGCCGACCTCCTCGCCCTCCTCAACCACAGCCAGCCCCAACTCGCCCATCCGCTGCCGGAACTCCTTCACCTGCGGCAGATATGCATCTCGTAGCGGCATCTCCACCACGACTCGTGCATCGAGTCCACGGCTAAGCCAGGGCTTAATGGTATCCACCAACCATTTAGGGTGGTTGGGCGAGTACAATGGATCCGCGGCGAGAATCACATCAAATTGCTCTTCCGCAGTTGGAAGGGGCGATGGCGTGACCGACCAGTCAAGCAAACCGGTGGTCACATTCGCCCCAGTTCTGTCGAGGAGTTCTACGTTCAAGGCAGCATTATGGGCGAGGTTGGGGACAATCTCGGGCAAGTCGGTGAGGTGGACGGTGGCAGATTCACCCTGCAGAGCTGCAAAGGAAAGCCCGACCAAGCCTGTTCCGGCACCGAGTTCGAGTGCCCGCAGAGGTTTCTGGGGTTTCAATGTGGAGGGAGTTGCCGACGCCGAGGGAACAAGTGTTGGTGGCGATCCAAGGCAGTGAAGCCGGCGCGAGAGAAGATAGGAAGATACCCAAGTCTTCATACCGAGGTTGTCCGCCGTGATTGACGGTTCATGGAGGGTCAGTGTGTATTCTTCGCCAGAGCTGGTGGGTACGTTGAAGATTCGAGACATCGCCGGCATAGCTGGTGGCAGATGAGTCACGGTCAGCGGGATCACATAACACAGCTGAATAGATGGTGGTCTGCTTACCGGTTCGACCAGACCGTTCACTTAGCCGTGCAGCGGCCGCATCCCAGATTGCCTCCCGGAGTTCCTCGGTATCGAGCCATGCGAGTGGACTGGCGATGATGGATGTGAGATACCGAGTCACTCCGGCAGGCTGGACTGCGGGGCCTTTGACGACATCAGCGGTCGTGCCAAATGTGCGTGGCTGCAAGCTCAACAGAGCTAAAGCTTTCACGAGATCGGTTCCCGAGGGCTTCTGGTAGAGTTGCGGGAGGTCAAGCACTGCGCTTATCAGTTCCATTATCTTTTGTGGACCGTATAGACTTGAGGGGTAGATTGTGAACTAACCATGTAGAGGTTCATCTGTAGCGCTAATCATGATGATAACTGTATATTCTCTAGGTATTGCCGGAGAGGAATGTAAAGCAACGAATTGGCTTCACTGCCCGGAGAATCGCGAAATGTGGCGGAGAAAAAAAAGAAAATATTCCCAAAGAGGAAAGGCTGGCGCCGCCGTTCCGCGGGTTGACTGTCGCCTATATTATCAGGCATCAAGATATCAACAGAGCAATACTAGTGATCTCGAATGAGAAAAAAGAGCCTAATCGCTGTACCTATACAAGAAGACTCAATCAAAAACAAGCCAGAGTGGGTATATTAAGCTAGCAATCACTAATGATCATGTTAATACATGAAAAATATAATGGTATCTCTACTGTCCATATGAACGCCGGTGCACCAAGTAAATGATCCCCCAAATCAGTTCAACGTCGCTTTGAAGCCCTGATAAGCTTGTTCGATATCGAATGCAAGTTCACGCGCTTGGTCTTCGCTCAATTCCTCAGTAGCTCGCATTTGATTCAATGCGATCAACCACTGAATGATCTTGCCGCGGTCTTCAAAATCGGTATCTGTTACCTTGTTCACAGACTGAATCACCTCTGATAACAGTGGATGCAGTGCATCCTTGGATACCATGTTGAGTTTCAACGCATCGAGGAAGGTGATGAAGTTCTCAGTTGCAGCCAGAATAAGACTACCCGAGGCACCACCAGCCGGTCCCACCGTTGCTGCGCCCATACTAGATGTCGGTGCGCCGTGAGAAGCTTGCTCGACTGTGGCCGGGAGACCAATGCGCAATCGCTCTGTGGCTCGTGGGCATTCTAACTATATTGTCCACCTGGCGTTAGAGACACCTTGGAGTTTGCGGGGTAAAATGGAGATGGACACTCACACCCCACGTCCGTTTGAAGGTTTCTAGGTCCACGAACTCCCGCGATACTGTCTCGTCTCCAAGACTGGACTTGTATTGCTTCAATAACCGTGTGCATGTCTCGGTATATTCTGCCTCGGTGACCACATCTTTGATGTATGCTTTCTCGAGTCCATCGAGGGTGACGATGATGCTGTAGATTTCGGCTAGTGATTCGTATAAGTCACGTTCGGCTGAGCTGGATGCTAGTTTGACTTCCTAAGACAAGGGGCATTAGTCAATATGACTATGAATGCGGAGACAAGGATCCATACTTCATCGAGGTTGATAGTGGCCGACCGGGCGGGATTAGGTGTGTAGCTGTAGGGGGTTGGCGCATAAGATAGTGGGCGTTGGGAGTACATTTTTGGCAAATTCTCAATATGTACAATAATCGTCAAGTCGTTAGTCGTCAATGGTAATTGAAGGTTGTCTGTTGTCTTGTAGATTGTCTGGACGTTATCGCCCAATGCCAAAGGCGGTCTGAAAGGCGGACCCGCCGATTTTCTCCCCAAATTTTTTTTTGACCAGCCATTTCCCGACCAAGCTACATTTGCAGACTCTTTTCTGCATTAATATCTCAAAATGGGTGGAGGCAAAAAATCGACCAAGAAGTTCGTGCAGAACCGTCTGCCGGATGTCCTCGAGCGACGCAAGGCCAATGCCAAAATCAAGCAGAGACACCAACTGAACGACAAGCGCAAGGAAAAAAGTGCTGCTCGCCGCGCCGAAGCCGAAGCCGCCGCAGCAGAGAACCCGGAGCAGGCGAAGAAAGAAAATGCCTTTTCCGAAATGAACGTCGACGACTTCTTCGCTGGTGGCTTTGATATTCCCGAAGAGAAGGGAAAGAAGGCCAGCAAGAAGGATACCACCCCCAAGATCGGCAAGCGCAAGCGCTCAGAAGATAAGGCACAGGCGGACGCTGAGGCTTCTGAGGGCGAGAGTGACGACGACAGTGTCGATGCTTACGACGAACACAAGGACCAGCTGGAGTCATTGAAGGAAAAAGACCCCGAGTTCTATAAATATCTGAAGGAGAATGATTCTGAACTGCTCGATTTCGGTGAGCAAGGCGATCTTTCAGAGGTCGACGCTCTGAGCGAAAGCGAAGAACCCGAAGATGAGGAGCCGGCCAAGAAGAAGAAGAAGAAGTCCAAGAAGGAGGAGGAGGAGGTGGAGCCCGAGGATGAGACCTTGACCATTGAGATGGTCAAGAAGTGGCAGAAGTTGATGGAGGAGCAGAACTCGATCCGAGCCATGCGCCAGGCTGTGCTCGCTTTCCGTGCGGCCGCCTATGTCAATGACCCCGATGCCCCCGAGCAAAAATATACCATCTCCGACAAGAACGTGTACCACCAGGTTCTCGTCACGGCACTCAACACCATCCCCAAGGTCCTGGCCCACCATCTCCCCGTCAAGGAGAGCGCTTCTGGCAAGATCAGGGTGTCATTGGATTCCAAGAAGTTCAAGACCCTCACCCCTCTGATCAAATCGCACACTGCTTCAGTTCACCAGCTTCTGATTAACTTGTCCGATGCATCGACACTCAAGTTGACCCTCGCGTCAATTGAGCCCATGCTGCCTTACCTTCTTCAGTTCCGCAAGGTGCTGAAGACACTCGTTAAGATTGTCGTTGGAATCTGGGCTGATGTGTCCACGGCCGACGCCACCCGTATCACAGGTTTCTTGATTCTGCGCCGCCTTATGGTTCTGGGAGATGCCGGTATCAGGGAGAGTGTGCTTAAGGCCACCTACGAGGGCGTTGTCAAGGGTAGCCGCAACACAACGGTGCACACGCTAGCCGGCGTGAACTTGATGAAGAACTCCGCAGCCGAAATCTGGGGCATTGACCAGAACGTCTCGTACACAGCAGGATTCTCCTTCATCCGTCAGCTTGCTATGCACCTGCGCAAGAGCATTACCAACACCTCCAAGGAATCCTACAAGACCATCTACAACTGGCAATACGTGCACTCGCTGGACTTCTGGTCCCGAGTGCTTTCACAGCACTGCGATGGCCTTGTCGAAGCTCAAATCGGCAAGCAATCCGCTCTGCGCCCCCTCATCTACCCCGTCGTGCAAATCACCCTGGGCGCCATGCGCCTCATCCCAACCGCCACGTACTTCCCTCTGCGCTTCCAATTGACGCGCTCCCTGCTCCGCATCTCCCGCGCCACGGGCACCTATATCCCGCTCTCCGCTTCACTTCTCGAGGTCCTGACCTCAGCGGAGATGCGCAAGCACCCCAAATCCAGCACGCTCAAGCCCCTGGACTTCAACACAGCGATCCGCGCGCCCAAATCCTACCTGCGCTCGCGCACTTACCAGGATGGCGTCGGTGAGCAGGTCGCCGAGCTCCTCTCCGAGTTCTTTGTTCTGTGGTCTAAGCACATTGCGTTCCCTGAACTGTCCGTGCCCGTCATTGTCTCCCTCAAGCGCTGGCTGAAGCAGGTCTCCGCCCGCAGCGGTGGAAACAAGAACGCCAAGATCAACCAGATGATCCTGTTGCTCGTGCAGAAGGTTGAGACCAATGCCCGCTGGATCGAGGAGCGTCGTCTGAATGTTTCGTATGCTCCCCGCAACCGCTCCGGTGTCGAATCTTTCCTTAAGGATGTTGACTGGGAGTCTACTCCTGTTGGTGCGTTCGTTAAGACGCAGCGCAAGCTGCGTGCGGAGCGTGCTGCTGTCCTCGAAGAAGGTCGTATCGAGGAAGAGAAGCGGAGAGCGGAGGCGAAGAAGAACGGTGGAGAGGATGAGGATATGGGTGGTGTTGCTGGCAGTGATGATGACAGCGAGGATGAGGATGAAGATGAGGATGAGGAGGAACTGGAGAGCGAGGAGGAAGCCGAGATCGAGAGTGAAGATGAAGACGAGCTGGAGATGGAGGACGAGTAGATCGTCTAGTTTTGTTTTTAATTTGTATATCTCCTTGTCCACGTCCATGTCCATCTACTTCACACGGTTATTGCATATGTCTACTTTGTTTACCAGGATACACCATGGGTAGCTACTCAGTCCTACAAAAGAAATCATTTATCTTAACAAGCTTCATATCATCATAGGTCTCATAAATCTACGCTTTGTAAAGCAGTCCAATAAATCAGCTAGCAAAAAAAGGGGGTATATCAAAAAGAATGCACCATCTAAACAGACCCAACAGGCCCATGCTCCTGAGCCCAAGCCCTAGACTTATCCCGCCGCAGAGCAGCATCCTCCTCCTCAGCCCAAGCTAAAGACTCACTAGGCAACATAATAGCCTTATCAATCGCCACGGGCAAACCACGATGTCTACCACGCAACGCCACAGCCGCAAGAATCAACTTGCTAATAGTATGCCAGGCACCACAGAACGAGTAATTCTTCCCAGGGTACCCAAGACTCACACCCACACAGCCGTAAGCAGAGACGACCTCGAAGATGATATTGAAGGTGGAGAAAGCCACAGGCTGGGATTCATAGTGGTCCGACTCGCGGATGGCGATGAAGAACACCGCTAGCGCGATCCACCACAGGTCATGGCTGAGCTGGGAGCGGAGCTGTTGGTGCACAAAGTAGCCGCGCGATGTCTCGGATAGGCCGGGACGGCCGAGGTGGTGGCGGATTAGATCCATTACTACGTTGCTGCGGCTTGTGTTTGCTGGTGAGTCTGGGGATTCATCGTGCGCGTAGATTCCTAGGGAGCGTTCTTCGTAGACGTTTGTGTTGCTATGTGGGTGTTAGGTTAGGGTTGATTTGGTGTGGGTGGTGTTCATAAGTGACTTACCGCATTGTGAGCGTCACTGGGTACGCAGAGACGTACTGAGTGAGTTTGTTAGTTTTAGGTTTCGGGGTCTAGTGTATAGGATATGAGACTAATATGTCTTACCATCATGAGTACTAGAGGTTGTGTTAGCATGATTATCTTTCAGTCAGGCGAGGATTTTGAAAGCACTTAGCACATACCATAGAGAACCAAGAGACCCTGGTGAAGATCGGCAATGGTTACAACGTAGAATCCACCAGCGCGTACCGCTTTATTCGAGATAGTTCGTTAGCTTAATTCAGATATGACGGTCTCGGTGATATTAATTGACAAACCTAAGGCTTGGAAAAGTCCATCCAACACACGATACTCGGTAGGAAGGCTCTCAATGTCCTTGTTTCCAATAGACAGCAGCTCAAATCCCGCCCAGTCGATACCGTTCAAAATGATGATCGTGCCGAGTAGATACCATGTATGGCGAGCTGGGAAGAGATTCGTATAGACCTGGGTTCATGATAAGTGTCCATCTCTGCAAGCTGTTAGGGTAATGCAACTGGACGTACCCTTCGAGGATGCTCCAAGATGAAGTCAAGCGTTATGCGCCACGACTGCCACCTCGGTCGATCCGGAAGCATGATTCTCATAGTCCAGATAATGAACCGCAAGAAACATGGGAAGAGGGTGTTTCCCGCGAGAATAAGCAAACCCATTGTGAGAAGTGGGTAAGCACTAGAGATGGTCAGTAACGTTTAACGATGAAACATGAGGGGATCAAGGCCACTTACTTCAACTGCAAAGCAGTCATATTAGCATCCAAGAGCGACATGCCACTGTTCACGAAAGCAGAAACAGCAAAGAAAGCACCGGTCCAGAAAGGCGAGAGGCCGTTCGTGCGCGTCACGGCGGGATCATTGGCTTCCAACCAACCCCCGACACCGATCATGCCGAAGATAATAAATAAGATGAAGTAAAGAAACACAACCACAGACAGAAATGAGACGGCCCTGTACTCCACACCACCTAGTTCGTCGCGCTCGGCAGGAGTGAGATCGTGGAACTGAGAGTTGCGGGACACAAGACCCTTGGAGGCCATGTACTTCTGTGTGCCGCGGAGCATTCCCTTGAAGCCAGACACCGATTCCTTTAAGACCAAGGGCACATTGGGCACTGCGTCGCGGGGGTGGTTATGCAGATCCGGTCTCGCCCCGATACCAGCCATGGGGAAGACTCGATGGTGATGATGACGGAGTGTTCCGCCGATGGTTTTTTGGTCATCGTCCACCCATAGCTGTTCTTCACGGGATGATGACTCTCCCGGTTTCACTTGGACCAGCACGGATGTCTTCGGGCGTGGTTTACAGCCATGTCCTTCGACATTCTCGCCGGAGAGATCAGACCCGGTGCTTCCGTGAGCGGGTTCCTGGACCTGCAGTTCAACTTGCGAGGGGTTACGAGTAGATCGCTCTCTTTCTCGCTCATCGGAGACACCTTTGAACTTTGCCTCGAAGGCCCTCTTACGCACTAAAAGTACGGTGAGAGAAATGAGAATAGCATGGCCCAGGATAAGTAAGGCGAACAAAACTGCTTGCTGGAAGGTGTTCAGAGTTGACAGATCCACCTGATCATTGAGTCATTAGCTTCAGTACGATATAGCCATGGGATTCGGACCATACCGTATTCAATCCAGCACCAGTCATGGCACTGACACACAAGAATATGGAGTCCACATAGGCAACGCTCTGCCATGGGGTCGACGTCAAGTAGAAAATGATACTGGCGATCATGCATGTAGCAGTGAAATAGAAATAGTGTAGAGTCAAAAAATTCAAGGGTGGGAGGACTGCCATTATGGCGTTCCCGATGTGTCTCCGCCACTTACGGACTGTATAAAGCGGTTAGTTAAAAAAGTTCGATTGGGCAAGTAGACCAGGGGCACCTACAGATCAGCAGTGCATGCATTTTGATTTGGCGACAAAATTCGCCAGGGACTTGAGAACGCGCAGTCCTTGCTGTGTGTTGAATTATATGCCCGTTTGAGGCGAGGCGTGAAAATTGAAGGGTTTTTTTTCTCGCAGGATTTTTCAAAACCCACACAACTCGAGATATCTCGAACACTATTAACCTCAACTTGGAGAATTTTTAAGAATTATAATATCAAAGGAAGAAAAGGAAAAAAAAAGTAAAACATCAACGGTCGAAAAGCTAAGCTAATTCGAGTTATGTGGGCTCAGAAATTTCCTAGGCCATACAGGAATGTACAAAATAGAAAAAAATGATCGCCGCTAGGTATATCAATAATCAATCATACATAAATACACCAATACATAAATATATATATAAAAGATCATTGGTCAAAGGAGAAAGAAACGAAAGTACGGTGAGCGGAGAATTTAAACGGTTTTAGGCCATAGGGCTGATCTTGGAGAATACCCCATTAGGTTAAACCCCCTTATTATATACTTATTAACATCAACTTCGTATACATCTAAAAAGCCATCTAGAAAGACATGAGAGAGCCGCATAAGCGTCTATTCTTGTTTACCGCGTGTAGATGAGTATCGTGGATCAACGATGCAATTTGAATGACTTGGATGTAGAACATCATTTCATGTCTAGCACCCCACCAGTGTCTAGTTTAGTCCAAAAGTGTGTTTTTTTTTGCCATCTATCCATGAGATACAGGTATCATAAAACATATGTTTCAAATGAAAGGCTTCGAAATTTCACTAAAGATCCTTAAGGAACCGAATCCCTAGTCAACCTGGCAAGGTCCAGATTCCATCCAACGTGGTCTAATTTCTGCGTAGTTACCTCCACACGCTGCCTCCACACATCTGGCAAGACCTCCAAAATAAAAACTCTTCCCAGTGAGGCCAGGGCCGTAGTGTGCATATTTCCCTGAATTTGTCATGATAGCATTCGTAGATTGGGGAATGGTCGGTTCAGTGATCATACACCAACAGGTGTCCGTGATAAATTGAACTCCAAATGTCTCCAATTCATCTACCAGACCAGCTCGACAAGCCGAGGCATATGTCGCTCGCCCGCATGTTATCATGACGGTGACTCGACTGTCTTTGGTGCGGCCCCTACAGAGCTCCGCAAGGGCCTCGATTTCAGACAGTGAGAAGTGCGGATTACCCAGAGATATCAAGTCAACTGATTGACCTCTTGGCGCGCTGTTTAGAGAGCCCCAACATCTGATCAAATCACCATGTTTTATATGTATAGAACGCATAGCTGACCCCTGTACTATAGCAGCCTCGAGGCTGGGTGCCTCGGGGGTCACACCGACAATATGAAACATTGGAGCACTAGAAACAGTCGCAAATGCTGCCCCGAAGGCTTTCAAGTCGTCTTGAGTTGGGGCGAATGACTCGGCTCCGATCACGACGGGGATTTCGCTCGTGGACAATGTTCCGACTTGATATCCCAGCAGAGGGTAAAATGAATCATCAATCTCCCCTGGTGAAATTTTAGGAATCTCCACAATCACCGAAGCTAATCTGTTGATTTGAACGTGCGGGCCGCCCTTAGGAGCACGACCAGTTAAAGCAATTGCGATATCCAGGAAGTCAGGATATTTCATGGTTCTTGCACCGAGCACACTATTAGCGTAGACAACTGCATTCGACTCAGCCCAGGCTACTTGATCTCCGTACTTTGGCGCACTGTCAAGTTGATAAGGTGCACATGTAAATGTTGGTTGAGCCCCCATATCGGTGTATGCGTCAGCTAGCCTTACAGCCGCATTGTTGAAGTCTTCACTGATACCTTGAACGCGTCGAAGATTTTTGTCAACCGAAATGGAGTTCATCGATGTCGGGACTCGAACCTTTCCACCACGATCCCGGAGATTCTCTGCAAAGGCGAGAGAACCTGGACCGGTGTAGCCGCAGCCATCGATATGAACTTGGGTGACATCCATCAATTCGGTGACACCCAGAACTTCTGCTAGTCTCAAGGTGATCCGCATTGCTGCACGGGCGGCATCTCCGTACACGTTATTGAGAAACGCGGTGTCGAGATCCGTGAGCTTGATGCCCTTGGTCGAAATTCTGGGCTCAGTTGCACCAACCACTAGTGGGACCTTGGCCGTTGTATTCTGAGGTTTGCTTGTGGAGACCTGGCCGTTGATGACATGGAAGTCACGCCCGTTGAACTTGATAAGGTCTCGGAAGTCAATCGGATCAAGCGTTAGGACTGGAATGGCCTTGCCAAAGATCTCTTCCGCAACAATCACTCCCAGGGTGAGAATCTCCTCCCTCCGCTCGAAGATCAGCGCTGCAGGTGCCCTGCCATTAAGTAGAAGCTCTAGGATGACTGTGCTACCAGTACATGAGCCACGTCCACCGGGGATAGCGAGGATGGCTTCTTGAAGATGCTGTCCGCTCAATGGGTGGTGTTGATCGATAACCTCGCTGGTCCGAGAGTTAACGCCGCCCCAGAAGCTCAGTTCCAACTCGCTTGCAATAAGCTTCCCTGAAGCCTCGCCGTTGACATACGGAGTGCCTTGGAAGACACGAGTCGTGTCGAGATCGCCGGTTACCATGCCGATTGCCTCCACTAAATAAGCCCACAGGAATGGATGATGCAAAGCGAGCGAAAAGATTAAAGTGAGGGGCGGAAGGAGTTTCAACGGGTTGAATTATAGAATTGCTAGGTTGTGAATCACAGGGCAGCCAACTCACAGGCACCTTTTATGTCAAACCAAAGTGTTTTATTTACTAATAGAACCACACGAGCCAATAGATTGACGAGGACAGTCGGAACCCTCTGCCGATGATGAAAAAGGTGAAATACTAATTCAACCGAAGGCCAATGAAGATGGTGATAGACTCGGAGTTTGTTTCTGATTGAGGTCCTATCAAGTGTTTCTTATCAAGTTTTACTTAAGCGTCCCGAAGTCATTTGCCCCCTCCCCCCCACCAACAAATTATGAGATCATCCAGCAAAATACACAGGGGCGTGCTCGGTTTTGGTTGGCAAAAAGCGGCAAGAGGCGAGCACTAAAACGGAAAGGGCAAGCCATAAAGTGGCAGAGGAAATGAAGTATACAGATATAGCAGTCAAATGGCTACTCGATACCAACTACATCTGTATACTCATTCCCGCACCCAATGCCCACTCTTTCCCCCCTGTTTCTCCAACAATCGAACAGAATCAATAAGCATCCCCTTATCCACAGCCTTGAGCATATCATAGACCGTCAAAGCTGCACCCATCGTAGCTGTCATAGCCTCCATTTCCACCCCTGTACGACCAAAACAGCTGACCGACGCCACGACATGCATAGCACCATGATCCCTGTTCGGTCCAGGCTCAACCAGTTCCACGCTAACCTCAACCCCAGTAATACCAATGCCGGGATGACAAAGAGGCACGATATCAGGCGTTCTTTTGGCGGCCATGATACCCGCAATCCGGGCAACGCTGAAGACGTCGCCTTTGTGTGTGGTTTGGCCTTCGCGGAGGATTTCCCAGGGTCGGGAGTTCGAGAAGGAGACCGTGCAGGCGGCTGTTGCGACGCGCTTTGTTTCGGGCTTTTCGGTGATCTGGGTCATGTGGACGGTCTTGGATGGTGTAAGGTGAGGGAGGTCGGCGTCTGAGGTGGTGGGTAAAGAGGGGGATGGGCGAGGAGTACAATCTTTGGTCTCTGGTTTAGAGCGCCCGGAGTGGTAGAGACGACTTTGGGAAGCTGTAGGGAGATGCGAAAGCATATGTACTGGTACGGTTGACCAAGAGTGAGACCCCGATCCCCATGGTTTCGGTTTATTATCTAGGTTCATCTATCAGCTTGATGATTCAGTGAAAAAAAAAAAGTCCGAATATATCAATTTCATGTGTACATGGTATCAAGTAAGATCTCGCCAATTTCATGAAATCAAAAAGAAATGCTCATGTGAGACGATCTACAGGTTGTAAAGGGTTTCCAATCATGAAAAAAAGGCACAAGAAAAAGAAAACGACTACCCACCAATCAAGATCATAGGGCGGTTCTTCATGTCCTTTAATTGCGCCATGCCGGCGTGTTTCGCCTTCTTTCGTTTCACTGCCATGCCGATGATATCAAGAATCTCACGTTCTCGCTCATTCACCAAGCCGCCTTCGTCACTAAGGCGCGCTGCACTTTGTACTGTTTCCAAAAGCTGCAGGTTGTTCATTGCATCCACGTCAATTGGGCTTCCACCATTCTCCTTGCGAATGATATCCCGCAAGGAGACCTCGGAGTTACCGAACAGGCAGACCTTGAGATTTCCGTCACTAGTAATGCGTAACCGGTTGCAGGTACCACAGAAGTTGTGCGTCATGCTCGTGATAAATCCCACGCGGCCTTCGAAGCCAGGAACTCGGTACGTTTTACTCGTGTCATTCTTATGGTCGGCCACTTTTTCAAATGTGGGATACTTCTCTCGGATGACAGCCAGCATCTCCTGATATGAGAACATCTTCCCCTGGTTCCATTTGTTCCCGCCGAAAGGCATATATTCGATAAAGCGCACTTCAACCGGTTTCTCGCGGCCCAGTTCCACGAACGGGAGGATCTCTCGATCGTTCATCCCCCTCATAACAACGCAATTAATCTTCAGCTTGATCCCTGCACCGACCTTATTCATTTCCAGAATACGGTCGATGCTCTTCATCACAGCGTCAAATCCCTTGCGTCTTGTCATGATCTGGAACTGGAACGGATCCAGCGTGTCGAGACTGAGATTGACTCCTGTCAGCCCAGCCTCCACCATCGAGTCCAATTTTCGATGTAATGATATTCCATTGGTTGTCAGACACAGTTCCCGAAGCCCATTCTGTCGCAGCTTGCCAATGTCCTGCATCAACGGCACGATGTCTTTGCGGACCGTCGGTTCGCCACCCGTCAATCGGATTTTGGTCACTCCCTGTGAGACGAATAATGAGGACAGGTATAGAATTTCCGGGGATGTAAGAAGTTTTGCAGAGGGCGAGAGGTCTATCCCTTCCTCGGGCATGCAGTACAGACACCGAAGATTGCAGCGTTCCGTGACGCTAATTCGGAGGTAGTCATGTTGGCGATTGAAGGTATCGGTGAGAAATTCGGAGAAGGGTTTCGCGGACTTGAGTGTTGAGATTTTAGAGGGTTTAGTTGAGGGATGTGAAGGAGGTAAATCAGGAACGGCGACGGTGGCGTTAGGTCTTGATGCGGCGCGCGTGCTCTGGGGTCGAGTTTGTACGCTCCACTGACGGACAGCCCTAGGGCAAGACCAGAACCGCTTGCACAAGCCAGCCATGAGGAAGTTGTCTCAAGGAGTAAAATGTTGCATGTTGGAGGCAAATATATGTTGCAAGGGCTACTCCGCGGAGGAGTGAGGGGAATGTCTCTTATCGCACTGGTTTCTCGGCGGGCTCCGTGCTGAGTCATGATATCTTGATCATTTCAATTGGTCATGGAGTCAACTACGTCAACTAATCTATACTCGGTAACAACTTCTGCACCCGTTTCACCAGGCTCTTTTCGAACTGCTCCACCCCATTTTTCTGTTCGTTCATCTTGCCTTGTTTAATCACATAGACCGACCGACGTCTTGGCGTTTCTTCGGTCTCTTCCTCCTCCAGTCCTTCGAAATCCTCATCGAGTTTGTGCTCGGTGTCTCGCTTGCCCTCGATTACAGAACGAACAAGGAAACGATCGTGTGAAATTAGAAGCACGGCGCCATTGAAGGAGGATAGAGCCGTAGCTAATGCAGTGACAGTATGGAAATCCAAATGGGTGGTGATTTCATCAAGAATGAGAAGCTGTGGTGCACTCCAGACAATTCGAGCCAATGCAAGGCGGACCTGGATTCGACAATATTAGCCCTGTCTTGAATCTTTCGTTGATCTTTCACATTTCACATACCAGTTGTCCACCTGATAGTTTGGCGACAGGGACATCAGATGCAATACGCCCTGCTAGACCCATTGAAGAAAGTAGACCTCTGATAGCGCCCTCATTCAGGGATCCTTCAGTCTCAATCGTCAATAGTCCCAGTGCAGTTAAACTAGGCTCGCCTCGACCACGCTCTTGCAGCTCTTCCACGGAGTGTTGGCTATAGTAGCCCACTTTCAACCGGGAGTGAGTCGACACCTTGCCCTTGGAAGGAGATACCTGTCCCGTCAGAACACGGAGCAGAGTCGTCTTCCCCGAACCATTAAGACCCATAACCCCGACACGATCACCCAAATGAACGACCAAGTTCACGTCGTCCAGGATGACGCGATCAGTCTTCTTGTACTGGAAAACAATACCCTCAAGCGATACCAACGGTCCGGGGAATCGCAACTCCGTGGCATCGGGCAAACTCATAGTCGCGCCCTTTTCATCTGTCGGGACGTCGATCTCAGCTCGATTGTGGAAATGCCATCCGACTAGATCACGGTTCAGCTTGAAACGCCCCCCGGTTGCGCTGACTTGAAGACCTATGCGATCATCGACCTTCTTCTGCCTCGACTTAGCTTGTCGCAGCTTATTTTCGTCATTGGTTTTCTTCCCAATCTTCATATTCTCCCGGATACTAGCTTCCATATGCGCAACCTGCCGCTCTTGAGCCTCCTTCATGCGCCCCAGGTAGAGCTTCTGTTCCTCGAAATCTTGCTCATATGCAGATAGATTCCCTCGGAAATACGTCAGTTTCTGGTCTCGGAGGATGACAATCTCCTCGCAGACAGCATTGATGAAGTCCCTGTCGTGTGAGACTAAGACGATGGTTGTCTCTGATGTGTCGCGGAGTTGTTTCAGATAGTTCTCCAGCCACACTACTCCAAGAAGATCCAAGAAATTGGTCGGCTCGTCGAGGATCATGATATCGGGATCTTGAACTAGAACGCTAGCTAGCATACATCGCATACGCCAACCACCTGAGAGCGTAGAGACTTTCTTCTCGAATCCGTCTTCTTTGAAGCCAAGACCGAGGAGAATACGACGAGCTTGTTGCTCCATATCGGCAAGTTTCATCTTGTTTCAGGTCAATGGGGAAGGTCAATAGCCATCGTAAAAACACTTACATCTTCGAGTTGAGACTGTAAATTCTGTAGTGTCTCAACGGCAGCTTGAGTATCCGACTGGGCTGTATCCGCATCAATGGCGTCTACATCCTGGGCCAACCTAATAGGAGTTAGATATAGTTGCTAGCGCAAATGAATCCAACTAACATCTCGGATGCAGCCTCAAGTTTTCCCTCGGCAGCCTTCAAGTCTTTCCTTGCTTGTAGACCTCGAGCACCGCTCTTAAGGCTTGCATTTTTGTGCGCCAGGAAGAGGTGCTTTTCTGCTTTCTGGTGTCGAATTTTGCGAATTGCCCGCACAGGTTGCATCGGATCTTCAGTTTCAAAACTCTTGGATAGAACTTGGAAGGTCAGTCAAGTATGATTCCGATTGAATAGGTATACGAACACTCTGCCATCCGAACAGCCTCGTTTCTAGTTTCATCACTGCTGACAACGGCTTCTAGAACAGTTTTGTCCTGGTCAGGGTCTTCGCTGAAAGTTTTATCATCCTGTTCATCCGTCTGCTGCAAAATTGCCATGCGAGTCGCATGTGGGATGCCAGGGATGAGTTTCTCCGCCATTGCCCGGAGGAGCGCTGGTAATATTAATATATCGAGCTTTGTAAATGGCACTTGCGGGGATCTGTCTCACTTGACTTCCCAGTTCCGTTGCGACCTAGCAACCCATAGTGAACACCTGCCTTCAGTCGTAGGTGCGCATCTGAAATGAGCTCTCTCCCCGCAACCTTGGCCTTTGATTTTCCTTTGGTCTTTGATTTTGATACATCTTCGGTGGATTCAGGTGTAGATGATGTGACTATAATGTTGAGTCCATCCACATCGATCTGACAATGGAACAAATTTGAACGTCAGCGGTCATCTGGGTCATTGGTGTGGCTACCATACCTCCTGCGAAGGATTATCATCTAGTAGATGAAACCGTGTTTGCTTACACGTTGCCAGAATTGTGGGGGCGGATGTCATAGCTCCGGCGAATGAGTTGTAGTTATTGGTCCTTGTGTGCTTTTCACCAGGATCCAAGTATTAGATGTGTATCTGAAGTACAGTGGTTACTGAAGTCGATTTGGGCGGGTTCATATATAATGACTAGCAAGGGCAGCCACGGCACTCAAGCCCTTTTGCAGAATCAAAATGCGCCACTATGATCACATTAGACTGTTTATTTCTCGAGTCGTTGAATTAAATGTGGACAAATGTGAACAAATTGGATGCTGTTTGACGAACATTCTGGGGTCGGGGTCCGAAAGAGGAATGGTTCGCTGCCTGAGGCAATTACTCACATTCCTTGGCGGAGTCAATATTTGCATCATTATGCTCGTATTTTGCCACATGAGTTATTCAGTAAATTATGAGAGTTCGTATCTCTATATGTGTAAGGGATATCCATAGTCTCACTGTGACTCATAGTTCTTGGATTCTGTGCGTTGTGGTTAATTCACCGAAATTAAATATATATATGGAGAACAGTGTCTCTCTGCAGCACAAGAAGTCGGCAAGAAAGAAGTGGAATTCCATACAAAGCTAAACAAAAAAGGCTAATCTATAGCCAATATACGACAATATGTAATGCTTCCTTTTTTAGGTTAAATTCGAGAAAGGACGCAGTACAATCATGCATTTGACAAACAGCATTGACAACCAGAGTCCCAAGGAATAATAAGATATCATCTACAACATATATTCTGCTAACCCCCAGGCACATTGGATGATGTCGGGATCTAGAACCCGAGGCCTGGCTTTAGAACATGAACATTATGTGATTAACGTTCTCTCGCCCAAATGCCAGCAACATGAAGAGTAAAATTCTCTAGCGACACATGGATGTGCTCCATTCTGCTCCAGATTCGAGATAGACCGGGGAGGATTCGGCCTAGTCCTTGAATACTCAAACATGCAAAGCCCAGACCGACCGATCGAGATCTTTAGTCAGGTACCAGAGTTGGGACACAACCAAAATTCTACTCATTGTCTATGATGAGGTGTAATCTAGATCTAGACCTTAATTTCTACAACTCCACCGGAGCGTTGAAGAGTCGAACATACCCACGTTAATTTGAAATTTGAGCGGGCCTGGGCCGAGTCGTCAGACAACCAGCAAACAGACTCGTTGCCAGGGTTTATAGGGGTTTAAGGCTAGAAGAGCCTGGAGATAAGGGCATGGCGGGTCTTAATAGTAGGAGACGTCAGACAACCAGATAATGCTGAGGGAAGAGATTTAGTCTAGACCTATGGGATTGAATTGGGAAAAATTGAGGCGTAAATAGCACACGTAAGTAATGCTCAGGGGCAAATATGTTAGAGGCTCAGTTTTCATACCGACCCATGTCACGAGTATCAATTATATGCAGCTAATATCGGGAAAAATATCATCCTTGACAAGGGAGTAATTGCCGGAACGTGGATGGAGATCGAGCCAATGATCTAGATCCACTGTTCGAGACTCAGAAGAGTTTGATGAAGGTTTCGCACAGGAGGCAGAAACGATAAAAGGAAATAGTTCGTCTCGAAGTCTGTGTTTATCGTTTATGTATCGGCATTATCGACCTTGGTGAAGTGCCGTACCTGAAGTTTTGTTCTAGTGTCTATTTTTAAAAGGCACAAACTATTGTTAGTGCGGTTGTTGTGGCACCGAGGCGCAGAACTTCACTCAGCCTCTTTGTACTGGACACGCTCGGGGATCAATGGTAATCCGAGTCAGCCCTACCATCGAGCTGATCGCTGGACACACAAAAAAAAAGCGGGCTGTCGAAGAGTCGAGACTCAGGGGAAAGTTGGTTTCTTCTAAAAAAAAAGAAAAGAAACGAAAAGGGGTAAAAGTTACTCCACCGTATCTGCCCTGTCTACTCCGTACCACTATGGTGTTTCGCCTTGTTGAGGTTCAGGGGCAATCCAAATAGGCAAGTCTTTAGCAAGAAAAGAAGGAAGGTTTTAAAGTGCCAAACTTGGAATCCATCCATACACGGAGTAATGCACTGAGAATGAGACGTCGGGCGAAAGACCTCGGAGATCGATTGGAAGAGATTTAGCTTTTAATAGAGTCGGATCAACTAGCTTGATTAGGAATAGATTTTCTCATCACGTGCTCGGAAGTCCACCGAGCCTGTATGGCTCACAATCCTTTCTTGCCGACCCGCTTCAACTTTAAGCTTATTGCGATTCTCATACGGGAGGACCAACTCCCGAATCTACTTCTCTAACTGGTTCGCCGTGGTTTACCCGGTACAGGGGGGCGGGCGAGACGCCGGCGCATGTACATCCTAGTTGGGATGAAACAAGGGATTTTAGTTGATACATGGGAAAATAGGAAATGCACCCTGGATCACAGTCTTTTTGGCATATGTTTATGTGCATCATTAAAGTATTATTATGGGTTAGGGAGTCAACCGATATTGTATGGTACACGAAGTATTTTGCAAAAAGTACTCCGTACAGAAAGAAAACTGTTTGCAAGACCCCACTGCTTAGGGCCGAAGCCACTTGAAATATTTGGCTCAGCCTCGAAAGCCGCTAGCTGCGGTGATAGTCACTTCTAGTCCGAACAAGGTTGGTAGGTTATTTTCTTGAAGGTTGAAACTTCAGGTTCTAAATCCACTGAAATATTCTCGCGTACCTTCAGGTGGTCTAATCCAACATCGAGGCCAACAAGAATGCAAGATTTACCAAAGCGGGCAATCTTCGATAAACAGACCTGGAAAGACATGGCACGGCCACTTGCGTCATGAAAGGGACAAAAAAGGTACAATTACAATACCATACGGTTTCAGTATCCCCGAGCCCTGGAAAGTTTTCCCCGAGGGCCAATGGGATCAGATAGTTGTTGCCCTAAGATTGGCCCACCTCTAATGTTTTGACTGGCAAAACAGTATTAGTAGGGGGGCACTGTAACTATTAAATGTCTAACAGACTATCGGTCATAGACTTTATAAAATCTAGCTTTCAAGCATTGGCTTATCACTAGTAGAGAGTAAATGAGGCTTTCATAAATTTGGTACGGACATCTAGGGTAGAGAAGAGTATAGACCTGACAATCATGGAAACATTCCCTGGATGCGGTATGGATAAACAATTCCCGCCCGGTTGCATTTCAACCAATCACGGGGTGTCATTCCGGAGGCCCCCGCTGACTCAGAAAGGACGCGCAAGCCCCTGTTGCTATTCCGGAACACTGTCCCTTTCCCCATTTCCACCATCCAATTTCATTATCCATCTAGATCCAAATCCATACTCTATTAGACCTTCGTTTTTGGGATCATTTTTATCCTTATATTTTCCCTCTTTTTTTTATTCTTCAATCTATCTCATTTATACCCCCCCGCATTCCCTATCTCACGCCATATCTCACGCTATATTCACACTACCCCATTTACGCTATCCCTACTCCGTACACAGTCGAGGGACAGGCTTATCCAGATCACTATGGCGACTCTCGCAGAACATCCGATGCAACCAGTTGCCAACTATGACCAGGATCTCGACTCATTCATCAACTTCGATCAACTCACCTACACATCCGATCCCTCCCGCTCGAAGGTTATGGTCAGCCAACCGTCGGTCGCAAGCACCGAGTTCAGTGCCAGTGACGCCCGCAGTGCCAGCTTTGCCTCAAGTGGGCAGTCTCCCCTGGCATTCCAGGCTCCAAGCCACCAGTACGACGAACACAGACAGCAGACTGGTCTCCCACCCGGTGCTTTGTCCATGTCCTACAGCCAGGTCCCGATGGGCTTCAACAATGGCCAAGGATTTCCCGTGAACGCCGATATGTATGCTGGTCATCACATGAAGCGCGAGGACGCCCAATTCGATTTCAACACTGCCCCGGGCCGGAACCCGTCGGAGATGGAGATTGATCCCGAAAACATGAACCCCTCCCCATACTTCTACCCGGCAAACCCTGGGAGCAAGAGCCAATATGTCGATCCCAACGCTCTCGGCGGCCATGAGCTGGCTCAGGCTGGTCCGTCTACACAGGTCGGTCGCATGTACCCCGGCATGCATCAGCAGCAGGCTGCGATGGCCAAGGCCCAGCAACAAAAGCAAAGTGAAATGGTCCGCCCTCAGATACAGCAGCGGCCGGATCAAGTGCCCGATGCTATGCCTCAGGCCCGCGGTCCCCGCAACCCTGACCCCGTGGTTGAGGAGCGTATCTCTCGTCTACTTCAGCAGATGCGACAGAACGCCATGGCCAATGGCGAGGGCTCCCCCAGTCCCTCCAACGGTATGCCGCAGATGGCCAAGGCCCGGAAGGACGAGGCCGATATGGATGAAGATGAGCGCCTTCTTGCTAGTGAGGAGGGCAAGAAGCTCAGCAGCAAAGAGCGCCGCCAGTTGCGAAACAAGGTTTCCGCCCGCGCTTTCCGATCTCGCCGCAAGGGTATGACTCTCTGAACACTTGAATACATATGTAATGCCCGTTTTGCTAATGCCTCTCACTAGAATACATTGGTCAGCTCGAAAGCGAGGTGGCTGCTAGAACCAACGAGGCCCACGAGGTTCGCCTCCAGAACCGCGCTCTTTACGAAGAAAATGCCCGCCTGAACGACTTGGCCCGCATGCTTCTGGGATCTCCTCACTTTTCCAACTTCCTCAACGACATGGGTGACACTATGCCCGCCCAACCCCAGCAGCAATCCCAGCAGCAATCTCAACAGCAATCTCAACAGCAACCTCAGCAGCAACAAGCCCAGCAGGCTGCACCCCAGCCCAACATGCAGGCTATGCCCAAGGACACGAACGCCAACCGTGGCCAGGAGTTCCAGATGCAGCAAAACCCCCAGGCCAATATGGTAATGGTTCCAAACCAGGGTATGGACCCCTCCAGCATGGGCATGAACGCCGGCTGGAACTCAGGAATCGATATGAACTACGGCAACACTCCAGTCTTTGCTGTCATGGAGGTTCCCGAGGGCCCGGCCCTCGATGCCGAAGTTCTGTCCGGAAAATCCTCTTCTTCCTTCAGCATCCCCGAGAGCTCCAAGAATGAGGCCCCCGTTGTCGACCGTCCCGTTAGCGACTCATCCAGCCAGTCTGACATTGGTGTTGCCAACCCCGATGTCGAGATTGATGAGTCTGATCCTGCCTTTGCTCTCTTTGTTGATTCTCCTGCCCCCGTCGCGGACATCAGCTTTGAAGGTGTCTCCACCGAGAAGACTGCTCAGTTCACTCTCGTGGTTGACAACTCTGAAGTTAGCGATTCGGCTAAGAGAACCTTCAACGCCCTCTGCAACAGCATTGACGCTGCCTTCGAGCGTGTCTCGGCTGTCACATCCCACCTTCAGTGATTCCCCCATTAGCGTCTTGCCCTTTCGGCCTTCTTTTCTTTGTATATGTGATTCCTCTTTTCTTCACTATTGCCATTGTCATCGCCTGGTGACTATACACTCGCGGTGAAACCTGCCATATTTTGCGAATCATGGGGGGGTGTTCTTCTTTCTTTTGTTTTTCCAGATGTCCTGGGGAGTTTTAAGGCGCCTGTCTCTTATTATATCGTGTATCTCCCAAGAAGGAAGGACCTTCTCGATACAACTTTGGAGCTTTAGTGGCGTATCTGAAGGATCTGTGGAGTAAAAGCCAACCCTTGATATTTATGGCCATATGATTGTCTTATTTTAATGCATAGCCTATACTCTGGATGTAGTTTAGCCAAATAGAATGCTTGTCAATTTATCAAAATGATGCTATAGTAATGCGTTGCATGTTGGAAGGTTGTGTACATCATGCGTTGAGCATAACCGTAAATTTGTTGAATCTTTGGGACTTATTTGAATCATCCAAATATGTATTAAACGAACTTATGCATTTTAAAGACAGCTTAACTATCTATTGTGCTATTTATTTGAAAAAGAGTCGCTCCATGGCGGTCCAAATGGATTATTTTCTGCCGCAAAATTCGACCATTACTTTTTTTTCTATTAACGTGGGAATCCACCAATTTCCTACTCCTTGACATTACTACACCTAGGGGCCTTTTTTTAAAAAATTCATTTACCCTTTAATACTCTCCATTCTAGACAAGTTGGCTTCCTTTTGCGTGCGCGGTGCCTTGTCAACCGCAACCACTCGCGCAGTCGCCTGGAGCGCGTTCCCTCGAACCTCGATTTCGCCATTCACCACCCTACGATCGTATCGCAGCGCCATAAACCGTGACTCACAAAACCCCGTTGACTCAAAACTGAGTTCGAGGAGCTTCAACTACCCCAAATCAGTGCCGAAACTAGCGGACAAAAAGAAATCTCAAGAGAAACCGTCGCCACTTCGAATCAGACAACCTACAATCAAACCAAACGCATACTTTCTTCCGGTCCCGAGCAAACGACGGCCCAATAGTGACGACTACTTGATTTGTGAACCATCCAGACTCGAACTCCCTTCACGGCCTGTACCTGTAGTAGGAAGTGCCCCAATGAAATTCTTCTACCAGGTCATCTCGACCCCAACGGCCGATACCCCCGGCACGTCCGTTTGCCTCAACTTCCCGGACAAGCGATACTTTTTTGGTCAGCTATCGGAAGGCACACAGCGTGCATGCACAGAGCGCGGAGTGAAGCTTTCTCTCCTCACCGATGTGTTTGTCACTGGACGCACGGAATGGGCCAACACAGGCGGGTTGATTGGGATTGTTTTGACCCTTGCTGATACGGTATCAACCTCTATGGCAGCCATCGAGGAGGAGAACCAGAAGAAGGCTGCCCGCAGGGCGCAAAGGGAGGCCGAAGAAGGCAAACAATCCAAGCCCCGTGAACCCAAGGTGCAGGAAGGTGAGGGGGTCTCGCAGAGAGGTAACCTGACGATTCATGGTCCTGCGAACCTTACACATACACTTGCCACGTCTCGGCGGTTTGTTTTTCGGAAGGGCATGCCGGTGTATTTGAATGAATATGACTCGGAGACACTGGCCAAGCAAACGTCTATCGGCGCCGAGGATCCCTTTGAGAAGCCCTCATGGTCCGACTCTAACATAAAAGTTTGGGCCTTGCCCCTCAAACCGCACACATCGGCTCGTTCGCAAGTTACGAAGCCGCGGTCACAAAGTCCACGAAAGCGGAGTTTGGACGAGTTCCAGGAATCTGAACAGCCTGAAGATCATATGGACCAGCGTACTAAGAACCTGCTCGTGACGCAGTCCATTGTGCAGGATATGTTCAACTCAACATGGAAAATGGATGCCCTCCATGAAACCCCATTGGCCCAGGTTAAGATGCCGGCTGCTATATTCATTCGCAACCCGGAAACCAAGGACCTGGAGCAATACAAAGGTCCGGTGCCGGGTGGCCAAGACGCACTTCCAGACATCAAGGTGCTCGTCCGAAAGCCCTGGCCCGGTGCGACTGTCGAGAGTCTCCCGACCACTTCTCCCTCAAAGGAGGCAATCTGCTATATTGTGCGGAACCACGATATCCGTGGAAAGTTCGACCCGAAGAAGGCCCAGGAATTGAACGTCGAGAAAGGCGTTAAGTACGCAAATTTGACGAAGGGCAAGAGCGTTGAGTCTCTGGATGGGAAGACTATTACCCCAGAAATGGTTTTGGGACCGACCCGAGCCGGAAAAGGCACTGCTATCATGGAAGTGCCATCCTCCGAGTACGTCGAGGACCTGGTCAGTCGGGCCGAATGGAAGTCACCAGCTGTAACGACCGAGTTGCAAGCGTTCATCTGGATTCTTGGACCAGGTGTGGCCGAGCATCCTAAATTCCAGGAATTCGTCGCCAGCATGTCTCACTGCAAGCACACTGTGTCGAGCCCAGATCACTGCCCGAACTATCTGGCGTTCACCAGTTCAGCTAGCTCAACTGTTCGACTTGCTCGTCTGAAAGCCGATAGCTATGCGGTTCCTGTTCACGACAATGTGTCCCTTCCCCAACCCGGCACCCCCAACGCCAATTCGGAATCTGCAATTGCTGCTCGCCAGAACTCTCCACTGCAGCCTCTTCAACCCGGATTTATCATCAACATGGAGCCCAACTTTGGGTTCAACAGTGACGAAGTGATGTCCCGTTTCAACCCAGCGAGTGTATTGGATAACATCCCGCGTTCTGTCCAGCACCGGATGGAAGTCATTCGCCACCGCGTCGCTAAGCCTGCATTCCAGAAAAAGTTGCACGAGCAACGGACACAATGGCCTGGAGCGGATGCAGAGATCATCGCGCTGGGTACTGGTTCCTCTGTTCCATCCAAATACCGAAATGTCTCTGCCACACTGCTGAAGGTGCCTGGATATGGCTATTACTTGCTTGATTGTGGCGAGAATACCCTTGGTCAACTGAAGCGAGTTTTCGAGCCTGAAGAACTTCGTGAAGTGCTTCAGAACCTGCGAATGATCTGGATTAGTCATTTACACGCTGATCACCACCTAGGAACGGTCTCTGTGATCAAGGCCTGGCACACGGAGAACTTCAAGAGTGGATCTGGCTCTACTGCTAGACCTGAAACCAATATGGCCAAGATCCTCCAGGAGAAGCGACTGGCTCTTGTGTCTGATGATGCAATGATTTCCTGGTTGGAAGAATATTCACAAGTCGAGGACTTCGGATTTGACAAACTGCTTACTCTTTCCGCCAACCCCGAAGTGAATGGGTCTAAAATCACCACCTCGTTCTCACACCAGCCATCTAGTTATCACCGTCATACTGTTACCTTCACGGACCAATCTTCCCCCCTCACTCCTCTTCTCAGGTCTGCCACTGGCCTTGCAGACCTACTCACTTGCCGCGTCAAACACTGCAAGGGTGCGCTCGCTGTTTCCCTTGTCTTCTCAAATGGATTCAAGGTTTCCTACTCTGGCGACTGCAGGCCATCAGACAAATTCGCCGTCATCGGACAGGATTCGACCGTGCTTATCCACGAGGCCACCTTCCAACCCGACATGGTCGGATCGGCTAGGGCCAAGCGGCACTCGACCTCCTCCGAGGCAATTGAAGTCGGCCGCCGCATGCAAGCGCGCGCTGTTCTGCTCACTCATTTCAGCCAGCGCTACCAGAAGGTAGCCTTTGTAGACAAGCGAAGCCCACGCAAATTCGAATTCAACCAGGACCCAGGTGCAAAAGAGCCTGCAGATGCGGATATCCCATTTGACGACCCTCAAGATGAACCAGCGGGCTCCAACGACGTCCTACTGTCCGACGACATCAACACAGCGGCATCTCGACAAAGGCCCGGCGTTTATACCGGCCCCGTCGCAGGAGCGATGGACTATATGCGTATCAAGGTCGGGGACTTCGCCCTTGCGCAGGCATATGCACCAGCATTGGAGAAGCTCATCGAGCTCTTGGAGCGAGCGGCGAACGAGGAAACCGAGCGTGTGAAACACACGCGTCAGCAAGAGGAGAATGCTCGCAAGGCGAAGAATAATAAGAAGTGGGCTAAGCAAATGGCTACTGCTACGGCTGCGGCAGTTGCAGCTGCAGCAACTGAGACTAGCGATGCCCAGACGGCGCCCAGTCGATCTATCTGGAGTGCCAGTGAAAGTGAGGAGGGATGGGAGACGAGTGACTACGAGGAGTGTTCCTAATTGTATATATTATACCATGTTAAATACGCATAGCTTGGAAGAGCTTTTTCCATCTCGGAGAATACTAGTCCGAGGCCAGTACCCTCCGGCGAACTTGCCGAGGTGCGGAGACCATATATATCTACCGTTATTCTTTTGGGTTGCCAGTTTTCCCTAGCTTTTCCTATGTTATTTTAGACGCTGATGAGTATAAAGAGAAGAAACCTCCGCACCTAATGCACCTAGCCTATTTAATAATAGTACAGAGAATATCTAACTAATTCAATGTCGACATAAACGGCTTATCGCTCTACCCCAACAAATCCACCCCCCTCACCGCCCCTGTGGGGGGGAGTCTATTTCCTTGACTCAATTCCATTTTATAGATTCCTAGATATCTCTGGATCTCTCTCAATTGATTCGAGATGACCACTCTCATTCCTCGTGACCCCTATACACAGGATGAGCTCGCTCGCCTGTACCCGGCAGCTCTGAAGCTGGAGCTCGTGCAAGTGGTAAGCGGTTTAGTCCCCACATTGACCAAGACGCAACATAGCTAACCACTACAGTTCCTTCGTCATGGTGAGAAATTCATTCACAATTCTGCCTCTGAGAGTATTTCTAATTGTTCCTAGGTGAACGCACACCCGTATCATCGCGATTCACAAATGTATGCCGCAATTGACAAACCCCATCCCCCAAACCCGCTCTCCGACGGTTTCCGCTAACACCTCCCAAAGACAGGTCTAAGTCCATGTATGCCAATCTCCTGATACCAATATCGGCCGATAATATGCTAACATTTTCCCTTGATAAGACTGGCCGTATTGCGGCGTCGCAAGACGTATGGTGCAGATGGCATCGAGCAGCAAAGACCTCTCGGAATGGAACGGATTCCAATGGCGCCGGAAAATGGAGTCATTCGGCAGTAATGACCAGTCCGTGATCGCAACAGCACCGGGAGGACCAGTCGAAGCGATGTGGTAAGTTGCTGTGGAGTTCTGATAGGTACGTAAACAAAAGCTAAATCATGCCATTTGAAGCTTGCATGGCGAGCTCACAGACAAGGGCCGTGAGACGACATATGCGCTCGGACAACGACTGCGCCATCTATACGTCGACCAACTCGGGTTCATGCCTCAGATCAAGAGCGACGCCGAAGATATGTACCTGCGCGCTACGCCGATCCCCCGTGCTTTGGAGTCGCTCCAGGAAGCCTTTTGGGGCATGTACCCGGCTAGCGCGCGCACGCTTGACTTCCCACCCCCGGTGATTGTGGCCCGCCAGGTTAATGAGGAGACACTATTCCCCAACGAAGGGAATTGTAAACGGTTCCGGCAGCTATCACGGCTTTTTGCCGACCGCGCCGCTGCACGATGTATGGGCTTATCAGTGCGATATGCAGATAAGGGTTACGGCTAATGATTTCAATGCAGGGAATGACTCTGAACAAATGGCGTACTTGAACAGCCTCTGGTCAAAACATATGCCCGAAGAATCCCCCAAGGTTGCTGTCGATGCGCACCCTCGTCTTTCTGGAATCATGGACACCATCAACGCAACCGATGCCCATGGCCCAGGCACTAAGCTCCCATCCGAGTTCTATGACAAGAAGGGTCGTGCTGTCGTGGACCGAATTGCGGTTGAGGAGTGGTTTGCTGGCTACAGCGAGAGCAGCGAGTACCGTAAGCTGGGAATTGGTGCTCTCATGGGTGACGTGGTTGACCGCATGGTCAGCACCGCCGTGGAAGGTGCCTGGCGCAGTGAGACGGCTGCGTCCGGGTCAGGAAACCCAGAGACCGGCAAAGCTATCAAGTTTGCTATGAGCGGCTGCCACGACACTACCCTGGCAGCGATCCTGTCCAGTGTTGGTGGATTCCAGAACCAGTCATGGCCTCCATTTACGTCCTCTGTTGCAGTTGAGCTCTTCTCCCAAGCGCCCCGCCCCGATTCCAACGCCGGCGTCATGCTCGAGGAGTTCTCCAACCCACCGGTCGCATCTAAGAAGCCTGGTGTCCTCTCCCAGCTGTTCGGTAAGTCCGCACCGAAGCAACCCTCCACCTCCGATACTGCACGCGCCCCTCTCGAAACCCTCTCCGAAGGCGCTCGCGAGTCTCTGCAGAAGCACTATGTCCGTATTCGCTATAATGACCAACCGGTCCTTATCCCCGGTTGTGCTGCTAAGCCTGAGAACCACCTGCCTGGCGATGAGACATTCTGCACCTTGGATGCCTTCAAGGAGATTGTCGATAAGTTCACGCCCAAGGACTGGCAATTCGAGTGCACGTCGAACCTTGGCGCAGGGCTCCACGGCCAGGATGATTGTGAGAAGGCCCCGGCTGGCTTCTAGATATTTTATAAACTGTAATGCTGATATTTTTAATTGCAAATAACTTTTTTTCCCCCCATGTATCTTCATATGCTGTGCATTGTGTTTATTATGAGTGAGGAGTAGAGAGCTAGAAACAGAGGTATAATAAATTAGTAGCCATCTCAGTTGCGCTTCGCCTTGGCCTCTAGATCTGCTCTGATCGCCTTCAGCTTCATCGTAGCAATCTTCATCAACACCGAGCGCGGTAGATACTCAAACGACAAGCCCTGCAACCAATGCCAGAAATAAGCCCATACAATATCCTGCCCACACCCAACCCGATCCAAGCCAGCAGCAGCCAGCACTCTCGCCTCAGGAATAAACAAGTTACTTTTAACATCATATCCAGGAGTTCTGACTTCCGCAACTCGCAAGCCTAGAACCTCGACCTTCTTCCCTTCGGCGGCAAACTCCTCGCGCAGCGACTTCGTAAAAGAATCGACAAATCCCTTCGCGGAGCTATAAATACTCATATACGGCAATCCAAACGCCGCAAGAGAAGAAACATTCATCACGAGACCAGGCGCATTCTCTTCCAGCTGTGCCGCCAGAACACGCGTAATCTGAATGGCGAATGTCGCATTCCGCGAGACCGTCGCCTGCACATCCTCAAAGGTATACTCTTTGAGGAGTGTCGAAGGTCTCGTCTCACCACCAACATTATTAACAAGAACAGTCAATCTGCCGGTACCACCCTGGGAATCGGACCCAGCAGTGCTATTACAGCGACGAATAATATCGCGGACCTCCGCATCAACGTCGTCAATATCGGTAGTCAAATTCTGTGCATCGCGCACAAGCACAGCAACACAGACTTCAGGAAACAGCGCCTGTAATTCGCGACGACGCCGGTCGAGTTTCTCAGCGTTCCGGCCGTGTAGAATAACATTGAACCCGCGCGCGCAGAGTTCCTGACCGAAGCCGAAACCTATTCCGTCTGTTGCGCCGGTGACGAGGGCCCAGTTTGTTTTTGTAGAGTTGTAGCGTTGGAGGGTACTTGGGAGGAGGAAGGTTGTTGCTTGGCGGGTTAGGGAGAAGGCAGTTTTTCCCAGGGCAAAGAGGCCGAGATAAGCTAGGGGTTTGGTGTATGTTCCCAGGTCGGTCATTTTGGGTGGAGTGGGATTTTGGTTGTTTTTGAATGAGTTATGATATCGGATGATCAATGTGTGATAATTGATAGATGAGGTTATTTCTTATTTCTATTGCTGTCAATGTAACCCCCTTTTATAGGTTCGAGGTTGACGTTGTATCATTCTTAGACCGGCGATTTGGCAGGTCATCGGCCCGCCCTTCGAGCCGAGCGCCGATTGGAATTGGAGTAGGTTGAAGGGGTATATCGGAGGTTATATCTGCATCAATGAATTAATGTTAAAGTCCTGTTGGATGGGATAATCGAAGCTTTACCTTATTAATGTTCTTTCATGTGGATTATTTAGAGATCCAAGCTTGTCATTCATCCAATCCCAGCTCTATATCCTAGTCTAACCCTACATGCACCACTAGTCTAGAAATGACCCGTCAAGTAATTAAGAAACCAACCAAAGTCCAATCACAAATCCCCTAATACAGATTTTCAAAACCAATGTTGTCAATTGAGGACCGTGAAAGTCATTGGAGCCAGCCAGGTACCTTGCGGACGATTCACACCGGCCACTTATAACACAGCAATTATCATCGCCATTTCAAATCATACACTTCATTGGACAAGCTATGGCTCCACTGGTATACTATCAACCTTGGAGGACCTGTATTGACATTTGTACTACATCAGAAATGCAACCGGCAGCGTTAGAGCGTTAGGGCGTGAGGAACTTGGAGACGGTGACCCGGGATAGAAGATGCTATATAATGTGATACTCTAGAGCTCCTAAAGGCTTAGCCTATATTCCTTTTCTTTCTTCTTTCTTGCTTTGTATAACCAACCCCAAAAGTTACGCACATTCACTATGGTCATTGATTCCGGAAGAGACTCGGTCTCTTACAATGTCCCGGCCCCAAGGGAAGAAAAATCGAAAACACGGCAGATGCCTGTCACCTTGCTTTCAGGCTTCCTGGTATGACATAGCAGCAATTGTACCAACTTTGAGTCGTGCCCAGGGACACTAACACATATGTATAGGGAAGCGGCAAAACAACACTCCTCAAACACATCCTCAAGTCCCCTGATCATGGGTTACGGATTGCTGTCATCGTCAACGATATGAGCCAGTAAGTTCCACATTGAATGGAGAACATAGGATATAAGCTAATTGTCTCGTTTCATTAGGCTGAATATCGACGCTACCCTCATCCAAAACCACAAAGTCTCTCAGACAACTGAGAAGCTCATCCGACTTCAAAACGGATGCATCTGCTGCACTCTTCGTGGAGATTTGCTGGCTGAACTTGCAGCTCTGACCAAACGAAATGAGGTTGACTATGTCATCATTGAATCGACTGGTATTAGTGAGCCTATGCAAGTGGCTGAGACCTTCACGGCTGAGTTTAGTTCGGCCATGTTGGAGGCTGAAGATCAGATCGCCAATGATGATGTCGATGCAAAGAAGATCCTGAACGAGATGTATTGTTTCCCCACCACACACATGTCCTCTTACCGTGGACTTGCTGACATGTCTTGATATAGCGTGGAGCTAGGTGGCTTGCACACAATGGCTCGGTTAGACACTACCGTCACTGTCATTGATGCGTTCAACTTGCTTTCTAGCTTCGACACGGCAGAGTTCCTCTCTGACCGCTATGGGAAAGAAGAAATCATCCCTGAGGATGAGCGCACAATATCTGATCTCATGGTGGATCAGATTGAGTTTGCCGATGTGTTGATTCTCAATAAGGTTGAGACGGTTGACCAAGCAACACGGGATAAGCTTATGCATTTGCTGAAGCTATTGAACCCAATCGCAAAGATTCTCGAGTCAAGTTACTCTCAAATAGATGTCCGGGAGATCATCAACACAAACAAATTTGATTTTATCCGTGCTGCTTCTGGGCCTGGATGGTTGCAGAGTCTGCACGAAATGACGATACAGACGACAGGCAATGGTGACCGGATGGCACCGAAACCAGAGACATTGGAGTAAGTTTGGCAGTTCTTTATTTGTGAATAATTTGCTCACCGATATAGGTACGGTATCAACAACTTCGTTTACACTGCTCGTCGACCCTTCCATTCGCGCCGCCTCTTCGCTCTTCTCCACGACAAGTTCATCATTCTTCAGAATAATGAAGTGGAAGAAGAAGAAGGTGACGAGGAAGACGAGGAAGACGAGGAAAACGAAGATGCAATGGACACAGACTCCGACTCCGAGTCAGTGGAAGATTTTGAACAGCCTGACCCGGTGGTCATTCTGAACAACAAACGTACCAACCCGGCCTTTGGCCCAGTTCTCCGCTCCAAGGGCTTCTTCTGGCTCACAACCCGGCCCTGGCAATTTGGCGAATGGAGTCAAGCAGGTGGTATGATGACCCTTGGATGCGGTGGACCTTGGTTTGCTGAAGTCCCCGATGCGGATTGGCCCGAAGACGAGGATGTACGGGAATCCATCCAGAATGATTTCCAAGGTCCCTGGGGTGACCGTCGCCAGGAACTAGTGTTTATCGGGGAAGGCATTGACACTGTCAAGATCAGTGCTTTGTTGGATGAGTGTCTTTTAGATGATAAGGATATGAAGAAGTGGGAGAAGGTGATGAAGAACAAGAAAATGAGCAGAGAGGAAAAGTCAGATAAGTTAGCGAAGATGTGGGAAGATGGTTGGGAAGAGTGGCCTGCACTTGAGGCCGACGAAGAGGAAGGGGAAGAGGAGGAAGAGAAACCGGAGCAAGGGAAGCATCGAATCAGTGATTATCTGGGTCATCAGCATGGGACTAAACATGCTCATGGACACAGCCGCCGGATGGTTGCCGTGTGAACTGGACGAGGTTAATGATAAAAAAAAGTTTATTACTATCAAATTCCACCAATCCGTTTAAGGATCAACGCTCAATTCTGGAGTAGTCCATCGACGCATCTTCTGCGGCCTTGGCCAAGCATCATAAATGGAGTTCAGAGGTTGATAGCCCTGGAAGAGGCGGTAATATAGCGGCAGAATATAACAGGCGGTCTATGACAGATTAGAGCCGATAAGATAGAAGCTCAAAGATAACGGCTCCTTGGTCCTGCTCTTCCTCTTCCCCCATCCTCTCCTCCTTACCACAATTCCATAAGAAATACCCCTTCAAATCAAAGAAAACCCTACATCTTTTGAACAAACCTTTTTAGATCACTTGCCGCGCTATCGTGCACGTTACATATCCGGCCCGATCGCGCTTCGTCTCGCTTCCAAGCTCCGAGCTACTCCAACCCCCGCACTCGGACAGCACAACCGTTACTCAACGATCGCCCCAACCCACCCTCCTCCGCCGTGAATTGAATTTCCAAACCCTGAGACAATGATACAGATTTGACTGCAGATATCCGATTCTGTACCACCACCCAAGCAAAATCTGGGAACCTTGCGGCTTCCGTCCTAGGCGAGATTAGCACATGCAGATGTCAATAGTTGCTCTTTGCCGTTAAATTGAGCTCGACCAGTTCCTTTTACCATTCTTCTTCGTGGTAACGGAGAAATTTTGACTTTGCATTAGCCTGATTATCCCTGTCTAATACAAAATACATTGCGTAGTAAGTACACCCAAACCATTCTTAATGCATACCCCAGACTCTAACATCTTATATCTAGATGTCTGCCCGTCCAATGGAGGTAAGAAACTCTTTTTTCCCCCCAAACACATATCCTCGAACCCTCCCCCCTATATTGCCTCGAACTACGGCTGGGTCATTTGGTGAAGCTCGGTTAGTTACCGCTTTCGCTGCATCCATGCACGGGCCGTTGTGAGACAGCTGCTTGGTTCCGGACCCTTTTTGCTATCTCCCAGGGGATAGAGAAGCTCCACAGACCTTTCTAGGCAGCCAAATGAGCCCTACAATAGGCAAAGAACATGGATTTCCAATTTTGGTCTACCACGGCTGCTGTCACAATGGGCCGTTGCAAGATAATACCATCTACGGGTCTCCGTCTTCAGCTTTGGACCTTTCCTTGTTATCTTAAGGGATAGTAGCCTGGTTGGGCTCGCTGACTGCCCAATACCTTATTTCCCTCAAACATGTGATGCGTTGATTTATTCCACCCTGCCCCTAGCCCATGAATTTTCCGTCCTGATAACCATAAGCTGTCTTTTGCCTCACCAATCCCAAAATGCATGCCCCTTTTGTTTGATTAAATGTCCGACTCACCGGTAGCCGGCGTGAGCCGGCCTCATGGTCCTTTTATAGGACGTGAGTTTAATTTTTGGAAGCGACGGCGTGAAATTCCATTCCATAAGACTGAAGCCGAGCTAAGCCTTCTGGATAATTTACAGGGAAACAGCCAAGTGACTGCGCCAACTCGGGCCAAATCGGCCTCTGTGCCTAACACCAAAGGCCCTGATGTTAAACCTCGTCTTCTTCTAATGGGACTCCGCAGGCAAGTTTTCTCTATCAGATCTCACAACGGAGATATTAACTGTGTACTAGGAGTGGTAAGTCATCCATTGCTAGTGTGGTATTCCATAAGATGCCGCCAAACGAGACACTCTTCTTGGAGTCCACGACTCGGATCCAGAAGGACTCAATCCAGTAAGTTTTAAAGGAAGGACATGCTGAATACGGTTTTCGCTGACCTGGAGTCTGCAGCTCTTTTATGGATTTCCAAGTTTGGGATTTCCCGGGTCAACTCGAATACTTCGAGTCCGCCTTCGACCTCGAGGATATATTCGGCAGTCTGGGCGCCCTGGTTTGGGTGATCGATGCACAGGATGACTACCTGGACTCAGTGGCGCGGCTCAACCGCACCATATTGACTGTCCAGCAATTCTATCCCGGGATCAACATTGAAGTTTTCATCCACAAGGTCGATGGGCTGTCAGACGAGTACCGCACCGACACATTCCAGGACATTGTGCAGCGCATCTCCGACGAGCTCAGCGACGCTGGATATGAGAATGCGCCCGTGCACTACTATCTGACTTCCATCTACGATTACTCTGTCTTTGAAGCCTTCAGCAAAGTGATTCAGAAGCTGATCCCCAACTTATCTACACTTGAGAATCTCATCAACACCCTCGCCAATAACTGTGGGTTTGAAAAGACATACCTCTTCGACGTTCTGAGTAAAATTTATATCGCTTCCGACACCCGACCCGTGGACATGGCTTGCTACGAGATGTGCTCTGATTATATCGATGTGATTGTCGATATCTCTGAATTGTACTCTTGGGATCACCCAGTTCGCAAGCGACTGGGCGACCAGATCCAAGAAGCTGAAAGCCATGTGGTGTTGCATGATCAGACCATGATCCATTTGATGGAGATGAACAAGTATGTCTCTCAACGAGTGTTTTGATTATGTATACTGACCTTAATCTACAGGTATCTCTGTCTAGTGTCGGTGATTCGCAACCCCGAAGCCAAGGACAAGCGAGGTCTGATTGACATGAACTGCCGTACCTTCCAAGACGCCCTGAACGAAGTCTTCTCGCGCAGCTGGGAAGAAGGGTCCGCGGCCCAAGAAGGGGAATCTGCAACCGCAAGCAAATGATGGAAATTAAATGGAGGCAAATTTGACGTTAGAACTAAAAAGCCGGGTGTATTTCTTGGCTACGTTATGAATTCAAGCCTCTTGTATCTTTAGCGATGAATGCAGCTTGAAGAAATAGTTAGAAATTGGATTGATAATGCACATCAGATTCCGTTGTGAATTTGAAGTTGTGGATAGTCTACTCGGGGCTGGACTTTGGGTTTTGTCAGCCAAGTCCTCCACCTGTGCAACTCCAATAACAACAATCCAAATGGTCATCATATGATCCTACAACTCCTCAGTCGACACACATCTACGAGAAATGTCAGAACTCCGCCAGCGATCAACAGCCACGTCAAAGTCCAGCAATGGGCCGGACAAAGAACCAAATTCCAGACAGCACTCCGGCAACGATGAAACCGATCAAGACCGCAGCATAAGTGTACTGGACATAATCCGCGTGATTGTGACCCTACTGATTGCTTGCGGTGGTCTCTCCTATTACATGACTTCCTTCGAGTCCGTGCTGTGGGGTTACAGACCATGGTATACACGGTGGCCGGTGGTGAAACAGTGGGTGGTATGCGACTCCCGGTCCTCGAGTTTACAAAAGAAAAAAAAGTCACGCCACAGTTCAAGCTAACACATATTTCAAAAACTAAAGCAAGGCCCCGTTACCCTGACACCAAGCCAACTATCCCTATACAACGGCACAGACACCAACCTCCCCCTCTACGTCGCCGTGAACGGGACCGTCTTCGACGTCTCAGCAAACCGCATGATCTATGGACCGGGCGGGAGCTACAACTTTTTCGCGGGGCGGGACGCAACACGCGCTTTTGTCACAGGATGCTTTAAGGAGGATCTTACAAACGACATGCGCGGTGTCGAGATTATGTTCCTTCCCGTTGAGGATATCGAGGAAGAGGGTGTGACGTCTGCGGAGAAGAAAATCCGGCGCGAGAAGGAGTTACGGGCTGCTAGAGGGCGGGTTGAGGCAACCGTGAATAGATGGAGTGGATTCTTTGCGAACCACGCCAAGTATTTTGAGGCTGGAAGGGTTGTGGTTGAGGATGGAGGTGTTGAAGAAGAGCCGTGGCCGCTTTGTGAGAATGCGCAGAAGCAGCGACCGAAGAGGAGTGCGATGGTGGAAAAGGCGTAGGGCTACTTTGGGTGTTTTTTTGTGCTGCGTTGTTGTGGATAGTGCAGGTAGATGTCGAGAAGAAGTCTACGGAATATGACGGTCCTTTTCATGAAGTTTTGTAGATTTTTTGATTCAGTTCGCACTACCTGACGTAGGCCAAGAGTGCGAATGTTCCACACTCTTCAAGAGTCAGACGTTAATCCACTATGCATCATGCCCAGCCGGGCTTCCCATGGTAAATGATATCATTCGTAGCAAGGAAAAGAAAACCGCGAGAAAAGACGAGAGACGAGAAGTTTACTCGGCGGTGACGGCACGGGCTATTGAGAGAGGCAATCAGTATTCAAGTTTCGAGATGGAGGGGATGCTGAAGAGGAACGCACTGTAGATGCTCAGGCTGGAGTGACCGACGACCTTCTTGATCTGGCCGTTAGCCTCAAGGTCGTTGAGAGCCTGGCGGGCAAGGCTGCCGTTGATCTTGAGACGATCGACAAGGGTGGCGACAGTGATCAGACGGTAGGACTGGACATCCTTCTGAAGCTTGTCGTTGGTGGCCTTGTCGAGAACGACGGCGTGCTGGGCCTTGTCCTTGACTGTAGGGCGAAAGACGTGTCAGTAAAATGTTGCTTCTTGGTGTATCATTTGCGTATCCCCAGCTCGTCCAACGATTTCTTTCGTGTCTTGTGGGAACTCGGCGGAAATCGTCACGATCGCATGGTTGGTGGTGATTGCGTACCCTTGCCCTTGGACCACTTCTTCTTTTGCTTCTTGCCTCCGGTTGCTGCGGGCGCCTGTTCGTCACATTTCGATTAGTATTGGTGTCTTTCGGTTGTATATTGGTACGCTGGGGAACTCACCATTTTGTCGGATGAGGTGGATGTTCAAAGGAAGAGGGCGACGTCCAGAAGCCGCTCAAGTGCGAAAAGGCAGTGGGGCGTGACTGAGGTGAGCCCTAAGCCCTTGATCGGTTAGTCTGGATGTTGCCATTGGCTGACGTATTTAATTACATAATATTGCTGACATCATCCGGGATATGTTCTGCCTGAGGTGTCTCTCACATTTACGATGAACCGTATATCATTTTAAGGTGCTTCTAGAGAATAGAAGAGAGGACCCAAAAAGAAAGGAAAGGACCCAATCTTTGTTTTTATATGATTTTCAAACAAATTTATTTGTTCTCCAACATCAACAATGATGCTTAACAACTGCAGTCTTTGAAGTCATTGTGCATCACTACATACATCGAACACCAGTCGGGCACAATCTCGAAGTTAGCTAAGAAAATAAAGCATGAAATCCCGCCTCGAGAAGCTTTTCTTGATTCTTACACATACCATCTTTGTCCAAGGCCTTGAGAAATCCACAAATATCAACTAGATGTTCTTCATCAATATCTGCTTCGATACCACCATGTTCCGCTTTATCCTCGGTCTCCTTGGGTGAATTGTCCTGGCCTATCGCATCATTTTCTTTGGCAGAACTGTGGTTTTCGCTGTCATTGTTGTCTTTACCGGTGTTGGATGGGTTCAATGGCCAGCTGTTATCATTCCCGTTCTTCACCACTCGCTTCATAACTTCGTCCAAGATTTTTCTGGCCCTGCCCAAGCTAAACATCGACACCAGCAAATGTCGGAAGAGAGGGGAATTGCGGGTCAATCTGGCGTTCTTGCTTTCTGGCCGCAGATTTGCGATACATTGCACATAGATGTTTCGATAGAACTCCAGCGTATCCGGTGAGCCTTCCAACATCCAATCCTCGTCCTTGATTCTATGTTCCATCTCTTCGGTCCAACCGTACACGGTCAGATCCCAGTCGCGCATCAGCCATAGTGGATACGACTCATTCCCTATACTTGGTGGCTCGGCTTTCGCGCCGTGCCAGTCGAGGATTGCCCGCACAGAACCATCATCTGAAACAAGACAGTTGAATATGTTGGGGTTTGGATGGGTCATAACAAATGACTTTCCAGCAATTGGCTCTGGAGTCCAGTCGGCAAACATCCGAAGAAGCTTCAGCAACTCTTGAAGCACAAAGTCATCTTTCCACTACCGGTCCAGACGAGAAGTATAAGCTACTTTGAGACCCGAGAATGGGTCTTCCTTCACTGGCACAACACCAATAAGGCGATCTTGGTCGTCAAATATCAAGGGCTTGTTTTCGTTGAACATGTATTTTGCAAGTTGGAGATACGCAGCAGCCATGTCCTGCAGACAGCGTGTGCGCCGAGCCTATACAACTTCTTTTGGAGATTCCCGATAATGCCATGCCTCAGTCAAAGGCCGACCCTCAATGAACTCCATGAGGATAAAGGGAACTTTGAGCCTGTTTTTGCATGTATTGTCGTATGAAAAGACCTCGGGGATTGGGATAGTTGTTTCACGTCGCAACATGATCATTGTCAATACTTCCGAGCGAAGGGCCTCGGCATCGTCTTCGTCGAATTGATCAGGGGTTTCGATAGCCGGGACTTTGAGCATCCATTTAACCCCATCAGCAAAACTTTACCTTGTAGAAAATGTCCTGCCCACAGAAAGTGTGAGACCCAACCTCAACGACAGGAATGTTCTTCTTGCCACTTGGTTGAATCTTCGCGCGAATCGCGGCCACGTGTTTACCGATATGCTTCACTTTCACCCTTTCCAATACTGCGTCGAATGGATCTATGTCAAGGGGATCCAAATCATCCTCCTCGTCAGAATCTTCATTTTCACGTTTTCGTTTCAGCGTGACATGGTCCACAATTGAGGATGAGATTGAGGCGATTGCCTGAGCGATTCCCCGAACGTGTACGGAAAGAGACGAAAGATACCCCATAATCACCGTTGTTGGACCCTCACAGGGAATTACATAAGCATGCTGATCTGGGCAGGTGCTCACTGAGCGGACGTAGGGGCCCGTTCTGGATTGAAAGGGTAGAGTTCTTAGAGCTATGACCGGTATAAACAAGGGACCCGTTCCCTTAAATACTTGAGCCGGGTCTAGGAAGAATGTGAGACAAAGATGCTCGTATTCACGAATATATCGAATATAAAGATAGAAAAAGAGAAGAAAAGAAGAAGAGCTCCCGAGGTCCCTAAGTAGTATATGGCTCGATCAGGGGCCAGATGTTGGCCCAAGCTTGCCAGGTCCAGCCCCGGGGCCTTGCGGGCCTCGCGGGCCTCGCGGGCCCCGCTCTTGGCCGAAGCCGAGGAAGCCGAGGCCGCATACTTGATGTTCCTCTCTTGATGTTATTGTTTTGAGAAGGAAACAAATCAAGTGACTCTTCACGCTTGATGTTGTTCCCGTGATCTGGATTGCTATTGCTTAGAGAAGATGAGCAAGAAGAGCCCTCATTGCTCGCGGAATTCGTGATCTTTTTCTCCTGTTGAACTACGGTCGAAGCGCTTTCATGGCGCTGAACGTAGAACTTGCGAAGCCGCTCTTCTGCGGCATCTATCTTCTTTTCTGAATCTCATCCAAAGTGTCGTAAATGCGGAGCGACAAGAGTAAGTTGTACCGAGAGACTGCGAAATATATACGTAAACCGGTAAGGCGTAATATTGCACCAGATTCCTTCGCATCGCGCAACCCAGCCTAGTATTTCCCGTGACATAAATATAAACACCTCGCCCCCATATGTAAGCCTTGAAGTGTTTTGCTAAGCCTCCAAGGGGCTACATATAGCTAAGTGGTTCCTCTGATTCTTGAGAGGTTAGAAATGGCGGCCGAAGCTAGGTTTGCTGTTGCTAGCAAAGGCGCTTTCGACTTTACGCCAGTCTTCGAGGACTCCATTCTCGGCATCGTTCCTTCGTCTGTATTTCTTGTTGTGGCCCTACAGCGCCTCTTCTGGCTCGCGAGACAGCCCCACAAGGTCGCCAAAAGCCACCGGCCAATCGTGAAAGTGGCATGTGATGACCTCCGCCCCCGAAATTATACGTTGTAGATGTTTTCTGGGCCCATTGTGTCGGCAAGGAAAAAAAAAAAACAACTACTGACTGGTCCAGTAACTACAGGGGTTGATCGGCGTCTACACGGCTCTACAACTTGGGGTCTTGCTATACTGGGCTCTGAATGCAGAGAAATGGTCTTTCTCTCAGTTGCGGACGTCGGCCGCTGTGCTCGCTTTCGTCGATGGATTTTTACTCTTGTTCCTGTCTCACGCCGAGCATGCGCGCTCGGTGCGACCATCGACCATCATCAACGTTTATCTACTCTTTACTTTGCTCTTTGACTGTGTCGTAGCTAGAACTCTATGGCTTGCCGACCATGACTCTACTATCTCGCGTCTCTTTACTTCAACTATCGCGATCAAACTCTTAGTCTTGGGTTCCGAAGCTTGGGAAAAGAGACCTATACTTCTTTCCCAATATCAGCATCTCTCCCCAGAGGCAACCAGTGGCATACTGGCCCGGAGTGTCTTCTGGTGGCTGAATTCATTGATGCGAACCGGGTTCATGCGCTCCCTCACCGATAATGATATGTTCCCCATTCATGACAGCCTAGCCGCACGAATACTACTACCCAAAGCACGAAACTCATTTGGTTCATCAAACCAGTCCAACCCCCATGCCTTGGCCTTCTCCACGTTGTGGGCCACCAAGTATATCTTTTTGGCTGGCGTGGCACCCCGGCTTGCATTGGCAGCTTTCAAGTACACACTGCCCTTTCTCATCACCAGGACAACTTCCTGGACGGCCGATTTGTCGCAGTCGGATGCCATTGGATGGGGACTGACGGGTGCATGGCTGCTGGTATTCCTTGGGCAAGCAATTTCGAACGGTTTTTATTACCAGATGACATATCGATTTGTCACTTCGATCCGCGGCAGTCTCTGCAGTGTGATCTACACCAAGACGTTGGATCTGAGCAGCACGGCTCTTGACGAGTCCGTGGCGGTATCGCTCATGTCCACGGACACCGAGAGTATCTGTCAAAGCGCCGCAACCTTGCACGAGCTTTGGGCCTCGCCAATCGAGTCTGCAGTCGCCATCTTTCTCCTGTACAGGCAGCTTGGCCTTGCGGCGCTTGCCCCAATAGTTGTAGCAATCATTGCCACTACTGGCATGTTGCAGCTTGCCCGGTTCATTGGCATGGCCAAGAAGCGATGGATGAGGGGCATCCAAACGCGAGTCGATGTAACGACTTCCGTCCTCGCATCTATGAAGGTTAGAATTCAGCGGGAACGTCTGATACGACTTGTTCTTGATGACAGGACACAGTACTAATCGGTTCGCTGCAGGAAGTCAAAATGCTTGGTTTGTCAGATATTGTGGCGAACATGATCCAGAACCTCCGCGTAACAGAGCTGGACTTGTCCAAGCAGTATCGTAGACTGTTGGCTATACAGACTTTCATTGGTAAGTATCTGAGTTATGGACTCTTGCTATGCCGCATTTCCAACGTGTCATGACGCTGCTGCTGACTCCTTTGGCTGAGCAGCAATGAACACGGCGACCATCGCCCCTTTGGCGACCTTTGTAACTTTTGTGATTGTTTCCAAGAGCACTGGACAGCCATTGAACACGGGATCTGCCTATACCTCGCTCTCGCTGATATACCTCTTATCGGACCCCATGGTTGTCATGTTTCGTACTATCCCATTTGTCAGTGCCGCTCTCGCGTGCTTTTCTCGCATTCAAAACTACTTATTGTCAGAAAGCTGTACTGATTATAGACTGCCCTTGAGCGAGCGGGATCATAATTCAAGCCAAGACAATGAGAAAGGAGACACACTTGTGGCGATATCAGGAGCCAGTTTGGGCTGGGTTCTCGGAAAGCCGGACACCCTCAACGACATCACTGTCAACATCCGCAGGTCTTGCTTCACCTTCATCGTCGGACCCGTGGGCTCAGGCAAGAGCACCCTCATGCGAGCCATTCTGGGAGAAGTCCCTCTCCGAGCGGGTTCCATCCATGCCGATTCCGGCAACATTGCGTTTGTTGGCCAGGAGCCCTGGATCCAGAACCTGACGATACGCCAGAATATCCTAGGTAGTACTAGCTACGATGCAGAATGGTACGGCAAAGTTGTGTACGCGTGTGGGCTGGAGCATGATATCACCAATCTTGCCGACGGAGATGCGACAAAGGCGGGCAGCGCGGGCTTTTCGCTGAGCGGCGGCCAAAAGCAGCGGCTCGCCTTGGCCCGAGCCGTCTACTCCAGGGAAAAGACAGTCTTGTTGGATGATGTCTTTGCAGGGCAGGATGCGGCGACCGAGGAGCACATCTTCCAGAATCTTTTTGCCGGGACGGGTCTCTTCCAGCAGACGAGAACAACTGTGGTCTGTGTCACGAATGCCATCCATAGACTCGCATATGCCGATCATATAGTCGCTCTGGGTGTGAGCGGCCATATCGTGCACCAAGGTTCATTCGCCCAACTTCAATACGATACAGATTATCTGCATGGACTCGCAGTCGAGCAGAACGGTGCGATTGACGCGCGGGACGCAGTTGAATCATCGGCGCAGCGTCGCCATGAGACTGCTCCCAAGGGCCGATCTGAACAAGATGCTGACCAGAACAGTGACGACGCTGAATCACCCGGACGAGTCCTCGGCGAGTTTGCCACATATGCATATTACTTTGGCTCCGTCCCTGTATGGCATATCATACTGTTTTTTGCCCTCACCATTCTGTATGCGGGAGGTTTCCGGATGACGGCACTCGTACTCAGCTTCTGGACAGACACTACAGAAGTCTCCGGCCAGGCCACCAATGACTATTATCTCGGGCTCTTCGGAATGCTCACCGGTCTCGCCGTCGTGGGCATAACAGGGGCCGCCTATTTCTTCCTGGTCGTCATGGTGGCTTTGAGCTCCGAGGTTCTCCATGCTCGGCTTCTACATTCCGTCATGAATGCCCCTGTGGCCTTCTTCTCGCGCACCGACGTCGGAGTCACCACAAATCGCTTCAGCCAGGACATGTCGGTTGTCGACACCGAGCTGCCCTTCGCCCTTGTAGATTTCTGCGTCAACTTAGCCCTTATCATCATGTCAGTCATCCTGATGTGCGTATTTTCTGGGTATTTTGCAGCCGCACTTGTGCCCTTTGTCGCTTTCTGCTGGTGTGAGTTTTGACAGCCCACTTAATTTGAGAGGAAAGAGATCATGGCGCTGACTCCCAAGTTAATATTACTATGGGCCAACAGTACTGCAAAAGTTCTACGTGCGGACATCTCGGCAGATCCGACTGTTTGATCTCGAAGCCAAATCTCCCCTATTCACGCAGTTTCTCGACCTCCTTCAGGGCCTGTCCACGGTGCGAGCGTTTGCATGGGGGCCGCGCTTCATCGAGCAGTACCTGGACCTTCTAGACGCCTCACAAAGACCCTTTTACCTGCTCTTCTGCATCCAGCGCTGGCTGGGCCTCGTGCTCGACCTGATGACCGCCGTCCTCGTGACCGTCATGATGGTCCTGGTCGTGAAGATACGGGCGCAGCTGTCACCGCAGTATGTGGCCCTGGCATTCGTGCAGATCATGTCATTCGGCCAGTCGCTGGCCCACGTCATCCAGGACTGGACCCAGCTCGAGACGTCATTTGGTGCCGTCGCGCGCGTCAAGACGTTCTGCACCGACACCGAGTCGGAGAACAGACCCACCGAGATGGGTACCGTGCCCAAGAACTGGCCAACGCACGGCCGCGTCACCATCAAGGATCTGGTGGCATCGTACGATGCGGGTGGCCGCGGCGAGGCCGTCCTGCGCGGCGTGAGCCTCGACATCCCCGCCGGTGCCAAGGTCGGCATCTGTGGCCGCAGCGGGAGTGGCAAGAGCTCGCTCCTGGGCTGCATCCTGCGCCTCCTCGAAGTTGGTCCCGGCTCGAGAATCACCATCGACGGCGTCGACATCACGACGCTGCCACGGCAGGCCGTGCGCGCTGCAGTGACCGTTGTGCCGCAGCACCCTTTCTTCCTAAAGCATACGAGCCTCCGCGACAACCTTGCCGTCCTTCACCGACAACAGCACGGGCAGGAGCACGAACAGCAGCAGCAGCAAACCAACGACGACAAGATCCTCCAAGTCCTACGCCGGCTCAAGATAGACGATGTCGTAGATCGGCTGGGCGGCCTAGACAGCCCGCTAGACGCCGACCGGCTCTCGCAGGGTCAACGGCAACTTCTGTGCATCGCCCGGGCCATGCTGGCCGGCAAGCGGATCATTCTAATCGACGAGGCGAGTAGCAACGTCGACGAGCGGTCCGAGCGGCTCATCAGGGACGTCATGCGCGAGCAATTTGCTAGCTGCACCGTCATTGCCGTTGCGCATCGCCTCGGTGCGGTCGTCGACTTCGATCGTGTTGCTGTCATGGACGGTGGCCGTCTCCTAGAATGGGATAATCCTCGCGCTCTTCTCAAGCGAGACAGCGAGTTTAAGAGGCTTTGGGATCTTGGGGCGAGTTAGAGGAGCGGGTAGATCCATAGGTCATGTGTGTTTGGCCTTGTTTAAGCTCGGGGCTAAGATCCCTACAACAACTACCAACGTCGCGCTAGGTATATATAGAGACCGAGGTCTATGACCGTGTATTTACCTACCGCTAGTACATATGTATTTCCACACTAAGAGCTCCCAGTCGATAGCATCATCGCCGTTCTCAACAAGTAAATACTAGAAGATAGCACGAATAAGCAGTTGAAAAAAGAATACCTGGGACCTATGGGAAGTTTAAGATACAGATAGTCGAAAAAGAAGTGATTGTGACAGAGCAGCATTTCAGAATGCATTAAACTGGGATGTGAGGAAACTGGGCTAAACGATATTCCAATAAAGGCGCTTTCCATGCCGCCAATCGTTCATCGTCCAATATAGCAAAACCCCAGCTCCATAAAGCTTCATCCCTACCTTCTAGATCAATTGCATCTTCAAATGTTTGTTCCGGTGTTTCAGGCAGCAAGTTCATCCTTCTCCACCCTAGGTTAGGTTGCTCGATGTATGGCAATGTCGACCAAAGCCTCTCATAATCTTGAACCGCGTGCCGATCTGCAGGATATATAAGAGGAACCATGTTCTCTTGCGTTATATACATGCCGGGAAAGGAGTTCCATAGCTCGTCGTTTCCATTGAGCATCACCATATCGCGCTGAATCAAGGGCGTTCCATGAAGAAGGCGGTAGACAAACTCTGGTCCCATTAAAGCTAACGATTTCGAAAATCCCCAAATCTTCTCGACATTTTCGAGCTTGTCTACCCCATGCCACCAAGGAGGCTGCACATCCTCAGGGAGCTCTTCAAAGAGTTCACGTGCCCAATCAACTCTAGTTGCGTGCTTCTCCACAAGATCATATAGACCGGCAGAAATTTTCTTGTAGATATGGTCGAACAATGTCGTAAAGTATGCCCATAGACAGCCTATTTCTTGGAATTCCCAAGGAGGCATCGTCCCAAAGAACACGCGATATGCCTCTTCATCACAACAAAGATCATGTTCAGGACCACGACTCCAATGATTGTGATTGACTATCTCGGTAGTTGTATGTTCATATTCACCAAAAATATTGGCGCAAATTTGTAGTCGACACAAAGCTCTGAGAAACCGGTGTTTTTCGGCGTGAGACAATTTAATGGGGAGAATTGCGTTCTCCCATTGGTCGTTTGATATCCACGGAGGGCGCGGTACTTTCGTCTCGTACTCATTCAAAAAGAAATGGAACACGTTGTGAAGATGAACTAGGTTGAAGATCTCGTCCAGATTGCTGGGCTCATCTATCGGAATGGATGAGCTCAAGGCAAGGTCGCTAATCTCTTCCTTGCGACGCCAGGTGTCTAACAAGGCAATTGCTTCCTGTTTATGGGCATCGAACTGGAGACCACGAGACCGTGTAGCAGCCATTGCATCTCCTAAAAGCGGTCCCCATTGATTCTTGACGATGCGACAGAGAGCTTCCTGTCGCACTGTGACATAGGCTTGGTGAAATATCGGCGAGGAGAGCACAATGGACTTGAGAGAAGCCAGATCAGGTATTCCAAGCAAGATAAGAATGAGCAGCTCCGGTGGGAGTCCTTCTAAAGTCGATTTGGCCTTGACAGAAGGTAAGTATGAGGGTTTTGAATTGCAGGTTGAACCTTACCATTATTAGGATATGATAAATTTCCGATGCTATGAAAAAGGAAAGCAGGGGGATTCGTTAACCTGATGTCTACATGGTGGAGCCCTAGAGGCGGGGTCTTAAGGCTTTTGTCCTTTGGAAAGCGGCACGATGTATTTTTTAGCCAACCGCTGAACTAAGTAGCCAAAAGATTACTAACAGGACTACTAAAAAGACATCACCAGTCCGTATAAGCGGCCGACTATTATTGTTAGTATAAAAATAAAAATTAGCATATAGGCGGTTATACCTGCGGTGAGGCAATGAGAGAGTTATGTCCGTGGCATACTTGCCTAGGTAGTTCCCTACTAGTTGCCTATTCCTGTTAGCAGCTTACCGTCTCTGCCGCACCACCCTTTGGCGCCCTGGGCGTACTCAACCTGCCTCTTGCCGAGGTGACCCCTCTGGGTTGAATGCATATTCAACATCACTTGGAGTAAGTACTTGAACACAAAATATACTATTGCTATTTATGAAATTATTTAGAATAACACGTCTGTGTTTTTCAAGGCTCGCAAGGTATCCTCAGGGCTGTTCATTTCCACCGAAGCACAACAAGCCACCTATACCAGCCTTGAACATATTCTCCTATCCGAGGCAATTCTTATGCCTCATTCATCAATTTGAAGCTTTGTATTATCACCCACGAGCCCCAACAGCTTCCTAGTGGGACAGCTCTCTAACCGATTCGAGCGATTATTCAACAACCCCAGAATTGTGCTCTTAAAGTTCTTCCACAAGTCTTCCCACGCAAACCTCGGATTCAGAGCCTTAATGAAGACACGCATCGCAGTAACAGGAACACCAATGATACGGCAGACAATCTCGGCCGAAAGGTCCTTCTGCATCGTATTGATGAAGCTAGACTGCATAGATGATTTGAATGGTGCGAATTTATCTCCTGCTTTGGTTTCAATCATGGCAGTTGTGTCTGTTCCTAATTCTTCAGCTGGCTCGATGTCAGGGAAGAATTCTGACTTCTCTCCTGTTAGGATTTCGTGAAGGAAGACTTCATCCAAAGGCTCGATGTTATTGCCGAATTCGCTTTTCTTCCCAACTTGCCAAGGAAGACGTTGTTTCTCTGCATCACCAAGGGCTTTGTTGATCATTTCGATATTCTTGGTCTTGGTAGCTTCGTCAATATCGTCCCCGAAGTCTGCGTTTAGAAGATCTTTGTACACCTGCATGTTTTGAATCCTCAAGACATTGGGGCTAACCTGCCACATAGAAGCAACCTCGGCATGTTTGTCCATAATTGCTTGACATGAGTTCTTCATCTTGACCCATGCATTGTTCTTACATGCTTCTGATACTTCGATCTTGAGTGAGCCAAAGGCCGCTGAGCGCGATGTGTAGGTGCTGGCAGCAACGAGGTCGTCGTGGGGACGTCGTTCGCCTCCTTTGGCGAGATGTTCAAGGTAGTGGATCATTTGGGTATAGCCTGAAGTCTGTCGTTTTAACTGGCGTGGAAGCTGCTCTAGCAGACGAGTTGCGATAGTAGCGATGTCAGACCCCTCCACTGTAAGCATTCGCATAAAGACGGTAATAATTGTGCGAGAATGGTGAAGCTGAATGTTTCGAAGCTTGGAAAACCTGATCATCTCATCTGTCCGGCTTGCTTTCACCGCATCTACCCTTTCGTTCTTGCTCACCACACGGACGATGGCCTTATCAAGGAGCTTCTCCAGATTCTTTTTGAACTGTTCCAGAGGCCATCCGGTGTAAGGATACAAAGCGACGACAGTTTCGTACCAAATCCACTCAACATCGGTTTTGGGAACCTCGTATTGAGGGTTCAGACCGAACAGCTGCCAGACCATGCTATGAGGACGCACCCCTGAACCTGCTATTGTCAACAGATTACCGAAGAGCCCTCGCATTAATCTCGTGACAGTATCCCCGGCCTGTTGTGTCACAACTGGTGCAGTTGTCCTCATCGCCGCAAGCTTCGACATAGCCGCCATCAACAAAGCGCTCATGAGATGGGTAGTTTCTGTGCTGTTCGGCCCAATTTGATGTTCTCTAGCTGACACTGCTTGACTAAGAGTGGACCTCATAATGATCCTTAGCGCGGCAATGTGAGACTCATTGCACTTCTCCATCCATCTGACGCTGTAGGGACTTTGGAGGTTAACGAATTCGTCCCAACAGACCCAAGCTAACATTGATCCGGTTCCCGATTCCTGGCTTAGGTACGGTAACGCCAGGATTGGATGGGAGGGTCCGTCCTGACTTTGGAGTGGGCCGTTGTGTTTGGACTGTGACTGCTCGATGATAATTCCGGCATCGAATCCCTCGAGATGTAGAACTCTCGGGTCAAGGTCGCAACAGGGACTATAAACAGTAGGTTAGCATTTTGCTATACACAGTGATTTCAAAGATAAAGAATATTCAAATTGGTGGGTAACATACCTGGCATCGATGGTGGTGCTTTTTAGACTGCTCAAAAGCTGGGAGTAGGATGATGTGTCAATATTCAATAGCATGACTCCCATATCCCCCGCATATGTCTCAAGGTATCCTGCCAGAGTGTCAAAAGTCATCGACTTAACGGCATCGACATTAGCCTGAATCTGAGTTTGGCGAACAAGTCTCTTCATATCGTGTGTCCTCTTAGAAGTCATCTGAGAAGACATTATGTTTGACAAGCTCGAAATGAGCGGCTCAAGTGCAATCTGTATCTCCTTTGTGAGCCTTCTTAATGTTCCAAGCATAGCATTCTTCTTCTTCGCAGACTCTGGATCTGTGATTTTGTACTCCTGGGTTAGGTAGTTGGTGTAGGTCTTTCTCAATGTAGCTGTCGCGTTGCTGATCTTTGATGAGAGTGCGAATACCAAGCTTTTGGAGAGTTCTCGTAGATCCTTCTCGTTAAGAAGCATTTGGAGCTGGGGAACCGCTGATAATATGTCTTCTTCCAGCTCTTTGAGTTGGTCGACCGAAAGTTCTTCGAACATGTTCTGAAGATTTCGAGGCTGGACTAACTGACCTGAAGTGGGCAAAATGATCGGACTTGCATCACCGAGCGTAATAATACGCTCAATTCTGGGATCGAGCATGGATGACATACCGACAGACTCGAGTATGGATGTCACATCTGTGCCAAATTCGATTGTGGATGTGTTGAGGTGTGCCCGATTAGCAATGCCTCGGTAGAAGTAATATCTGTCGGAGATTTGAATTAGAACCAAGGATTGTGGCCCAGCGAGTGCGGTCACCGCGTTGATATTTGCTGAGTCCAATAGAGACACAATGTCGTCGGTATTCTTGGGCTTGGTTTGCGAACTAAGTTGCACGATGAAGAGTGCATTGATTCTGTAGATAGTTGCGAGATTGCGGGCGTTATCTGTCATTCTATCGTCGACAACTACCACAACATTCTTGAGCTGCTTGTAATAATTCCGCATCGCAACTTCGTCGAAAAAGGGAACATTCGAAGGGACCGTTCCTGTTGCCAATAGAAATGGACCTTGAAGCTGGGAACCAAAGATACATGGTAAAACAACGACAGATGACTCCATCTTCGCAGGAAGCTTCTCGCCTGGTAGCTCAAATTCAATGCCAGTCCCGAAACGTATGATTTGAGCTTTTTCTAAATCAAGGAAAGAAGGAAGCGTAGTCAAATCGGTGGCAAACACCGCATTTTCTTTGGTGATCTTGCACATGATTTCCAAACTCGAGGTAACTTTCTCTTCAGTTGCATCACCTTTTGGGGCTACATCTGTATTCTTATTAGCTTCTATAGGTCTGCTTGCTTGATACTGACAGGACTTACTTTGCGTAACAGTCGGAGAACTAGCAGAGATGTTGAAATCGGCGCGATCGATCGCTTCCTGGAAGGAATCGCTGTCCAATATTTTATCGTAGCAGCTTTTTTTTATGTCTGTCGTTGCTGTTGGCAAAATCGAACAGATCAGAGAGTCTGCATCACGTTTGATTACCAGTGGGCAACATATGGTAGCGTCTCCAATTGTCGCTGCATCCAAGGGCACCGGCACGATATAAAGGACCTACCAATAACGTTTAGCCCAACGCGGAAAGGAAGATTGATCTGGAAACATACCTTATCCACATGATCGGCAACGAGCAATGCGGGGTGGGTTCCTAGAAATTTTGTTATGGGGGTCAACTCGTAGCCGGATATGAACACGCAGAGTTCTTCCTCTGTGGTAGTCTCCTTTTTGATCTTGAGATAATGTGCGAGATCCTTCCCGTTGGTAATATCACCGCTATGGGTAATTCCTGGAAAGGTTCTTTTTGCATTCCAGCAACAGGCGTTGTATGATGCATCCGCGACGCAGAAGTCGTAATAAGTTGGCGTTCTTTCAGAAACTGCCAATATCATAATTTCATCAGACACTATCGGGACCTTGAATGTTGAAGCCGGCGCTTGCAGGATTTGGAAGTTTTCAAATATTCCTATAAATGATTAGCATCTAAACTTTGACAGAGTAGGACGGAAGACATACCCAAATGAGACTGGAAGGCAGCCATACGCCTCAGAAGGATCTCACCCATCTCGCCCATGTCCACGGCATTGAAGAAAAAGTCATCGGGATAGGAAGAGATATCAATTTCATCAACGCCGGCTTCTGTTCGACAAAGAAGGAGGCGCTCGGGACTAAAAGGGTGTGCTGAGCCGACTGAAAGTTCATCTAGGATCTCTCGAATCCGAACCTTCGACGTTGCGAGCGGGTCGAAGAAGGTTTTCCTTACTCGCTCCATGGCTAATAAGACCTCTGGCCGCGAGTTTTGAGGCTGAGTGTTTAGTAGTGAAGTCAGGAACTGGGCCTTTATATGTGACAAACGGGGCCGAAGCTCAGCTAGCGGGCTGATCAGCGAATTACCTTACTAAATACATAAATCACTCAAGGAATACACTTAGGTACGTTTGCCTTCCTAAATCCTTGTGAGTCACCTAGGTAGTCGTACCATACAGCAACATTCGAAACCCCTAGTGAAAAGGTGAGTCACAACTAACTCTATCGAATTGGCGAAGTATGAGGCTCAAAATAAAGTGGAGTTGGGCCGTGCGTTGGAACTTAAACCGGATACAGACCCCGACTCCGGGGGCTCATTTTGTTTTCTTTTGATTTGCAAATATAATGATACAGTATCATCCACTACCTAGTCCATCTGTGAAAACACCTCCAGCGCCTCATCTAACCTTCCAAATACACCGCTATGCCACCTCTTCAGCGCTTCCCACTCCTCTTCCGGCAACATGCCTCGACTCATACGCAACCACCCTCCAACAATGAAATCCGCATAACTCGCCCTACTCCCCAACAAAAATGGCCCACTCGAATCAGTCGTATACAACTTCGCAAGCCCACCTAGGGCCTCCTCAAAAGCCCCCAATAACTCCCCCCTCTCATCCGCACCAACCGCCAATACCTCCCACGGAACTCCCACTCTCTTCGAAAACATCGCCTTGCACTCCTCCGCAACAGCAGGGTCAAATGGGAAACCATGCGCCACCACGCGCGCATTCGCACTGAACAAAGCATCGACATTAGTATTAAACTTTGCATACGCGGCAGTAGACCCCTCCGCTCCCTGCGCCTCCGCAATTGGCGGGTAATTTCCCAACTCGTGCGCAAACTTGAAGTCCAGCTCCTGCACTGGGAACAAGTCCCCCGCCCCCGATGACGGATATTGTTCTTGCAGGTATGTCGCGATTTCAAAGGAGTCTCCCACTATGCGTCCAGTTGCAGGGTCGGAGAGAACAGGGAGGGTGTAGTAAGGGGAACCGTCGGCGAATTTGCGCGAGGCGGGGATGTTGAGAGGGGCACGGACGGAGCTGACATCAAGTAGGGGTACCCAGGTTGTTTTGTAGGGGATGTTTTTGAAGTTCAGGGCGAAGCGGCTTTTCCAGGGATTTGGGGAGCAGGCATTTTTTGTAACTGGGGGTGCGAGGGCGATGTCGTAGAAGGTCATTGGGGTCGTAGTGGGTGGTGACATGGTTGTGGTTGAGGTTGTGGGTGTCACGGTGCCCAGAATTTTGAGGGAATTGGAGCTGGAGGGGTTAATGGAGTTCGATATACTGTGTGAAATTGATTGCACTGTTCTGGGCTGTTAATTGATCACTGCAAGATCAGTTATATATATGTACCAATTGGTGTGGAGGGCGGGCCTGGTTGAGTCATGAAGACTCATGCGGAATGTGGGGAATGGTGGCTCGCATGTGGATATGCAACGCGACGTACACCACGCATACTTAGTGACTCAAATCCTTTTTCTGCTACATTAAGAAAACTGTACGAAAACTGGTCCAATTCAGACAAATGCCATTCCACTATGAAGGAATCGACGAGGATTGGATCAAAGCGAGGAGGAAGGATATTCATCAGTTGGTGGCTGGTGAGCAATGGGATGTAGTGCCAGATACACCGCCTTCCCTATCTGTTATAGTACAAGATTCGAACCAGAACAGAAGCACAACAGAACCATGGCACGGCACGAATCTCGTATTCAAAATCAAATAACCGCGAGATTCTCTTCGAGGTTCAGCATCATCGAAGTACAACGTACAAAAATATACGTGATTTACGGGTTGAACAGCCAAAGCGGCCCCTAACCCCACCCTAGGCGCCCCAGTGCCCCATTTTCAGGGGCAAGGATTGTGGCATGTTTTGACAACCATTGATCAGTGGCACTGGTAAGTTAGTGGATAGTACACTTACATTCTCGGCCCTGGGCTAGCATCGGACCCCTGTTATGACGGACGTAGCTGCATCGTCATCCGGTTAGGGCAATAGCCCCGAATGATGTTCGATTGTCGGTGGGCTCAGTGCGGAAGCGATAAATTGCCCTCCAGGGCTGTGTTCGGGTCGATTTTATACTTTCCGTCCTCTGACCTTGGAATCTTCTTTCCGTTGCTGATTTTCTTCTTTGTCGTGTCTTTTTGTTGAAAATTTACAGATTTATCTCAATCGAACAAGCCAACTAGCCTCCGCTACCATGGAGCCGCCCGGCCGTGTCAGTGTTTATAGAAAAGCCGCCGAAAGCGCCATCGGCACTTTCGTGATCTTATTCGGTGCCAATACGATTGGTGATTACATGCAAATCAAGGATCAATACCCGACGGCGTGGAGCATTACAAACATGCTGGTATTGTTTATCTTTTCTCTATCGCACAATTTTTACAGAAACCCACCGTGGCCCAGACAGGCAAGCAATGGGAAAGTCGAGACTGCAGAGAACGGGAAGAGCTCTTCAGTTTGAAGTTATTGAGAATTATTTTGTTTCACTGCCGCACAATGTCTCATTTCACTCGGGCTCGCAGTCCTCTTAGGATCGGGCTCTCGGACCCTTAACAGCTCTAGCATGGCATTCCATCTGCAATAATGGCGCCTTTTCTCCCTCTCGCTCTCGCTCCTCTTCCACTTTCTCATCTCAGATCCCGCGCCCAAATTCCACACATGCTTCAACTTCTGCTCTGCTATATATCCCCCAAACGCTCCAACTCCAGCGCTGTGATAAATTGACAGACAAGGGTTGAAGCTGTTAACCGTCCGACAACCCCCAATGCATCTAATGTTCCAATGAAAAGGACCGAAGAAAACATCACTGTCCCGAAAAGAACATGTACAGCACCAGCAATATTTGATACAGAATAGAAGATTCTGGGCCATAAATGCCAGCCTTTCCACCCGTTCCGAGAATCCTCACATTGCTTGGCCGACGTAGCCACTACGGCCAAGCAGATTGGAACCAATGTGGTGATAACCCACAAAAGCTCGAGATACGAAGACGTGCATTTCCAGCTGACAATTGTTTGACGGCTTAGAGTCCAAGCGTTGAGAAAAACGTTTACCGCCGCACCAGCCGCCATGGAATATTTTAGTAAAAGAATCCGGATTTTTTGTGTCGGTGGTTCTGTTTGTTGCGCAGGCTTTTGCACACGGCGACAGAAAAACCGATTGAAAATCCAATTTATCCAACTAAAACACCACACATCTCCCCAGAAGCGAACGCGGTAGCTACAGTAGGCTTGATAGGTTTCGTCTTGTCCCATGGCATTCCGAAAGCAATTGAAGGGGCGCCTAGGACGCATAAAAGCCCAAGAATCGGGCTTCGGAAACATAGTTGAGCTTTGTGGTCTAGCGCTGGGCCCATCTGTCCTAGGACTGTTGGCGCAAGACCGAGTAGAACCAGCGCAGATGACATATCCGCCTTGTCGATTTCTTTGGTGTTGTTGTAAATGCAGCTAACCAAAGTTTTGCACGTCATTGAGTTCTGTGCACCCAATACTACGACGGCATCCTCATAATCTTTGAGGCAGGTTGGTGCCTCTCCCTCTTGAGTTAGGGTCCATCGGTAGAACGGATACCAGTACTCGAATTGCTTGGCGTTACTGCCATGGAAGAATAGAGTTACGACACCCAGCATAACTGGTACGGGCTGTTAGTAAAATGATTCTGGCCTTACTGTGTGTTATTCAAGCATCATTACCTAAAAGCCACCGCATAGTGTTTGACTGCGATCCACAATCCACAATAGGGCCCACTGAAATCAAGAACTATCCCCAGACGTATAAATCTCACAGGGGACTAAGAGCATTAGAATCAAAACTGTCAGGGAAAGGCAGGATTGTTCGAATCAAATATCTCTCGGTCTTTTGCGGCTGAACAAGCTAATGCCAAAAGCGGTACAGTAAGATGCGCCACAGGCGCTTACCCCCGACTCCTGAAGCAATTACAGAGTAGAGTGACAAAGAGCTATACGTACATACATATAGCAAGTTATAACGTATCAAAGCTTATCGTCCAATGACTCGCCGTGACCTGCTGTGTTTTAGTATCGATTCTGGTATAATATTCTAGGTATGGAGGTTTCTGCAGCTGAAAGATAATATTAGCACAGTTAGCACTTGGCGCGCATGATTGCGTTCGACAGTAAAGATATTCGTTCACTTGGCGCAAAGCTCAACATGTACCTAAAGTGCTACCCTTGCACCCTGAGGTCTCTAAGAATAATTCATTTCAACCTACTCGTAAGGACTACCTCCACCCTATTTCAAGCCCTCAGGCGACACCGGAGACTTTGAATTTAGTATGTACCCTATTCTCTCCCATGGTTCACTAGTACTGTATACAACGGGCGTAGGAAATAACATCGCATCCCGGTACATCAACCGTTATAAATGTGGAATATCTGCCTGAATATACTGCACGGGGTGTTGTGCCCGGAAAATTATACGACTGCCAAATGGCGTGCTCTATCCAAAGTGCATGCCAAGAAACAATAGCATGTAATAAGTTGGTGGATTCACTAATAATATCCAAAGTAGGACTTGCCTCGATAACCATACAGAGCCAAACTCATCCCATTAAAAGTCAGATCAGACACGTCGAGCTAAAGCCTATTGCTTGGTCAAGTCCATACCTAGAGTCACGCCATTCTTGAAATGCGATTTCGAGGGAAATAGAAAAGTATCTTATTCCTAAATAAGGTGACTTAATATGTCGCTGCCCAGTGTCAGACTCTCGAGTTTTGATGGTGATAGTGATTGGGTGAGTGATCGGATCGGTGGTGTATTATCACATGCCTCGTCCGCTGCTTGGTGTTCGGGGACCTGCACGAACGGAAATAGAACCCCCATCGGAGTCATCATCGCTGCCTTCGTCCTCACCACCTCCCTGCATCGCAGCAATACATGACAGGTTCCACTTCAATTGTATCAGCTCCATTGAAGGTAACGCTCGGGCCGTTGGATCGTCCGTGGTGATCTTGAAAATATACCCAGACAGGATCGGTTTCAGTGTTTGCGTGTAGAAAATAATATTGTTCTTCTTGGGATCAATAACAGGTCTGTAGTATGGGTGGTTGAAGATGTGTTCTTCGGTCGGTATACATTTCGTCCGCTTTACAGGAATTGCCAACGGCCCATCTTCCAAAAAAAGGCAGTCAATGAAATGCAACATGCATTTACATTGGGCCACACGGGACAGAACACGAAATTAGTTCGATCCTGATACTTACGGGCTTGCATCTCCAGAGTGATCATGCTGTACACTCGCTCCGTGCTGATCTTGCCCCCGTCATGAGCCGGGAGTTCCTCAGCCATGATGAAGTAAAAGTAGATGGGAGTTTATCAATAAGTATGTGCAGATGATGACCGACAGAGGAAAGAAAAGAGAAGAGTGGAGGGCCTGCAGTTGAAATATTGCGGATGTTATTTTGGGGGACGCTACGACCCGTGAAGGTCAAGCGGTTGCACTTTGGGAATTTCTGATTTGGGCATCTCGATGCTTGCCCAGGGCAAGTCCTTGATATTATACATAGAAAGGCCTTTTACACGGTTAATTCTCTGTACCGCCTTTGAATATATTTAAAAAAGACCGTCTGAAAACCTTTCAAAAAGAACAAGAAAAGGCTGGTATGTTCGTACCTGATAACATTCTAGGTATCATCTGAGGCCAGGTACAATATCATCACGCCCCTACAGACGATGCGCAATTGGCCAAGTATTATTGTCCCTAGTTGTATATAGAAAGGTCACCTGCACAATAGATGAGAACAATAGGCGCGACTATGCCAATATGATCTTATCCAGTTGCACCTAACCTATAGGAGGCCGAAGTTACGAAATGGGAGGAATGATCAAACTCAAACAAAGTGGTTACCATAACTAATGATATAAGACGAAATGTCGCAGCTATAATGACTTATTATGCAATAAAACCCGTGTACCCTTAACGATAATACGCTCGGCTTGGGTTTGAAATTTTTCCTCAAGTTCGAGGTTTGTCCATGTAAAATGAGATTCACGTCTTTGCATCCCAGAACAGTTATTCTTTCAGTCTTCCCAACCTAGTCTTGGTACTTCTTTCGCAAGTAGAAACAACGTAAAAGTGGTCGCACATCGTCTTCTGTCAAAAGAAGGCCCGACAGGTCACATGTCTGCCACGTCTCCCAGACAGAAGAGGTACAGCTACTGTTCCCAGAAGAGTGAAGCCGTGGCAATAGGTGTCGATCGAGATACAACCACCAAAATTCTGGTTTAAAAGGTCAGCTGGTGAGGCTATCTTTAGATGGTGGTGGTCATGATGAAACCAAGAATGGAATGAATTAATGAATGGGGTAGATAAAAGAGGTAGGATATGGAGAGACGAGTAGAGATGTTAAAGGATGCAAGGCTCCGGTTGTGTGATCTCAAATTATATTGGTAACCCACAGATTGTCAGCAAAGGCATGTTAGTAGGCCACCAGATTATTGTTTGCATTCCAAGGTGACCTGGCGAAAGTATCTATACGGAGAGATACCTGGCTCCTTTAGGAGGTCCAATCGTGAGAACAAGTCGCGACCCTGATGTGATTTATACTGCCCGAATAAGCAATTCCTGGGCTCGGCGGGAGGTGAATGCTGGACTGTGGCTCCCAAGTGTTTTCACAGATAGGAAGAATGAACTGTCGCTCTACCTACAGCTGCCTTTCTCTTTTTTTCTAGACCCGGCATTTGATTTGAGTACTATGGCTTTTCTGAATTTTAAGGAAATTCACCGATCAAATTGTCAAGTAAAAATATATTAATTTGAGTGATCGCACGGTTGGGAAGCCCGACCTGGGACCCTACAGTAAATATGGATATCCCTTAGGCTTTTAATATTGCCTTTTAAGTAAATGACTAGTAAAATAACATCGAAGTGAAGAGAAAAAAAAGGGGGGGGGGGGGGGGGTGGCCGATAGGAACGAGATCTGGCCCACGGAAGCGAGCTAGAAGCTATTCCGAACATCCCAGACGGCTAGCTTCTGGTATCAACAAGCAACGCTAGATTCGTCGGAAAGACTGAAACCTAGCGAAGGGTGCCTGGCTGTTCAACATCATCTTGCTCTTTTCTTGCACTATGTTAGAACCGGGAAGCAGTCGATAGCTGTTGGGAGACTCACTTGTTTTGATTGCGAGTCCAAAATGTCGTCAAGTCTCCAACCGGCAAAGAGCATGGGAATCCTATGGATTCAAACAGTTGAACAATTAAAAGATAGAAGCCGAGTAAACTAGCAACAAAGAGCGAAGCTCCAGCACCCTGAAAAAAAGAATGAAAAAAAAGCCAGGTCAGAATCCGGTCAAAATAGCAATTAAATCATAAAGACATGGATTGATACTCACTTTTACACATCGATCACCAACTGTTGCATTCCCTTGGCCTAGTTCCCAATAGGCCGACGACAGAAGAAGGAAAACCAAGAGCAGGGAGAGGAAAATGAGTGTGTATACCACGTTGATGCGCGTTGCACAAATCATGAAAATCAACATGAGAACCGCCATAGTTATGAATAGAAAAGCTGATGTTGTCAGAGCCATTCATCAAATCCGAGGGGCTTTGTTTGCACTTACCATATGTATTCATGAAGCTTTCACTCGCTAGCCCGGCAGCTGTATTGGTGGTTGACGAGGAATAGGGGGCTATATAATATGAGCAAACTGATAGTTCCACTTGTATGAAATGATGTATTTCATTGGGCAAACTGACCGGCTGCATTGAAAGCGGGAATCATTGTGGCAGCGAACGCAAACCAAAAGCCGCCTTGGTAAAGTATCAGCAACATATATGAGTGATCAAGGCTTCTCTCATAAGATAGGAAAACATACCAATAGTGCCAAACACAACACAGGGAAAGGTATTTCCGATGATGAACTCAAGAATACTCGTAATGAGCAACAAAAGACCACCAAGGAAGATGATAGGTCCGCTGGTCGGTTTATTAGATGAAGCTCCCTGGCCGATTTGTTGGATGTCTCACATGAAAGCGATTCCATTTCCACTGGCTCCTCTCCAGGCCATCAGACAACATGAAAGGGGGGTTGTGGTGATAACGAAACCTCCTAGTGCTCTGGATATTGGACAATGAAGTTAGATCAAAATGCCATGCTTAAGATGATAATGTTGAAAAAACTCACAATGGTGTCGGATTTCCAACTTTCTTGGCTAGTGGTGATTGGCGAACCGTCATGGGAGTTAAATAAAGCCTTTCAAATTGTTCAGATGACAGTGTCACTGAAGTTGGCACTGTAGTGAGACCATTGTGAGTGTTCTCCCTATTTTGAAAAGTCCCCTTTGACTCGTCATTTTGACTCATGTCACTGTCCATATTGTTCTCGTTGAGATGGATATCTCTAGTACCAATGGGCAGAATAATATGCTGTAGCAGGTAATGAGAATGGAGGCTCTGAGAAACGGGACTTGTAGGTATTCAACATCCGGGGACTGTGGGACTTTTAACCCTTCCCCAGACTTTGTAGCTGGGATAAACTATGGGGTAATTGATCTTGGCTCATTCCACTATTGAAAGGGGGAAAGCAGGATCATACTCCTTTTCACCGCGTCCAATCAGACGGTTGGTGTGGGATATATTGATTTTCAGCAAGGTCGGATGGGCCCAGAGCGCGAAGTGAACCCAATAAAGGGTCGACGTAGACAGTGGATCCACTGGCGAGCTGATCTGGGGCTGACCAATGGGGAACATCGGTGTGCTGTGTCCCGTATGCACCAGGCTTCTAAGCCTGGTGATCGTTACCTTGGATGAATTGCTTTTCTTCCCGCTCGCAAGGTTACCATTGAAACTCTCGCGTCGGGGCTTCGGATCCCTAGAGACGCGAAAGTGTTTCGTATTTGACTTTCTGTTTGTGTGGGGAATGTAGATCATGGGATATTGGATGGAGTCGAAGGATCACCGTTTGCCAAGAGCCGACACGTATGGTTCGGCCCATGCGGATCCGAAATTTCATGCGGAGCCGCACGGCTAAAATTAACACTTGGAAGCTGACCAAAACATTTTCCAAGGTTGGTGATCTACCCCGCATTAGTTTCAAGAGGAAACGGAGCTAACCACTGTAAATGCCAACTAGGATGGTCATAATGCGGAGCCGCCCAAAATGGCCTCTCAAATTCGGTATGGCATTCGATGTACGTATTACTTATTATGAACACCTTGGTAACCGTATCTTTTGGGGACCTTTGGTGTTAGTGATTGTCATAGCGAACCATTCACTTCGGTATATATAAAACCTGGTGCCAAGTTTGTTGTAACGATAACCGTGATACTATCTCGCTTCCCTTGAAGATCCCACACTACGCAAATTCAAGATGGCCAGTTTGAGCATGGCATCCCGCAACGAATTTAAAATCCCGCAACCGCGCAAAAAGGCTAGAAGATCCTGCTTGTATTGTCAAAAGGCCCATAAAACATGCGGTAAGCTTGGAGATCCCGTCTTATTGTCTCGAGCAAGCATATTTCGAGAATACTGAACTGACAAGACATGGTAGGAAATGAACGCCCTTGTGGGCAGTGTGTGAAACGCAATATGGCATCGCAATGTGTCGATGGAATCCGGAAACCACCTAAATATCTCAATGAAAATACGAAGAAATCACAAAAGGCTCGCTTGTATTGTGGTGTTACTTCTCCGCAGCAACCCCAGATTCAACAAGAGGATATTCACAATGCCACAAGTTATGGGTCAGTTTAATTACCCTTTAGTGCTATCGCATCATTATGTTAATATGGAATGTAGCAACAAGATCATTGAACGAGAAGCCAACGATGAAGGACATATCAAATACTACAGAAGTGACTCATTTGAACAAGTCTTCGATGAAGTCATTGATTCAAACCTTTTCTATACCGACAGATCGAGTTTCAAATTCGGGAATCAACCTTCTGAGGGAACTATTGTTAAAGGAGATGACAATTTCGTTACTTTCTTCTCAGATGCTGAATTTGCGACGTGGTCAGAGAGATCTTCCAGCGTATCTGAAGATAGTGAGGTAGGGACGTCATATCAAGCTCCGGAGGACGGCTTGGGGGCTAGGTTGATGGAGTTGCAAAGATATGCAAGAGACGAACCATATTCCGGATTTACTATCACCAGTGGCTGGTCAAGCACATTCTTTCCACACGAAGTTGAAGAACCCCATGGTTGCTGAATATGGCAGAGAGAGATGGCTCCTAGGTGTTTAATTTGCGGTGACTTGTCTTTACCACAGTTTTCTAGCTCGCCATCTTCCTTTTTTCCCTTGTATAACTAGCAATTTTAAACTTCAGATATATAATTACACCAATATTAATTGTGAAACACCATGGTCGCTAAGGTTAGCGTTGAGCCTATTCAAAAGATTTTCAAATTTATCTGTTGTATTACCTTGGGGTCAAGCTCTAACCCCCATCTGCTCTAGTAATTTGAACCGCTTGTCGATGGTTGATTCCTCCTTGAACTATCTCCATCCCTGCATGTTTCCAGGCTCCTAAATACCCTTACGGGCGTCTGTAAGCCCGAGATCGCCCTGAATCCGGACATGAGAGCATTTCGGTGAAAACATTACATCCAATCACATTCACTACCCGTGCGGCTCCGCATGGAGGGCCGTGCGTTATCCCCGCAAACCTTCCCCGCATTAACCTTCCGAACCATCAAAGGTTGTTGCGTTCCAAATCGAGGTGCACGCCATTTCTAGGTCAAACACACTCCTTTCCAATCAATCTATTCTGTACCCACTGCGTATTCCGGGGTTTCCTAACCTTTGATGCATTCCGGTGGGCCGACCTAATTTCACTAGATGGTTCACTAGATGGCAGGAAATCTGGGAATGGGGAATGGAAGGGACAAGGCCCCACCTCGCGTTCTGTTACCCCAGACATCCCCACCCGACACATCCAGCTATAAAGATACAACTGAAACCCAGAAGACAATCATCAACTCACCAAAGAACACTTCTTTAGTCTACACACTTCCAACTCATATCAAACTTCATTTTCATCTCATCAACATGTCCATCCCCGAGACTCAATGGGCGCAGGTGGCCGAGAAGATCGGAGGGCCACTTGTCCTCAAGCAAATTCCCGTTCCTAAGCCAGGCCCTGATGAGATTCTGGTTAAGATTCGCTACTCAGGAGTTTGCCACACCGACTACCATGCGATGATGGGCCACTGGCCCATCCCAGTTAAGATGCCCCTGGTCGGTGGCCATGAAGGAGCTGGAGTGGTTGTGGCCAAGGGTAATCTCGTGAGCAGCTTTGAGATCGGTGACCACGCTGGAATTAAGTGGCTCAATGGCTCGTGCTCTGAGTGTGAATTCTGCAGACAATCCGATACCCCTCTGTGCGCTCATGCGCAACTTTCGGGCTACACTGTTGATGGTACTTTCCAGCAATATACCGTCGGAAAGGCCACCCATGCTTCTAAGATTCCTAAAGGTGTTCCTCTGGATGCAGCGGCTCCAGTACTCTGCGCCGGTATCACTGTTTACAAAGGATTGAAGGAATCCGGCGTTCGTCCTGGCCAGACAGTTGCTATTGTTGGAGCAGGCGGTGGTCTTGGATCACTCGCACAGCAGTACGCAAAGGCCATGGGCCTTAGAGTAATTGCTATTGATGGAGGTGACGAGAAGAGAGAGATGTGTGAGCAGCTTGGCACTGAGGTATGATCAAGGAATCCTCCATACCCACATATTCCTCTACATCAAACGTTGTACTAACAACAACAAAACAGACCTATGTCGATTTCACCAAGACCAAAGATCTTGTTGCCGACGTGAAAGCAGCAACCCCCGGTGGTCTTGGTGCTCATGCCGTGATCTTATTGGCTGTCTCAGAGAAGCCTTTCCAACAAGCCTCAGAATACGTTCGCTCCCGAGGAACAATTGTTGCGATTGGATTACCCCCCGGTGCATTCCTCAAGGCCCCTGTGATTAATACCGTCGTTCGTATGATCACTATCAAGGGAAGCTACGTTGGAAATCAACAGGATGGCGTTGAAGCTCTCGACTTCTTCGCTCGAGGCTTGATCAAAGCCCCATTCAAGCTGGCCCCTCTAAAGGACCTTCCTAAGATCTTTGAGCTCATGGGTATGTCATACTCTCCCACTTATAAATTAGGCTCAAACTAACTTGAAATAGAACAAGGCAAGATCGCTGGCCGCTATGTGCTTGAGTTACCAGAGTAAATGATGGTTGGGGATTGATGACTCGTGCTACAGGCACGGATTTCGCACTAGGAGTATGTTGTATATAGGTGTGGAGACTTGCGTGCGAATTTTTGTGATATATAAATTGAAATATCGAAATTGACTCACTTTCAACGATTGATACACAAGAAACCTTCTGCACCGTATCTTCTTGCTCTGCCATTCCAAATAAGACACACGTCGACTTTGAGTTTTTACAGCTATTCTTGCGTTTCCCTAGTCTCCACACACCCTCGGGAACTAGAAGCTTATCATCGAGCTAGTTACCGCAGTCTGACGCCCCAGCCATGGACCCAGCACTTGGGGTCCAACGGGACTATGTTGTACCTACCTATTGTTAGATTAAGGAATATCAACCAGAGACGGGATGCGATTCACTGTGGACGGGGCCGCTAAGTTGGAAATAAGTAGTTACAGTTTACTAAAATCAAATGTTGAACAAATGTTGAACTTTTAAGTGTTTAGGTATGTGGGAAAACTTGACCGCAAATTGTTATAGCCAAATAGCGATACGAAATGAGAATTGGATAGGATGCCATAGGACGTCTCACTTCCTCTGTAACTAGTTCCCCACATTCAGTCCCGTCGCAGGACACTTCCAAAATACGGGGTTGATTGATACCCGCTTTTAGTTCCTGGCCAGTGTTATTGGTCCGGACGAAGGGAAGTGTAAATTAGAGGGAAAGCTGGGGTGCGGGAGCGGAGCCGCACATCCACCCAGCGAGAAACATCGGGCCGGCGTTTATCGATCGCAATGCAACCCCCCTCCCGCCAAACCCCGCCTCCCCCGCGCGCTGTGCGGCACCGAGAATTCTCGTCATCCAGGCACTTCTCACCTTCTCAGTAGCCATATAAGAGTGCCTAGTGATATCTCCCATTCTAACATCCTCACATATCTGACATTCTGTTAAAACACCTCTTATCTGACTTTTTTTCTTCAACCATGTCACTTTCTCAAACCGTCGAGACTCCTGTGCTCACATATGAGCAGCCTTTGGGACTGTAAGTTGGCCCAAACAACAGCAATGCCCACTGCGTCTCTTCAATGATCTAACATAACCCATCAGGTTCATCAACAACGAGTTTGTCAAGGGTGTGGACGGCAAAACCTTCGAGACAATCAACCCCCATAACGAGAAACCTATTGTAGCCGTCCACGAAGGCACAGCAGATGATGTCAACGTTGCTGTGAAGGCTGCTCGCGCTGCACTGAACGGAGAATGGAAACAAATCACTCCGTCGGAGCGTGGTCGTCTCCTGACTCGTCTCGCAGACTTCTTAGAACGCGACATCGAAACGTTGGCCGCTATTGAGGCGCTTGACAATGGTAAGGGAGTGACAATGGCTAAAGGCGATGTTACTGCCTCTGCCGGGTGTCTGCGCTACTATGGTGGCTGGGCCGACAAGATTTACGGTCAAACGATCGACACTGATACTAATAGCTTGACATATACGCGCCACGAACCGGTGGGCGTATGTGGTCAAATTATTCCCTGGAACTTCCCACTCTTGATGTTCGCTTGGAAGATCGGCCCTGCTCTGGCGACGGGAAATACAATTGTTATGAAAACGGCCGAACAAACACCCCTGTCCGGCCTCTATGTGGCTAAGCTTATCAAAGAAGCCGGATTCCCTCCCGGAGTGGTCAACGTTATCTCAGGATTTGGAAGAACTGCTGGTGCGGCGATTGCCTCTCACATGGATATCGACAAGGTCGCTTTCACTGGATCGACTCTGGTTGGACGTCAGATCATGAAATCTGCGGCTGACAGCAACTTGAAGAAAGTGACCCTCGAACTGGGTGGCAAATCGCCGAACATCATTCTTCCTGACGCAAACCTGGAGGAAGCGATCGAATGGGTCAATCTCGGCATCTTCTTCAACCATGGGCAGTGTTGCTGTGCAGGCTCTCGCATTCTTGTTCACGAAGCTATCTATGAGAAGTTCCTCGAGCTTTTCAAGAAGCGCACAGAGCAAAACAAGGTCGGAGACCCATTCCATTCTGAGACCTTCCAGGGACCACAGGTATCCCAGCTCCAATATGACCGAATTATGGGTTATATTCAGGATGGAAAAGGTGCAGGTGCCACAGTAGTCACTGGTGGCGATCGCCATGGCAGCGAAGGATACTACATTCAACCCACTATCTTTGCCGATGTCACTGAGAACATGACCATTGTGAAAGAAGAGATCTTTGGACCCGTATGCACGGTACAGAAGGTCCAGAGTGAGGAGGAGGCCATTCAGGTCGCTAATGACACAAACTACGGTAAGTACTACCCGATTACCCACATTTAATCTGGTTCCCACGGTCTGACGATTGATAAAAAATAGGCTTGGCCGCAGCTGTTCACACCACGAATATCAACACTGCCATCAGAGTGTCCAACGCCGTCAAAGCCGGGTGAGTCAATTAAACTGAAGAGCGGTTCCCTGGGACGCATGAATTTGCTGACATATCCCTTCCAACAGAACCGTGTGGGTTAACAACTATAACACCCTTCACTACCAGATGCCGTTCGGTGGCTTCAAAGAATCGGGAATAGGCCGAGAGCTTGGATCATACGCCCTAGAGAACTACACAGAGGTGAAGACAGTCCGAATCCACCTTTCCAAGTCATGAGCGTCAGATCACCGGAAGGATTTTAACTGCTGTTTTACGTTTCCAATTTGTAAATACCATGGAAAATCAACTCTACAAACTTACAAAATGCGTAAATTTCAATTTGTGGGCGATTTTGCCTGTGGTAAAACTCGAAGTCAACGTCGACAGCGACTCGACCAATAAGCGAAACATATACTAATCAATTGGTTGGAGAGCTTGTTCATTAGATCAGGATAAGGAGAAATTAAATCGGTCGTCTATGGGGGAATTCTACTAGTACCCCTTAATGTCGATCAATAACACTTGTCTGCCCAGCATATGCAATTGGGCGATCATATCGAAGATTGATCTGCGGTGAGATTGTAGGGTAATTCTGCAGCGGACGAGCCCGTAACCACATGCAGAGTGTTTGTTGGGGATTTCATACGATTGGCTCGGTCTCGGCAAGATAATTCTCCGGTCCGCTTTCAGGACTCCGGTCGCTCCATCCCAAGAATGCGCCAAGTTCTGACCTGTCGTGTAACATTAGCCGTTAATATCTATACTCTCTGGTCCTTTATCGTTCACTGCAATTATTTCATAATATGGAACACCTAACAGTACCTGTCCCAGGCTAATATCACAATAAGCACGATTAGCTGAGGTAGAGTCGAATTATAGTTCCACTGGACCGAAGTTGAATCGTGTCGACCCGTGGACGGATGATGCGCTAGCTTCCCCACCTTTCCCCCACCCAAATCACTCCGCACTCCGTAAGCCTCACGTGGTCCCCGGGGAAATATGGAATATGTAGCCTAAAGACTCTTTTCGTACTTTTCTACATATTGGAGTGACACAACTTTCTTTTTTTTGGCAGGTATAACTGACCACCAGTGGTACATGCAATAGCTTAGCATGGAAGATTCTCGCCGACGTCAGCTTCATAGCTGTGATCCTTGTCGTAAAGGCAAAAGAGGCTGCGACGCACCTGTTCGTTAATATGTTCCCGCGTTATCAACGCCCAATACTGACTTCGATACTTAGAAAGAACGACAACAGAGCACATTTAGTTCTTGCTCCAACTGCATACGATGGAAAAAGGAGTGCACATTCAATTGGGTCTCTTCAAAACGTGTGGACTCGACAGGGAGTCGAAAACGAATCAAGACCAACACCACAAGCGCAACGATTATACGATCTGACGATGAAGCTCTTGATGAGATACTGCGCTCTGTGCAAACGCATCCTGCCAATCTCGGAGGATTGCTTAGCCCCCCCGAAACCTCGGATTACCCCTCGTCCTCGTCCTCTTCGCACCCGGAAAATCACTTTCTCGAGTCATTCCAAGCCAATGATAGGAGTAGTGGCCAGCCTCAATTATCTCCTTGGACGATGGACATCCCATATGATTTGCAACTTAGTAGCTCAAATCCACTTGCATCTCCGGACTCTTCCGTGGAATCCGACACCCAGTGTGAGGTTTTGAATTTGGCACCAAGTTTTGTCGAGAGCACCTACGACTTGTCACCGCAACATGAATACGCACCCAGCTCTCATCTCATACCAACGTCTCCAGTGTGGAAAATGAGTCGAGACAAACAACCACGAGAGTCTGCGTCTGACCGCAGTTCGAACCCAGAGTTACAATGGAACTTCTGCATCGCTTCGGAAAATACAGCCAAGCAAAGCGCTCGTGCGACAATGTCACGCAACCTGGTCCGTATATACCACGACAGCATGGAGAATGCTTTGTCATGTTGGTTGACAGAGCACAACTGCCCTTACAGTGACTCAATTAGCCAGGTGGTTCCTCATCGAGAGATGAAAGCATGGGGACCGAGTTGGTCAAACAGAATGTGTATTCGGGTGTGTCGGTTGGATCGTGTGTCATCCTCAATACGCGGCAGAGCCTTAAGTGCAGAGGAAGATGCGAAGGCAGCTCGAGCACTTCATCTAGCCATTATGTCGTTCGCATCGCAGTGGACTCAACATGCACAGAAGGGCACCGGTGCGACAGTTCCCGCGGCAATCGACCATGATGAGAGATTAATCCGAGAGAAAGTGTGGAACGAAGCACGCCAGGCTTTGGAGCATTCGAGCCACATTCCCTCTTTTCGTATTGCCTTCGCAAACATTATTTTCTCTTTAACGCAAAGTCCACTGGACAAAGGACAGGATGCAAGTTTGGGCGAGCTTTTGGACAATGACCGAGCGCCAATATTTCTAGAGACGGCTAACCGCCAAATTTTCACCTTTCGACGCAAGTTCACAAGACTGCAGCGAGAGGCTGCTCCCAAAGTGAGAGATCTTGGAAGGGCTTCGATGGACTCGACAACGGCAAGCGTTCTGGAAATGCCACAAATTTCAGAGTCTCCGCAACTCGATCCACTTCTGACTAGCCAAGAACACCGGACAACGCTAGATCTGATGTTTTGGTTGGGCGTTATGTTTGATACCCTAAGTTCTGCAATGTATCAGCGCCCATTGGTGGTATCGGATGAGGATAGTCAAATTATATCAGCCTCGCCGTCAATAGCTAAGCCCGAAGATCAAATTGACCTTGATCACTGGGATATTACAGCAAGCAAGACACGTGGGAAATTGGACGTGTGGGGTGATTTATTCCTTCGTTCAGCGATAGAACGTCAGGGATCGAGCCACGGCCAGCCGAGGTGGCCATGCTCCTACGAAGAAGCTGCATCTGTACTTTCGGAGGCGACTCCTGTCAAAGTGCTGCTGTATCGTCGAGTGACACAGCTCCAAACCCTGGTTTACCGAGGCGCAAGTCCCGATCATATTGAAAAGGTCATCCAAAAAACGCTGTCGGTCTGCCAACACTGGGATTCCACATACCAGAATTTCATGGTCGATTGCGTCAACAACCATGAACTGCTTCCTTCTCGCATACAGTCGTGGTACGTCATCCTCGACGGCCACTGGCACCTAGCTGTTATGCTTTTGGCAGACGTGCTAGAGAGCATCGACAAATGCAGGCTCGGCTCTGATGTTTCACGTGAGGCTCGGCAAGCTACAGACTTGTTTGCAACGCTTCGAACAAATAATGCCTTGGCAGTCGGCGGACTTGCCCGAGCTTCAATACAAGGGCAGGACTCATTCATGAACCGTCATTTCCATGATTCCCTCAGTGAAGTGGCCTTCCTAGTTGAACCATGGACGGCTGTGTTGGTTCATTGCTTTGCCAAGGCGGGATATATCTTGCTGGAAAGTTTAGATATTTCGGGAGATCAAAATGTGTATACTGAGTGCTTACGGCAGAATTGCGAGTTCTTGATCCGTGCGCTTCAATACCTGGGAAGAAAGTCCGACATGGCCTTTTTGGCGGCTCGAAATTTGTTAAGGTCTTTGGAGTCAAAACTTGCCTTGCCGTCCTGAGAGGATCCATTGAGTACCGGCCACTTCTATGTCGAATACGGGGTATTTTACCCAGAAGATCACGAGACTGCCAATTGCCGATCCAGCCTGCCCTACGGGTTCGGCAAACGCACTTTCCCACAGGGTAACATATGCGCATCCTCCTGGCTGGCTGAGATTCAGCTTAAGTTTATTCGAGATCCCCCGCTGTTGGGTATGTTCATTGTCACATAGACTTATCAGAACAAGTGTCTACTGCGAATGGACCCCATCATCCGATCTTCCAACTTTGGAGGAGCGGGTCCTGTCTAACCGGAACTACCCGATTCCAATACCACCCAGGCGTCCCCATAGACACATTGGACACACCCGCACCTGTTATTTTCAATGTATTGTAATATTTTGGTAATTTTCATCTCACTAGTGAGTGATAGATTCAATTGAATGTTGGGCCAAGGAGTGCATTATACTCTACTATGTGTAACACATACTGCACGTCTTACGTGGAAGGTTCCAGGCAAATTCAAAGTACTGCCAATGAAGTCTGACAAATACTCTAAGGTCCAGTCCACCCTGTCCGCTTTAGCCAGTCTTCAAAGCTACTGGCACTAAGACCAAGATCTTCCCAAGAAGGATCCTCTGTCGGATCAAGGGCCCCATAACAAATCTTGTCATCAGGCATGATTGAGGCCCATTCCATCATTTGCCGGATGTCTTCTTTAAAACCGGGCCCGACTGCTTCCGATGCCAAATCAGCCCACTCATCCAAAGTTATCGGCGAATAAATGGCCTGATGACCAGTGACGCGTGTAAAAATAGTTGCAAAATCTTGCATACGCAGCTTGGGTGCTTCCACAACATAGTTTTTACCCTTCGTTTTCGAAACTCCGAGGGCAAAAACCCCTAGAGTGCTGTCAACTTTCCGTCACTAGTTTGCCAAGCTATATCAATGCCATTACTTGGGCTACAAAGTCGATGGCGAGGGTGATGGAAAAGCGGTGGGGTTTAGAGAAAAGAGTGACCTACTTGCTGCAAAAACACCCATGTCATGTACCGGGTCTAGCCACTGCACGCACTTGTCCCCGGGAATCGGCGGACAAAAACGGACGACCCCATTTTCACGACGACAGTACTGGGGCCGGTTTAGGTTTGTAAGGAAGAATCCTGTCAGGTAATTCACATAAACATTAGTTGCATGTTAAAAAGTGCTTTGTTTTGGGATAGACCAACCCGGAAGAAGACAAGTGACGGCAGCTAAGTCTCGCTTGGCCCATTGTTCAATTATATATTTATTATCCATGTGGAAGAGTTTCTCGAAGCGACCGTCTGTCACTTGCTTCATATTTGGCAAGCTGCTAAAAACGAAGTGTTGTATCTGGCAGAGCTTCGCAGCAGATATGATATTCAAACCAGCTTGAAGTTCATGCTTCATGTCCTCATCCGTGTCAATTCTCTTGGGGAAGTGTTCGCTAGTAACTGCAAACACGCCGTATGCCCCCGAAAAAGCATTCTTAAGGCCCTCAGGGTCATAAACATCGCCTGTGATGAGACTGAGACGCCCATCGGGGGTTTGATAGTCTTCCAGCAATTGTCTAGCAGCAGGAGATTTGAGGTCTCGTGTAACAGCACGGACGAGACATGTTTCCAACCCAGGCTCGCGAAGAAGACATTCGACCACACCCCTGCCCTGATGACCTGTAGACCCTAGGACGACAATCGTTCGAGGCTGCTCTTCTGACTGCATACCGAATATCGACAGTTAGAGGATCAAGGGAGTACTTGATGAGGTGACTAGAATTTTAATTTAAAAAATGTGAGAACCCCTATACTCGACCTTATATAGCTTATATAGAACCTCCTTTTCGATTGGTTACAAATGTAACAAGAATGTCTCCGAAGAGCAAAGAGAGCCTAGCCAGTCACGCCGTGCGTCGGCTGAATTATTGAGCCGAGGCCTAGTAATTGGTGACTTCCCTTACATAATCTACAGGGTTTAACTATGAGTAACTAGTTAATTATATTGCGCAGTAACTAGTTATGTTACTCTTTCTGGGAGACTCGTTTCTGGGAGACTGCTTTGACATCGGTTCGACCTGGCAACCTATGCTAGCATATATCTCTAGTGCTCGATCAATCGGAAGTTGCGGAGAGAGAACTCGATATTGTCCCCAAGACCCATGATAAGACATGACCAAAGTGTTAAAGAAAAGGCATTTCATTATTTTTGATAGCTATCGTGACTGCATCGCATCATTCATTGACCGGAATGAACTTCAGCATCAGCTTCCGCCCGCGTGGCAGCGAAATAAACGCGTAGTCCTGTTCGATCCCCTCGTCATTCACGATCGAGGTCGTGTAATTTGAATACACAGCCGCCATGACCAATTTTATTTCTACACCATTAGTCTCTTGTCCAACACCCATGCACGGGATACATACCTTGCAATGCGAAATTACTCCCCAGACACATGCGTCCACCACTCCCGAATGGCCAGAACAACCGCCTCATGTCGTGGATCCTGTCGCCTGGGTCGAGCCATCGTCGTGGCAGCCATTCCAGTGGGCGCGGGTAGACATCGCTGATGCGGTGGAGGGAGTAGGATGTTGAACTGACCCTGACGCCGCCCGGGATGTTGTCGTACCCGTGCAGGGAAGTTCCCTTTTCTGTGGTGGGGGTGACACGGGGGAGTTGAGCTGGAGCTGGGGAGTGAACACGGAGGGTCTCACGGACCATAGCGTCCAACAGGGGGAGGGCGTCGATCACGGAAGGAGAGGGTAGCGGGTTCTCTCCGTCTGTGTCTGGGTATCGAAGAGACGGAGACAAGGTGAGTAGTTCCTTGCGCAGCTCCGCCTGAAGCTCCGGGTGCTGCGACAGTTCCCACATCATGTACGTGAAGGTGATACCTGACGTTTCGTGACCTGCAACTAGGTGGTCAAGCAGTTCAGACGCGATTGCCAGGTTTAGGGGACGCGGATCGTGATCTTTCTGAGCTAGGAGGCTCTGGTGCAGCTGGTTATAGACGACTGGGTTTGTGGCTGGCAGCTTCTCAACACTAAGGATCTTCTGTATTTTCGACGCCTCTATCCGGTCACAGAAACCCAGGCACCACGCCTCAATGAAACCCATATACCGGTCATCACGACTCAAATACTTGAACCGCTCATACTCCTCCAACCATATCTTCCACTCGGGAATATTAAACAAATATCTCGTTCCTTCTCTCAACCCAAACAGGAAAGAGGAGGTAAAGTCCATCCCAACCGCCTGAAACAGCGGCAGCACATTCAACACCTCTCCGCCCTCCCCAGCAGACTTGAGAATAGGCATGAGTCTCTCCCACAGCACGACCTTTGAGATCACCCGCAGATCGCTAGATTCCTGGAGGAATGACTTGGAGTAGGTCTTGCTCAGCATGCGCTTCTGGTGCGCGTGTGGCGCATTGTGCGTCATGCCGACCAAGTTTTCAGTGTTAAAATTGACAAAGACATCATTGTAGAAGCCGTGTTTTTCAAACGCGCCCGTGTATATTACTCTTAAACCGTGGAGAGAATTGACGCTCAGCTCCTTCGGGCCGAGACGAACTATAGGGCCGTGCTTTTGGTGCAGGGCGTAGATGGTGAGGACTTCCGTCCCTGTGCTGCGCTTGCGGTCAATCCAGCGGCCGGATAGTGGGGAGGTGAAATGACCATTGGGGATAGAAGATAGTGGAGAGAGGAAGTAGGGGTTTATAACATGGTGGTATATGATGTAGGAGGTGAGGATGAGGAGAGCGACGGGGATGAGGGGGATCATGGTAATGGGCGAAGGGTGAAGAAGAAGATAAAATGTCAATCAGACGACGATTATTTCAATCGATAGTCCCAATCATCCTTTGTTCATATGCAAGGAGTCTAGTCCCCACCAAGCAGTGTGTTGGATAGCAGGATATCCGTACGGGCTAGTATGGAGGAAGCCAATCATTGATTTCTGAATTCATTAAGCTGAAAAAAAGCGATCTAAAGAGTACTCCATACAGAGAACTCTGTTGAAAGAGATTCTCGTGTCTTGGCATGTTGATCAACCTGATATTCCGAGCACTTGCATAGGTCGATGCTCCCGATGTACCGGTCGTGGGCGGCTGTGGAAGTGTATCCACTGAATCAACAGATCAGCGGTCCATAGCTAAGAGTCGAACGCCGTTAATTTGAATTGCCGATTAAACCTTGCGAAAAAGGCACTTATTATTTTTCGGACTTTTTGTGCCAGGAATCCTGGCAGTATATTAATTAGATCACGTGGGCTGTAGGATGGATTTGGTGGGGGCCAAAACTAAATGATCTTGGCACCCAAAACTATATACCACACAATGCAATGGACATAAGTCAATTAATCTTGCCGGGCAAAATTGTCCGAAGCGTCGAATCAAGCTAGTCCAATATTAAGGAGGCCCAAAGTTCAAATGAACCGGATTTGATTATACCACCTTATAGCTCTCTGCTGGCGTGGCAATACCAACTAATAGTGGAGCCACTATCAACACGAACCATCCCTAGTTCACACTAACCTGCGAGATACTGTAACCATACTCGTGTCCTGCTCCAAAGTTCCACACCTTCCCTCGGCAAGACCGTAGATTCTGTTCGAGGTGAGCTGCTCCACTGTCGGCCAGATGCGCCGGGTGGACTCCAGGAGCGACCGGAGAATGTTCTAACGATTGACACCCTTCTTTTATACAAATTACTGATGCAACCTACCGTTACCCCTGTCTTTTGTACTAATCCTTCCTTGTCTTTGCTTTATGCATGTTAACATGTTCTGGGATAAGGACCTTTCAACAGTGACCATGACTCTAGCAGACGAAGCCCCATCTAGAGGCCGCGTCGCGGCGAAATGGCGTGGCACTCAGGCCGACCAGGCCGATATGAGCGCTCTGGGAAGGGAGCAGGTCTTGCGGGTATGTCTCCTAAGCATTATTGTGGCTAATACATTTGTACTGACCCTGCAGCGTAACTTCCGATACATCTCAATCGTAGGATTTGGCTGCACGCTGATCGCCACGTGGGAGGTTGTTTTGACGTATGCCATCCATGCTTTGATTGTTGGTTCCATGACTGACTGTCTAGTTTGCTTACACAAGGCCTGACCGATGGAGGAACTGCTGGTCTGATTTGGGGGTTCGTTGTCGTCGCTTTGGGGTTCCTTCTGGTGTTCCTGAGTCTGGCCGAGATGGCATCTATGTGAGTCTACCCATTTCCCATTTAATACTTGTATCCATGCTGACTGCTCAGGGCTCCCACGTCCGGCGGACAATATCATTGGGTATCCGAGTTTGCCCCTCCTAGCTGCCAGAAATTCCTCAGCTACATTACCGGCAGGTTCCATTAACCCTTGCACGGCCTAACTAAGCTAATTATGTAGGCTGGCTGTGCGCCATGGGCTGGCAATGTGCTATCGTGTCGATCGCTTATTTGGCCGGGACTATTATCCAAGGCCTGCTGGTGCTCAACAACCCGGACTACGACGTCCAGCGCTGGCACGGTACCCTCCTGGTGATCGCCATTACCTTTTTTTCGATCATATTCAACACCTTCTTAGCAAAGCGGCTGCCCTTCGTAGAGGTGTTGATTCTGATTCTGCATGTGTGTGGCCTGTTCGCCATTGTAATTCCGCTGTGGGTTCTTGGCCCTCGCCGCAGCGCGAAGCAGGTGTTTACCGAATTCAATAACGGTGGTGACTGGAATAGTTCCGGAACGGCCACACTTGTTGGATTTTCGACCACCATCACGGCGCTTATTGGATATGATTGTGCGGTTCACATGTGTACGTCTCTCTCTCTAACATTGACGAAGTTTGCTAATAGTGTGCAGCGGAGGAGATCAAAGATGCATCTGAGACTCTGCCAAAGGCGATGATCACATCTGTCTGTGTCAATGCCGCCTCCGGTTTCCTGATGCTGGTGACCGTCTGCTTCACGCTAGGCGACATCGACGACATCCTGGCCACTCCAACAGGGTACCCGTTCATGCAGGTGTTCTACAACGCGACGGAGAGTTTGCCAGGAACAAACACCATGACCGCCATTATAGTGCTAACCCTGACGGCGAGCACAATCACAGAAGTAGCAACAGCATCACGCCAGTTGTGGTCATTCGCGCGTGATCGTGGCCTTCCGTTCTCCGAATTCTTCGGATATGTACGTCCTCCGCTCTTCCTTCAGGTTTGACGACACTAACAGCACCAGGTAAACCCCAGCTGGAACATTCCGTTGAACGCCGTGATGGTTTCACTGGTAGTGACGATCCTCTTGTCGCTCATCAACATCGGTTCCACAACTGCGCTTCTCGCCATCGTGACCCTAACCATCGGCGCAATGATGTCCTCGTACATCATCACGATTGGCTGCGTGCTCCTTAAGCGTATCAGGGGGCAACCCCTCCCCCCACACAAATGGACGCTCGGCCGATTCGGCATGGCAATCAACATTGGGGCCCTGTGTTTCCTTTTCCCGGTGTTTGTGTTCGCATTCTTCCCTCTCACCTCGACAGTGGAACCAGACACTATGAACTGGTGTGCAGTGATGTACGGGGGGATCCTGATCATCGCGGTCGTGTATTATGTGTTACGGGGACGGCACCATTACATCCCACCCGTGGCACTGGTGAAGCGAGAGATGTAATCTCTATCCACTTGTATGATTGTTATGTTATAGAGTGATGTAAAGTAATCTGATATACCTATAGTTAGAAAGGGACATATATTCGGACGATAATAATGCAGAGCGTTTGGCGCAACTATCATATAGTTGAAGACATAGTGGAGCGCTTAGCAAGAATAGGCCACAACGGTGGTCGCTCAACAGACGTTCGTAGGGTCGAAAGTTCATTGAAATTTTCTTCGTCGGAAATTTTTAGGCCACAATAATAACCTTGTAAAGTCTGGATATTACCTAACGAGTAAAACCTAAAGAAGAGAGGCTTGGCAGAGTATGTGCCCCATGGATTCATATGAGACACGGTAGTATGTATTACATACATAAAGACTTGGGCACTGGGTCTTTCCGACTTGGCATCGCGGAGTTAAGGATACTCTGGGTATATTAGATCGGAATCATAAGGTCGTGGGCATAAGGCAGAATTATTTAATTTATTAGATATTAAGGTGGTGGAGCGGAAGGTTTAAGCGGCAATGTTCCAAGGTTTCAGCTCCCATGTGGCCCCACATAGTGAACTTTCTCCCGCCGATCATGTGTATATAAAATTCGCAAGGTGGTCCGGTTGGCCTGGCCATTATCCTGATTGGATGTTAGTTCAAGTTAGGCCCAGATACTGATACTAACAGTGAATTATTTAATCTATTGGATGTTAAAGTGACAGAGGGGCAGCTCGGTCCAGCTACCTTAAGCGGAAGGCTTTCGGCCCCCGCTCGGCCCTATATACCCACACACCTCGACATGGCTGGCTGCCAGGAGGATCGCACTTAGCTAATAAAATAGCTCAAGCAAACTTAATCTATCAAGTTTCGTTGGATCGTGTTCCAGCTCTGAGGAAGACGTAAAAAAAAACGACTTAATCAGGAAGCACGCGTGGATCTGTTTTATATCAGCTCTACAGCCATATATTGTCTATTAGAGGTCTATTTGAAGTAGCGATTTGGGGAATATATGGATTCTAGTTTTAATTTAACAAGGTTGAAATTTCGGGTTTCCCTGAGATCAAATCTTTCCAGCCTGCCCGAACTGCTAAGCCGAAATATACGATCCTTGCTAGATCCCTTCACTTCAGTTGCCGAAGCTGCCTTGCCACGATCCATGGAATTGGCGTCATGATCATCAATTATTGTTCTTTTCCATTTCATTTTAGAACATTCCTTCCCTGAGATTTCCAACCCACACACCACGATCTAGTCTCTGTGCGGCAATGGCCATTAAAGTGCCTCCTGGCCAGTCGCCGCCTTTCGAGACGATAGACGACAAGCACCATGGAGGTATCATTATTATCACCGCCGCTATCTGCCTGGTGATTTCGCTCGTCTGTCTTCTGATCCGGGTGTACGTGCGGATATTCCTCAATCCACCATGGGGGTCAGATGATATCATCCTATTGGGCGCGACGGTAGGCAGTTGAGAGAAATTGACCTAATGTGTAAATGGTGCTAACAGTATAGACATCGGCTATTGTTGAGTCAATTATCATCTTTTATGCCGCAAGCATCGGCTTCGGGACAGACATATCGCTACTCACTGACAAGGCCGTTAGTCGCATACAAAATGTATTCATTACCCAACACCACACCCAATTGGATATAAATAACTGACAACATAGTCCCTCCTTGGTGCCGACATCCTCTACCTTTTAACTCTGTACCTGTCCAAATGCTGTATCATAGCCATCTACTTGCGCTTGACGCCCCGCAAGCGCCACAAGAGCGTCCTGTGGGCGACGTTCGGGCTCAGCACAGCTTGGATTATCGCGTCGGTGCTAGTTATCGCAGTAAATTGCGAGGGAAACAAACCGTGGGTTGTACCTGGCGAACAATGCCGTAACCTGGTATGTCTACAACTTCAAAAAAGCCACCGCAGACATAATATACGGATATGGAATGGGGTATACTAATGGTGACAAGTTTCCCCGCTGGCAAGCAATCACCGCACTGGACATCTCAACCGAAATCTTACTCTTCACTTTCTGCATTGCCCTGGTCTGGGGTCTGCAGATGCACATCTCAAATAAAATTGTGATCATGGTATCCTTCGCGGCGAGACTACCGTATGTCAATCTCTTACTTCCCAAATTCACACCCCAAGCCCCATTACATGGAACTAATAGACCTCTAACCCATAGATTAATAATATTCTCCGGCCTCCACCTCTCCACCTTGAAAGAATACACAGCCATCAAAAACCCCACTTTCACCGCAATCCGCCACACGGTCTTCACCCAGCTCCACCTCAACTTCGCCCTGATAGCATGCACGGTCTTCTGCCTACGCCCCTTCATGAATGCGCTCACAACCCATTACGGCACAGCCGGTGACTCCAACCTTGGTAGTAGTAGTGGCGGGTACGGGTACGGGTATGGGTCCAGGAGACGGGGGGATACAGACCCCTACGCGTCGGGGCGATCGCGGGATTACGAGATGGGAGCTGTGAAGGGACGGTCCGGGCGCGGACCGAGTGGCTTGTTCAAGGAGAGGCCAGATGTGGGCGATGGGACGGAGAATGGGACGGTTGTTTGTGAGGCTGCCGGGCCGTCACGTTCGGGGGAGGGGAGGTCCGAAGGGGATAGAGGCAGTATGCGCAGTGGGAGCGATGGGAGCACGAAAATGATTATTCGGAAGGATGTGGAATATTCTGTTTCTGTGGGGCATTCATAGATCTTTTCTTTTGTTTGGATGAAATATATTGTCTTTATATCCTACTGTCCGCTATATATATAGTATTAAGTGCCAGGCCAGAATAGGGAACTCAACCTGGTATAGAGCCTGGTCTGGTATGGAACCTGATCAGTGTTGAGATCTACAACCTAGTAGACAGGATCATGAATGTAATGTATTGTGCATGTACAGTGTTATACAGAGATAAGAGGAAAGTGTTACGCACTGCTAATTAGTCACAGTTAGGTTAGATGGGTTCAGGGTATACTTGCCTGAATACTCGGGTTGTCTAACGTCAGTGATCCGTTCGTAACTGAGCTATTGCCGCGCTAGGCCTTATTATAGCCTAAGTCCTATTGAATGATCAAGGAATAATACTAGGTAGAGCGCCGAGTAGATCTATACGGGGGTATTAGTCTACCTATAAGTATTATTAGTTAAGTTATAATTAAGTAAAAGAGTTATAGTAATCTAAAAAGTAAATAACGTATTTCACCCCATAGCTGGACACACCCCATAGCTGCACACCCCACCCAAAACGCGTTAATTAATTTAAACTGACAGAAAGCTGGTGTATGAACAATGTAGGGTATAGATGACCAATGTTGAAGACTCTAACTAAATTGACAAAACCCGCTTTTTCAACAAACTATGCACATCGATGACTAACTAGAATATACTGTTGTACACTTTTGTACGGTATGCCCGGTACCCAATGTCATATGATGTTTCCGGTTTAATACCTGGTTTCTACCGTGATTCGGACTTGGTATTCGACAAAATACGTTAACTAGTGTATTAAGTAGACGCAGGGCGGAAAGAGTAGTGGAGGGAGCAAAGTCCACCAAGGTTTAGGGAGACTGGCAAGACTTGGCTCCTGAACTAATTAGACGCTTCTCTTAAGTGCGCTATGGGCCTATGAAGAAGTTCATATGAGATGGGGCTGCTAATGATGCTTCCATGAGGACAAATGATTGGCTGTTCAGGTGGGCCGTTCAGGTGAATCAGCCTTGGGCAACTCAAGGCAGATTTACCCCCCCCCTTCAGCCTCGAGATCCTTTGCGAGTTATGTTTTTGTAAATCAGCAGACATTGTCCACATCCATATTTATGTATTCGCTTGACATTTGAAGCCCCGAGTTTTTCTTTGTTTGCCCATTAGTCGAATCGGGGGGAAATGACTTCCTTCAAGCACGCCGACTACACAATCGGCTGGATATGCGCCTTGCCGCTAGAGGTGGCGGCGGCTAGAGTCATGCTAGACAAGATCCACAACCCCCTGCCTCAGCCATCAAGTGACTCGAATGCCTACGTCCTTGGTGAACTAAACGGTCATTGCATTGTTGTTGCCTGCCTACCGACCGGCGTGTATGGAACGGTATCTGCTGCTACCGTTGTGTCCTACTTGCGTTCAACCTTTACTCGGATCGAGTTTGGACTAATGGTGGGTATCGGAGGAGGGGTCCCACGAAGAAGCGATGACATCCGATTAGGTGATGTGGTGGTTTGCAAGCCGGTTGGGAAGCATAGTGGGGTGATCCAATATGATTATGGCAAGGCAGTTCAAGGCGGACAGTTCACGCCAACAGGCAGCCTGAATAAACCACCACAGGTTCTTCTGACGCACATGGCGCAACTTGAGGCAAAGCAAATAACCAAAAGAGAAGCTGTTATTTTGAGAATTGTGGAAAAGGTCCTGGAAGAAAACCCTGATATGAAGGGCAGATTTTCGCCTCCGGATCAGCAAACTGACCTTCTCTTCTGCTCCTCCTATCATCACTCTCACAACGAAAATGATTGCGCGAACTGTGACAAAGCCAGATTAGTGCACCGACAGCCGCGTGGTACAAGGGCACCCTATATCCATTATGGGTTGATTGCATCAGGAGACCAAGTTATGAAGGATTCTGAAACTCGAGACCGTCTAGCTGAACAGCATGGGATACTCTGCTTTGAGATGGAGGCAGCAGGCCTTATGGATGGGCTTCCAACACTTGTGATACGAGGCATTTGCGACTATTGTGACTCTCATAAACTTAAAAAATGGCAAGGATATGCAGCGCTTACTGCAGCAGCGTATGCAAGAGTTCTTCTCTTGGGTCTTCCTGTTAGCCAAAATGCCAGCTCTGTTGTATCTCCTTCTGGTATGACACCTTCCTTCTTTGACCGGTAAAAATACAACGCTAAGTCGAGATACAGCCCACCGTGATGATAATCTTGTGAATCCGCCTTACTTGCAAGCTCTACAATGTCCTGATCCATTTGTCGTTAAAAATCGACTGAAGGAAAGCAAGGATAAGTTGATTTTCACTGCCATTGAATGGATTTTTCAAAATCCGGAATATTGCCTTTGGCAGAAGGGAGATGATGTCCGCCTCCTTTGGATTAGGGGTGGTGCTGGTAAAGGGAAAACCATGATGACAATTGGCATTGTTGAGCAGCTCTCACAAGACGAATCTTCAATTGTCACATACTTCTTCTGCCAGAATGCTGATTACGAGCTCAACTCTATTGAAGGGATCATCAAGGGCCTCATTCAGCAACTAATACGGCAGCGAAAAGAGCTTCTGGAGTTACTTCAGCGCCGCTGGGATGCAACCCATGCATGTTTCAAAGAAAACATTTCTTCGTGGCGAATACTCTGGGATATCTTCTTAGAGATGATAAACCATTGTATGCATCAGAGAGTGTACGTAGTCGTGGATGCTCTTGATGAGTGTCGGAACGAGGGAATGGCTGAGTTTTTGAGGATTATTGTTCGAACTGGACTTGATTATTCCAACGTTAGATGGCTGTTGACTAGTCGGCCGCTAGACGATGCTGACCGTGAATTGCTCACTACCACCGAACAGGTTGGAATCGGCTTGGAGCTTAACTCGGACCACCTCGAGGTAGCCATCAAAACCTATGTCAGGCACAAGGTCGGTGATCTCTACCCGGTTCACTGCTATGGGCAGCAAATGCCACAAAAACTACAATCTGAACTGCTGAAACGGGCTGAAGGAACATTTTTATGGGTCGGCCTGGCATGTAAAAGGCTCGAGAGTGATGGGAGTGGCGAAAGACTTCCTCCAGGTCAGGCGTTGCTGGCAATTCAAGACTTGCCACCAGGGCTGCACCCCTTATATGAGCGGATGCTTCAGCAGATTCTTAAAGGTCAAGCAGCCACTGTTCATGCCTGTCTGCGGCTCCTTAAGGTCATGATGCTGGTCTATCGGCCTCTGAAAAGGGCGGAAGTATTCAGTGTGACCGGTCTCTCTGAGAGCGAGATCAAAACTGATCACATAGTGGACCGATGTGCATCGTTCATCAAAATGCGAGGTACTACCATCGAATTTGTCCATCAATCATCTCGAGACTTCTTAGCTGAATTACCTCGGCTCGACTCTTATGACCAATATGGACATGGGGATATTGCTTTAAGCTGTCTAGCTTATATGTCAACAATCCTAGTGCCTAACCTTGTCAGGTTACCGCTGCCTAATTCGGGCCGACGATTAAAGTGTCTGGAAGAAAGGGATTCTGGTGATAAGGATGCAGTTCTGGAGACACTGGATTATGCTGCTACCCTCTGGGTGGAACACCTCGAAGCTGCAAAGCACACTACACTGTTGGGAAGCGCTCTGGATGACCGAGGAGAAGTTATGATGTTTATCCGCCTGAAGTTTCCAGAGTGGCTGGAGTGCCTAAGCTTACTAGATAGGCTGCCACGCGCCATAATATCTCTAGGGATATTAGCGAGAACTGCTGAAGTAGGTCTTGTTCCTAACATCGAGGATTGGTGACTAAAAATCGTTTCTTAGAACCCCTCGTTACAAGCTCTGGTGTATGACGCTAACCGGCTTTTAATGCGTCACTACCAAACAATATCAACCTGGCCACTCCAAATATACAGCTCTGTGATTGTTTTCAGCCCGGAAAGATGTCTCGTCAGAGATAAATATAACCTCAGGAAGGCTTTTAAGTGGCTAAGAAGAATCCCGCAAGTGGAAAGGATATGGGATCCTTTACTTCAGACTCTGGAAGGTCATTCGGGCCATGTTACAGCTGTGGCATTTTCTCCAGATGGCAAGCGGATTGTTTCAGCATCTGTTGACACAACTATCCGGCTATGGGATGTCAGCACAGGCAACTGTATAAAGATTCTAGAGGGCCACTTGGGCTGGGTTGAGGCTGTAACATACTCCCCAGATGGCAAGCAGATTGCTTCAGCCTCTATGGATAAAACAATCCGGCTGTGGGATGCTAGTATAGGTGACCATCTAAGAACTCTAGAAGGCCACTTAGACGGGGTATCAGCAGTAGCATTCTCCCCAGATAGCAAGCAGCTTGCTTCAGCCTCTATAGATGAAACAATCCGGCTGTGGGATGCTAGTATAGGTGACCATCTGAGAACTCTAGAAGGCCACTCAAAGGGAGTCTTAGCTATAGCATTCTCCCCAGAAGGCAAGAATATTGCTTCAGCCTCCTTTGACACAACAGTCCGGCTATGGGATGCTAGCATCGGCAACTATCAAAAAGCTCTAGAAGGTCACTCGGGCCATGTTACAACTGTGGCATTTTCTCCAGATGGCAAGCGGATTTTCTCAGCATCGGTTGACACAACTATCCGGCTATGGGATGTCGGCACTGGCGTTTGTCTAAAAATCCTAGAAGGCCATATCGGCCGGGTTTGGAGTATATCTCTCTCTCCAGATGGCAGGCAGATAGCCTCATCCTCTGGCGATAAAACAATCCGGCTATGGGATACTACTACGGGTGACCATCAGAAGACTCTAGAAAGCCACTCAGACGGGGTAGTGGCAGCAGCATTCTCCCCAGATGGCAAGAAGATTGCTTCAGCCTCCTTTGACACAACAGTCCGGCTGTGGGATGCTAGTATAGGCGGTCACCAGAAGGCTCCGGGTGGCCATTTAGTCCCTGCTAAGGCTGTATTATCCTCTCCGGATAGCAAACAGATCGCTTCAGCGTCTTTACACGGAGAATATGGCCCGTGCGCACCCGGATTTCTGAAAGCTTTCGGAGGCCACTCAAACTTAGGTTGGGCAGTAGTATTCTCTCCAGATGGTAGGAAGATTGCTTCTACCTCTACTGACACATCCGTCCGGCTATGGGATCCTAGCACAGGCAACCATCAGAAGACTCTACACGGTCATTTGGACTGGGTTAAGGCAATAGCATTCTCTCCAGATAGCAGGCAGATTGCTTCAGCCTCTGATGACAAAACAGTCCGCCTCTGGGATATAAGGACAGGCAGCCATCTAAAAACTCTAGAAGGTCACCTAGACTATATTGAGGCTATAGCATTCTCTCCAGATGGCAAGCAGATTGTTTCAGCCTCTGATGACACAACAGTCCGCCTCTGGGATACAAGGACAGGCAGCCATCTAAAGACTCTAGAAGGGCACTCAGGAAGAGTGTGGGCTGTAGCATTCTCTCCAGATAGCAAGCAGATTGCTTCAGCCTCTGATGACACAACAGTCCGCCTCTGGGATACAAGGACAGGCAGCCATCTGAAGACTCTAGAAGGGCACTCAGAAACAGTTTGGGCTGTAGCATTCTCTCCAGATGGCAAGCAGATCGCTTCAGCCTCCAACAAAGGTATCAAACTGTGGGATGTTGATGCCTCCCTGCGCTCGGTAAGACTATTCGGAAGGTCTTTAGGCGCTCTCCGCAAATTTCGGGAATTGCGCCATGATATTGAAATGCCAAATCCAGTTACAGCTCTAAGTTTTTCAGAAGATGGCCAATTTGTCTCGACCAACCTGGGTGTTATTAAGCTGGGTGATACTGACTTCAATGGAGGCCTTTCCGTCAAACACGGCTGGATATGCTATGGAATGGCACCAGTATTGCGACTCCAAACAGGTCTAACGCCACGTTGTTATGATGTCCGAGGCGAGACTATTGCAATTGTCTTTACATGTGGTCTGCTTTTGTGCTTTGAGTTTGATTGTGGAATGTTGAACCAATTATATAACTCCTGTTACGAACAATGAAAAACTGTCGGAACAATAATTGACCGTATAGACTAAGAACGTAGCCCATGGAGCATTTTTGGTCCAGCGGTATTTTGCCCAAGATTTGCTTCGACAAAATCTCTTATATTTCTCCAGATCTTAATAGCTCATTCCAACAAGCAGACGTGTGGCAACTGGTTGAATACTATTTACTACGCAGTTTGTTTGGCTGGGGTGCACGGAGTGACGAGAAGTCTAGTGGAAACACAAAATAAGTAGAAAACGTCTTCTCGTTGATATATTGTGACCTGAACATTGGCATTTAGTATGGTGTTTCTCTTTTAGTGAGGCGCCATCTGGGCCTCATTGAAGAAAATAAACATTGAGCGCTCCCCTCTTCAATATGTATGTAGGAAATGGCTGACGGAAGGATGTATGCTCATCATGAATGCGGTGCTTGTTTAGGTAACGTTATAAGAAACCTCGGAAGACTTGTTGGCCTGAAAACAATCACAACCGACCTAGACATTCGGGTCGAGTTTTCGAGCCCGACAGAAATTCAGATTCCAGAAACCACTGAGGCTCTCAGTACTCAACTTAGGACATTCTACACGCCACGGCGACTTTTCTTAACGCCTTAAAAATCTAAGATAGCCTTGACCCCACCACGCAAAACACGAACTCAATGCCAAAGCAACGATAGTTTACCCTATCTTGACCTAGTTAGGTATTCTATACATAACATGAATGCTTCAACGTGACTAGAGCGAGACAATTAAGGATTTTTTGAAAATAGCTCGGATTGAATGCCTGGGAAGTTAAGATATAGTCTATAAAATTACATAGCCAGCGAAAAGTCTCCGAAGAAATCTTGCCAAGCAGTAGGAAAATAAAACAGATTAAGCCCCGGAAAGTCCCACTCGGAGACAAACTGCTCAGGAACAAACCACTGAAGATCCGCTTGAGCATCAAACAACTCCCAGAACGGCGACGTAGCCGTAGGGCCATCCGAGCTGGGTTGCTGTGTTTCCATCAGTGCACGCCCATACTTCTCAATACTGACCTTTAAGATCTGGAGATAAATATTCCCAGCTCCTGACTGAGTTCCACTAGCTCCAGCTTTGCTTAGCTCATCGACCAGTCGATTACCTTGTTCTAGCAGCTCTTGATGTTCCTCCTCGCGCTCAGGGATGAGGCGGGATAATTTGAGAAGCAATAGGAAGGAGAATGCGCACTTAGCCCACACGAAATCCATTGCGTATTTAAGTTTGGCGAGATAGAAACCTGGATCCATAATTATGAGCCGGAGATGACGGCGGGCACTTGCTTTGGCTGTCAGGAGTATTGTCCTTTCCGTGGTGGACATTGCGCTTCATATTTGTATTAACACAGATGGAACCAAATTAGGTGAATTAGTACTCACGCTACGTTCTCAACGCCCATGGATCGCAACGCTTTACAGTTGAGCATCATTTCTGCCCAGCATTTCTGCACTCGGAGGGCGACTAGTAGAGATGGCTTCTCTTCGGCGGCGGCAACACAACTTTCTGTGAATTGTTAGCAGGTTTTAGCGGATGATGCCAGTTGGTGTCATACCGATGATGCGCAGCCAGTCACTGCCAACGGTTAGCAAGTTCAGTAAGATATGATAGAGGTGGAAATTTACTTGAACCACAAATCTAGCTCAATTTTCATATCATGCACGTAATCCGCAATGCCTTGCCCATCAAGCGATGTGTTTCCTCCTAGAGCATCGCCGACATTGGCTATAGAGATTAATTTAGGCATTGGATCTAAATTCATGGAATTGGTCATACCTCTGAGGATGTTTAACTAACAGCAAAGATCAGTACATTTCTACGAGTCTATTTTAGGCACTCAACATACCTCAACCTGAGAGAACAACCGTAAATCCAAAATTGTCGAGGATGGATGGCTGAGTAAAACCCGACAGCGGCGAGCATTTCCTTTGAGCCGAATACCAGGTGGCTTTCCTCCATCAACGCGAAATCTACATTGCATCAGATTGGCCTAGTAATACTAATAAAAAAGGCAAAGGGCATCTTACATATGCTCGAGAACCAAAAGCCCGAACCAAGTCCGAGCGTTCCACATAAGAGTTCTCTCCTCTTCAAACATCTGGTTTGGCAAGGCATAAGCCATATCTTCATTCTGAAGGGCAAGCCGCTGGATTAATTCATCAAAAGCCTCGTGCAATTCTAAGTCCAGGGCCATGCGAGTGGCAAAGGATAAGATTAGTGAGCGTTCTGAGGAATAACAAGCAACTACGAGCATTGCTTGGACCGATTCTAGGCAGTTTAGCTCTTTGTTCTGGATTATGACGTTGATCCATTTCTTGAGTTCTGCGTGGAGGAGGTCGGACATTGAGCCTCCGGATCCTGGAAAAAGTTATTTAGTACAATGCCAGTGTGCATAAATTATGTACCAGGGGAGGGAATTCACTGGTTTCGACCATGCATCCAATGGTACATATTGCATTGAGAAGAATACTACTTCGCGATCTAACGGAGTCGAAAGAATCGTATTGAGTGTCGAAGATTGGGATATATCTGTCCTATACGATTCGCCAAACATGAGTATTTCAAGAACAAGACTAGTAGGGATAGATGATACCTACACATCCTGCGAAGAAGCTGGAGTCGTTTCAGTCAGCCATAATCCCCAATCGCTAAATACCTCTCTGCTCATACATACGTATTGAAGTATGATACAGCACATTCAAGCGAGATGAGTCCTTTATCAATAAAGTCCGCAACCGGGTCATTTCGAATCTCAAACCCAGATCGCTTTCTCTTGGGCGGTCTAGTAATTATCTGATTGGATGCGTAGAGAGGCTGAGCGGAAGTCTCATTTGGAGAAAGAGTTGGTACGGACGGCGGCATGGACCTTTGGTATCGGTGACTATTTGCGTGGCCAGCGGAGTTCATGCCAGGCATATTTGGAAATTCGTCTTGGGGGTGATCCTGTGGATGAACATAATGAGAACCCAAGGAGCCACAAGCGCTCTCGCGGCGCACGTGCGGTTGCTGATCACGGAGGTGGGTTGGAGACTGTGTTAGTTGGGATTTCGGCGTGGGCTGCGAGCGGCCTTGTTGAAGCAACTCGCGCATTTCATCTAGCTGCTTTTGGAGATATTGAACCTCGGACTCGACGCCTTCAATCCGCCTAGGGGATGTTAATCTTGGTTGGCAACTGATGAGACAAGTTCGTACTCTGAGACGGGGTCCTTCGGTATTTCGAAGAAGACACATTGTTTTTCCAATTTTTGACACCTATTTTATTGGTATCAATGTTTAGACTTCGTGTAAATAAGCCGTTGAGGAAACCCACCTTGTGCATGGCCTCTCTCCATCGCATTTTACCTTGAAACGATCAGCCAAAGGTCCCTCAATACTCAGGCTCCGAACCTTTGAGCACAGACCTTCGATTGCCGACAAGCACCGCAAGCTTTCTATGCATCAAAAACGCCATACATTGTTAGGGATTGTCCGCTGTTGTAGGGTCCCAATCGATTCAATAGCGACGTACCGGAATTCGCTTTTTCCCTGTTGTTGTTGGTGGGATAAGGTGCAGGGTTCCATCCTCTATCACCGCGTTGTACGGACTATGGTCAGGTCGGTCGGCCATGTAGAATCAGGAGTTTCTGTTTGCACCGATGATTCTCGGGGTTGACGGGAAGGGAAAGGGAAAACCTGGAGAAACGCGGGGTTCGGCATTTTCTCCGAGACGGCTATACAATCAGCCAGGTCCTACGGTAAACTAGTTCAGTAAAGGAAAAGCTAAGTTTTATGGGATTTTGCTGGCGTTTGTTTGATGAATGTAATTAATAATAAATACAATATATTCCAAGTTAAGCCAACTCCGACAATTGTGGCATATCAAATAAAGCAAAATCACGAGTCCTGCCCACTAGTTAGCTAGCTAGTCATAACACAGACTCACTAAACTGGCCAAATCTTAGAAGACATAGACAAAGTCCTCATTTTGCAAGTCAGTCAGATCTTTCAAGGAATTGTCATTTGCTGCTTGTTGGGGCAAATCCTCTTTGGCGTCGTCGGAGACAGCTTGAATGTTCTGCATCGACTGGTCTACAATCTTAGCGTCCTTTCCGAGAGCCACACGTCTCTTCTCATGCTTCTTGTTGAGGAAGCGCATATATGCAGTGTTTGCTCTAAGGTGTCACAATTAGCAAAATATGGATCACTTTAAATTTTGTGAAACCTACCCGGTTAGACCTATCAAGACACAAAACATCGCAAGGCTAGTCGAGGGTTAGTTATTTGGTGCTAAAGGCTTGTGCGTTTATAAACGTACTTTGAAAGCAGGCCACGACGATAAAGCGGCGCTTCGTTTGTGGTATAAAGGTTCGGCCCAAGGACCTATGAGAGGAATGTCAGTAGGAAACACGATGTAGGGACTTGGGGTGCTACATACATTACCAGCGCATTGTCCGACATACAGGATAGCGGTAGTAACCTTCTTTTTTGTCTCTCCAGCTGTGTTTCCTGCAGACCAGGAGTAGATCAATGGGGCTAGAGATGGTCAGTTGAGTTGAGTCCAACTTCTGAAACTAAGTAAACGCTTACTGATAGCTGGGTACACAGAGATCTGGATAGGACGGATTAGGATTTCTTCCACGGTCGCGTTTTCGTTTAGATTTAATACTTACAATGTAGTATCCTGCAAGTAGAGGCCCCTTGTGGCCATTGTCATGTGGAATCTGCAACAGCATCACACAGCCCGCGATGGGTGGGAGACAGAGCAATGCTAAGACTGGACCTTTCATTTTCCAGATGGTCGCTAGCCAAGCTCCTCCCATCGTGGCGACAAGCTGGACTGCACCGAATGGAATGTTGAAAAGCATGGTATCATATTCACTGAGGCCAAAGGACTTGATAATCAAAGGCCCGAAAGTAGTGATGCCGCCACTTGGAACACTGAAGTTCGGTTAGTAATTTCAATCTAGTATGTTACTCCTTTTAAGGCCAACTCACGAAATTGAGAACATTAACGAAAAC